TCATCAATAATGCCACATACAACAACAACCATTAAAAACTCATCAATAATGCCACATACAACAACAACCATTAAAACATCATCAATAGTGCCACATACAACAACAACCATTAAAACCTCATCAATAGTGCCACATACAACAACCATTTAAAACTCATCAATAATGCCACATACAACAGCAACTATTAAAACATCATCAATAGTGCCACATACAACAACAACCATTAAAATTTCATCAATAATGCCACATACATTAAAAAATCAATAATGTCACATAGGCAACCTAAAACCTCATCAATACAACAGCAACCATTAAAACCTCATCAATAGTGCCACATACAACATCAGTCCATTAAATATTATCAATTATGCCACAACAACATCATTTAAAATCTTATCACAGTGCCACAACAGCAGTCCTTGAACATTATCAGTAGTGCCACAACACTAGCTAAAAAATCATTATTAATAGTACCATGACAGGCAGTCATTAAAACTTCATAAAAAATGCCACCATGTAAGCAACTGTAACCTTATGAAACATGACCAAGTAGTAACACACAGCAAACCAATACTCATATTGGCTTTGCTACAAGTATAACAGAGTTACCTCTCTTCAATTGCAATACAATTCCATGTGGATGAAATATAGCTAGTGAAGACACAATATCAAAGACACAATTTACTACTAGTAATCAAATGATGACTAATTCCTAAAGCTTACTTTGGGTTGCATATTTAAATACCTTTTAATTACTTTTCAATGAAAATGCTGGTGAAATCTAAGTGATGGTATCATATAGCCAAAAATGATTACAAAATTTGAAACATAACTATTTCAAGCTACCTGATTAGTTATTTCTCTGTAAAAAGTTTCAATGTTTTGTCAATATATTTATATCAAAGATGGGCCAAATCACTCAAGCAGGAAGTTTCAAACTGGCAAAACAACAGTGATTTGGGGACAACATGAATGATTTTGGATTATGAATATTTCATTGAACAATTCATGTAAAGTATTATGTCATAATTAATTTTTAATACTAAATTTTTGAGACAGTGACACCAGTTTTTCATATACCTATAGTCAGAAGTACTTCAGCTGGCTCCATACCAGAATGAGACATCTGTCACTTGTCAGTAATCATGTCTAACAGCTTGTGCAGGAGTCAGAGGAAATATTGGGCTATGTTATCAACATGACATCCAACAGAGGTGTCAGAGTATATCAACATGTCTTCAACTTCAACGACACCTTTATGATTCAAACATGAACATCTTTCTAAACAAGACTCACAATAATGAAAATACTTGAGTTAAGCACATAAACTGACTGTTTATTGATCAAGGTCACCAAGGATATAAGAAGATTACAGTTAAATCACATCATACTTAACTTGTCTTTGTATGAGACAATACATCACTTTTATTTTAAGAAAGGCATTTTTTTTTGTGTTCTCAGATGACACCGATATACACAAGTATTTGTCTATGTCATGTTTATTTTCTGCATCACATACATCTGTATGTTGTCATCCTCTATAACATTTTCATTATCCACGTTATGTACAGCTGTTATTAGTTGATATTAGCAGTTCCATGCAAAGTTACAGTGCCAGCCTTGATTGGTGAACACTGGAAACAATTTTCACAATACTTGGATAATTAAGCGAGACTTCTATATATACACATCAGCACATTTTGTAACACCTGTCATATATTTGAGACAACATTACATGATAAATGTTATGGTGATTCTTTTTGTTTCTTTCAAATATATAGTTTTCCTTTAGCTGAGCAGTAGAGAGTCTGTCTAGGGGCAAAAGTAGCTTAACTCTAATTATAACACTAGCGGGGACAGGATGTTTTTCATTCCTTACTTATCGTATTTATTCCAATAAACGCCCCGGGGTGTGAAATTTTTCAGACAGGGGGCGATTAATAGAACACAAAATTTCATAATTTGTTGGTCGTGACATGCCATGGCTGCCACTTAAAAACATTGTTTAACAAACTAACGAATTACTCAGCAAAGAATGCATTTGAAAACTGCAGTAATCCCAACTTGTTGTATTTTTAAACATTGTTGTCAATTGCATTCTGATAACCTGAATTCTTGTATGAAATGACACGAAGTCAATCGTGTCAGCTTCAGTCAAAAAAGTACAATGTTCATCATCGCTTGTAGGCCTAGTTTGCATAACAAAATAAAAAACACAGCAATATATAAGCCAGTCTGTTTCTTAATAAATCCCACATACCTGATAACAATGTCTGGGACAAAACGAAATTACGACACTGCTTTCAAGCTTAAAGTAATCGCCTTCGCAGAGGAGAAGGGTAAACATGCCAATGCGAAAGTGTTTCGTGTTGACAGAAAACGAGTGCGGGACTGGTGTCAAAACAAAGAAAAATTAAAAAATCTTTCTAAAACATCTAAACGCTGTAAAGGAGGTGGGAGGCATGTCAGATATTAAGATATTGACAAAAATCTGATGAGACGGCTACAGGACAGACAGGAGGCCGGAATACGAGTGACTGGGAAAGCATTGCGGTTTGAGGCCCTGCGTATGCATAAGACAAATGGTAGTCAATCGTTCAAAGCCTCATATGGATGGTTTTCTAAATTCAAAAAGAGACATAACGTTTCGTTCAGGAGATCTACGCATGTGGCACAACATGAAGTTTCATTAATTGATGATCGTATTGACAGTTTTTTTAATTTCGTGTTAAAAATGTGTCGGCTACATGAATACCCCGGTAGCCATATCACTAACATGGACGAAACCCCGGTGTGGTTTGACATGCCAGGAAAATCGACATTGGCAATAAAGGGGACACGGTGACACTGGCAGCATATGCTGATGGGACTAAAATCACCCTCCCCCCTTGTGCACATGCCAGGCATTCGTCCCCTTCCGAAAGATGACATACCAAGTGGTATTGTGGTATACATGTGCGGGGCCGGACAAAAATCCTGGGCAAACAAGGAAAGTATAAAATTTTGGTTAAAAAAAACTCTGGGGTGTGAATAATACAGCTAGGCGGTTATTAGTATGGGACGCTTTCCGTGGTCATCTTACTGAAGATGTAAAAAAACTGGTTCGTCAAAAATATAATTCAGACATCTGTGTTATACCCAGAGGATGTACATGTAAGCTACAGCCAGCCCATGTGTCGTGGAATAAACCCTTCAAACAAAAACTTGCAGAGTTGTATGACGAATGGTGTTTCAGTGGCCCCATTGAGAAAACCAAAGCAGGGAATCATAAAGCCCCATCTTAAGCTGTAATGTTGTCTTGGGTCAAGACAGCATGGGATAGCATTAGCCCGGACACAATCAGAAGATCGTTAAAAAAATGCGGTATCACAAATTCGCTTGATGGTAGCGAAGATCATATGTTCCAGTATGATTCTGACGATGAGGAATTCCAGGGGTTTAGTGAAAAGGATGTCCAAGCTGCAGATGACGTTTTGCAAAATTTAATGGGTGATGTGAACGCGCCTTCTATTCCACAAATAGAACTGAGTGAAAGCGAGACTGGCGAAAGTGAAAGTGAAGACAGTAGTTTGTACGGCAGTCCTGGCCGTTAGGCCTGCAGTATATTGAAATGAACCGTGGATTAAATTGATATTACTTGTGTACATGTCGTGACAGTGTAATTTTCTTGTGCCAAAATTCATTTGTTCATGTATACCAGGAATTTAAAATTTATTAAAAGGTAAGCTTTGTAACCCGACTCCTGAGTTGTTGAAATTTACTCTGAGAAAACAGGTGGGGGGGGGGGGGCCGTTTATTAGAGACGGGGCGTTTATTGGAATAAATAGGTATATAAAATTTGGTTGTTTTCGGGGGCGACGACTTGTTGAGGAGGTGCCAGTTAATGAAGATGTTGAAAGCACGGATCACATTTCCACAAGTAGTGGTAGAATTTCTAGCTTGACCAGGAAAGGTCACTAGTTCAAACCCCAGCAAGGCACATTTACTGTATGTTTTTCATTACTTTCTCTTACAGCAGCTCTAAACCACACATAAAAATTCAATGTTGCTACAACAAGATCACTACATTGCATTACAGCTAGTTGATTATAAACCCTGCAAAATAAATGATGTCTATTCAGTCTTAAAGTTCTCTTTTTATCATGAATGACACATGTTTTTGTGAGAGGGAATGTACATATTTCCATTGAATGCCTTGACCGGGAATCCAACCCAAATCTTCAGAGTGATCATTCACAGCTTCAACCATCTAACCCAAAGAAAGCATAATCTATCAGGTGAGTAACAGAAGCTATGTATACACTGTCTCCTTCCTTTTACACTACTTCCTCATTTTTCTTGAGATTTCCTGAATCTCAGCCTTAGACACAGAATACCACATGTGGTATTTTGTTGGGCTCCAGTGTTAAAGAACAGGAATAGAACCTGGGTTTCCTGCATGTAACAGTGTCCTTATTTAATACTATATGTGCATGTTTTTGTTACAACTTACATATGCATGTGCAAGTACTGTGAAAGTGTGGTCTATTTTTAAAAGTGACGACAAAAATGATATCTAGGTGGAAGGCTGTTTTGACAGTTCGTATCGTGATTTCTTTTCTTCTCACTTCTTATGGTTTTCTGACGCTCGTTGCCTGATATTGCTGAGGGGAAACATTTCGAAATTCCATTTGCTACACCGATTTTTTAATCACGAGTCCTAAAGTTATTTTACATGCCATATCTCGGCCAACTTATCAAATGGCTCCACGGAATTATTTGTTTACCAATGGTCATAGCAAGCATTTATGTAAAGGATATTGTCCAATTGTTGAGCGTTGCAACTCAAATCTAAAACGTTCAGAGCCAACCAAATAAAGAAGCGGTAAATAGTGCCATGAAACGAAGTTATAAACAAAACTTTTGAATGACATTCATTATGGTTATCCATATAAGATGTATAGTTATGATATGCATCGAGTATAACATATTTTCAATAAAATCATGAACACTGGGTATACCTGTTAAATGTTCCTGGAGGAAATGAGCGGTATCTTTGCCACAACACATGCACCGGAAGTAAAGAAGAAATTACAATTTTAAAGTCAAATTCCGGAAAACTGGCATTCGGGGTTGTTTTAGTATGGTATAGAAGTGTTTCCGGTACGGTGTGTGTTCCTCTTCACCAGACTCAAAATTATATCATTATGGTCAAAGTTCATTTTGCGGTTAGTTTACAGTAGCTCTATAAATAAATACAATATCTTGAATTTTCCAAAACTTATCAAGTTTGTTTTTAATAATCTTCTGTGTGTACTCTGTCAAAAGCTTTCTGATAATCCATATGTATGCAATCGATTCCATAACCTTTATTCATAGCCTCTGTCCATTTATCCAGTACATCTAACAACTGAATTGAAGTTGAACGGCCCGAAATAAATCCATATTGCCTTGAAGGAAAAGATTGTGTGATCTCATTTGTTTCCATTACTTTACATACAACAGATGTAAGGCTGACTGGCCTGTAATTCCCTGCTGCTCTCTTGTCTCCATTTTTAAATATTGCACACACTCTTGCATGCTTCCAATCAACAGGAATGGATCCCTCTCGAAGAGTTTGGTTGAATATCAGTGCTAGTGGTATTGCTATGGTGGAGGCAGTCTTCTTCAGGAATTCTGGATTCATGTTATCTAAGCCTGGTGATTTATTTGGATTTAAGTTATTGAGTACCTTGGTAACCATTTCATTGGTTATCACAAGTGTTTTCATATTGCTGCTTGTTTTAATGTGTGTTAGTTCAGGTATTTTTCCTTTTTCTTCTCTAACAAATACGCTTTGAAAGAAGTTTGCAAGAATGTCAACTCTATTTATCTGAGGCCACTATTTGAGATTTGTTGTCCAGTGGGTTTTTCGTTGAGTTCTGTTATTTCATCTTTGGATTTAGTTTTTGAGTTAATACATTTCCAGATCAGCTTAGGGTTACATTTGGCCTGTACAGCAATGGATTGTTCAAATTCCTCACATAGTTTTCTTGTCTTTGACTTAACTTGGTTCCTTCCTCTGCTATATTCTCTCTGGATCAGATCTTTCTGCTACTTTTTTGGAGAGTGCATACTTCTTCCTTATTTTTGCTAGTGTGTCCTCATCAATTGGAAATTGATGTTTGTTGTTTTTTCTGGTTTTTATCATTCTGGATGGTACATAGATATCAATTAAGTCCTGAATATTGCTTTTAAAAATTCACCAGGTTTCATGGATGTCCCTATCTTCATTTAATAAATCTTTCCAGTTGGTCTCTATGATTTGTTTGCTTTTTTGTAACATTTCTTAGATATGTTTCTATAAGTTACCCTGGTATTACAGACTATGCTCAGAAGAATAACACTGTGGTCACTCTTCCCCAGTGGACGCTGGTACTCTATTGATGTAACGGTGCTTTCCTTGAAAGTTATTACAAGACCTAAAACGGGGTGTGTCATTTCCTCTCCATCATGTAGGTTTCTTGATTTAGGTTTTGAAGATCGTCTGTATTTATTTTTAAACATTAATGATCATTTCATCCCCAACATCAGTTCTTTTGGTGAATTAACGTAATCATCGGAAGAACAACATTGAAGAAGCACTTTTATAGGTTAAAATGTATATGTTTTGAACAAGCGAGCAAAACCCTTTGTTAAGCATGCAGTACCAAAGGAAAACAATAACATGCAGTACCAAGGGGAAAATACATGAGAAATATGAAAATGTCCCTCTATTAGTTCTCAAGGAATAGCAATAATAAATTTTTTGGTGGTCAAGGGATTTCTTCTATTGACATCTGAGAATGTTCCATCCATTTATTCTCCAGAATCAGCTAAATAAACTTTAGCATCAAATTAGAACATGCGCAGATAAGAACCAAAAGTAGCCTTGTGAGAAGAGCCAAAAGTGTAATGAACACATGATAAAATCCTTCATTATTATCAATGAGTGTTAGAATACCCCTCTGGTCTAGAGTTTAGAGGTCCCTGAACAGTGTTTGAATACCAGTCTGGACCTGTGTTGAGGTCCCTGAACAGTGTTTAAATACCAGTCTGGACCTTTGTTGAGGTCTCTGAATAGTGTTTAAATATCAGTCTGGACCTGTGTTGAGGTCCCTGAACAGTGTTTAAATATCAGTCTGGACCTGTGTTGAGGTCCCAGAACAGTGTTTAAATACCAGTCTGGACCTTTGTTGAGGTCTCTGAATACTGTTTAAATACCAGTCTGGACCTGTGTTGAGGTCCCTGAACAGTGTTTAAATATCAGTCTGGACCTGTGTTGAGGTCCCTGAACAGTGTTTAAATATCAGTCTGGACCTGGGTTGAGGTCCCTGAACAGTGTTTAAATACCAGTCTAGTTCTGTGTTGAGGTCCCTGAACAGTGTTGGAATACCAGTCTGTTTCTGTGTTGCGGTCCCTGAACAGTTGTTGAAATACCAGTCTGGTTCTGTGTTGAGGTCCCTGAACAGTGTTGGAATACCAGTCTGGTTCTGTGTTGCGGTCCCTGAACAGTGTTGGAATACCAGTCTGGTTCTGTGTTGCGGTCCCTGAACAGTTGTTGAAATACCAGTCTGGTTCTGTGTTGAGGTCCCTGAACAGTGTTTAAATACCAGTCTGGACCTGTGTTGAGGTCCCTGAACAGTGTTTAAATATCAGTCTGGACCTGTGTTGAGGTCCCTGAACAGTGTTTAAATACCAGTCTAGTTCTGTGTTGAGGTCCCTGAACAGTGTTGGAATACCAGTCTGGACCTGGGTTGAGGTCCCTGAACAGTTGTTTAAATACCAGTCTGGTTCTGTGTTGAGGTCCCTGAACAGTGTTGGAATACCAGTCTGGTTCTGTGTTGCGGTCCCTGAACAGTTGTTGAAATACCAGTCTGGTTCTGTGTTGAGGTCCCTGAACAGTGTTGGAATACCAGTCTGGTTCTGTGTTGAGGTCCCTGAACAGTGTTGGAATACCAGTCTGGACATTTTAATAATTAGGAGGTCAATGCATCTGAACAACCTAATACACTTTATTGCAGTGGTCTTGGAAGTAAAGTTGCACATTTAAATACTTTCTTTTTTAAAAATGGTCCCATTGTATTTTATTTGAAATGACATGGAAACTGCTGGTTCATAACAATACAAGGTTACCAGTCTGGTTCTGTGTTGAGGTCCCTGAACAGTGTTGGAATACCAGTCTGGTTCTGCGTTGCGGTCCCTGAACAGTTGTTGAATAGCATACATGTGTATCTGAAAGGTTCCTGAACAAAAAAAATCATACCTAAGTTTTCCTCTGACCTTGACACATGAACTTAATATTCAGCATATACTGTAATTTAGCCTTGATGGAATTAAGCCTCTTTAACATCCTGGTTTATGTGATCACAATGGACTTTCTCATTGGACGCTAAATGGGATAACTTGTCCATATAACATTTGTGAACAGTTGTTTAAATACCAGTCTGGTTCTGTGTTAAGGTCCCTGAACAGTGTTGGAATACCAGTCTGGACCTTTTAATAATTAGGAGGTCAATGCATCTGAACAACCTAATACACTTTATTGCAGTGGTCTTGGAAGTAAAGTTGTACATTTGAATACTTTCTTTTTTAAAAATGTAAATAAAAACTGATAACAATTGTCAATACTGCATTGTATTTTATTTGAAATGACATGGAAGGGACTGCTGGTCTCTAGTGAAGAAAATATAACAATACAAGGTTACAACATCAAATGTGTAACATTATTTGACAGTTGACTTCTACAAACGTTTTCAATGTGAAATTTCAAACTATTTGCTCTTCTGGGTAATATCCTCCATTATTGCACAATAAAGCATACATGTGTATAACTGAAACAATTCCAGTACAAAAAAAATCATACCTAATTGTTTTCCTCTGACCTTGACACATGAACTTAATATTCAGCATATACTGTAATTTAACCTTGATGGAATTAAGCCTCTTTAACATCCTGATTTATGTGATCACAATGGACTTTCTCATTGGACGCTAAATGGGATAACTTGTCCATATAACATTTGTGAGAGAAATTTAGTGACAACATAATATCATTATTATTATTTTTTTATTATATTGGGAGTAGCACTATACTATAAAAAATGGAAAAGTGTAAATTCATTGAATATAAAACAATTAGTAACAGAAACTGATGAAAATACAATCACGGACCAAAATACAATTTCACAACAAACCTAAGTAATGTGGTGATATAGACACACAATTAATGAAACAATAGCCATCAAATCAATTAGAAATTATTCAACTATCTCTAGACATGACCAAGCCATACATTTTTGTACACAGTAACCTTCTTAGTCAGGACTCCATGGGTCCTGTGTACACAGTAACCTTCTTAGTCAGGACTCCATGGGTCCTGTGTACACAGTAACCTTCTTAGTCAGGACTCCATGGGTCCTGTGTACACAGTAACCTTGTTAGTCAGGACTCCATGGGTCCTGTGTACACAGTAACCTTGTTAGTCAGGACTCCATGGGTCCTGTGTTTACAGTAACCTTCTTAGTCAGGACTCCATGGGTCCTGTGTACACAGTAACCTTCTTAGTCAGGACTCCATGGGTCCTGTGTTTACAGTAACCTTCTTAGTCAGGACTCCATGGGTCCTGTGTACACAGTAACCTTCTTAGTCAGGACTCCATGGGTCCTGTGTACACAGTAACCTTCTTAGTCAGGACTCCATGGGTCCTGTGTACACAGTAACCTTCTTAGTCAGGACTCCATGGGTCCTGTGTACACAGTAACCTTTTTAGTCAGGACTCCATGGGTCCTGTGTACACAGTAACCTTCTTAGTCAGGACTCCATGGGTCCTGTGTTTACAGTAACCTTCTTAGTCAGGACTCCATGGGTCCTGTGTACACAGTAACCTTCTTAGTCAGGACTCCATGGGTCCTGTGTACACAGTAACCTTCTTAGTCAGGACTCCAGGGTCCTGTGTACACAGTAACCTTCTTAGTCAGGACTCCATGGGTCCTGTGTACACAGTAACCTTCTTAGTCAGGACTCCATGGGTCCTGTGTACACAGTAACCTTCTTAGTCAGGACTCCATGGGTCCTGTGTACACAGTAACCTTCTTAGTCAGGACTCCATGGGTCCTGTGTACACAGTAACCTTCTTAGTCAGGACTCCATGGGTCCTGTGTACACAGTAACCTTCTTAGTCAGGACTCCATGGGTCCTGTGTACACAGTAACCTTCTTAGTCAGGACTCCATGGGTCCTGTGTACACAGTAACCTTCTTAGTCAGGACTCCATGGGTCCTGTGTACACAGTAACCTTCTTAGTCAGGACTCCATGGGTCCTGTGTACACAGTAACCTTCTTAGTCAGGACTCCATGGGTCCTGTGTACACAGTAACCTTCTTAGTCAGGACTCCATGGGTCCTGTGTACACAGTAACCTTCTTAGTCAGGACTCCATGGGTCCTGTGTACACAGTAACCTTCTTAGTCAGGACTCCATGGGTCCTGTGTACACAGTAACCTTCTTAGTCAGGACTCCATGGGTCCTGTGTACACAGTAACCTTCTTAGTCAGGACTCCATGGGTCCTGTGTTTACAGTAACCTTCTTAGTCAGGACTCCATGGGTCCTGTGTACACAGTAACCTTCTTAGTCAGGACTCCATGGGTCCTGGGTACACAGTAACCTTCTTAGTCAGGACTCCATGGGTCCTGTGTACACAGTAACCTTCTTAGTCAGGACTCCATGGGTCCTGTGTACACAGTAACCTTCTTAGTCAGGACTCCATGGGTCCTGTGTACACAGTAACCTTCTTAGTCAGGACTCCATGGGTCCTGTGTACACAGTAACCTTCTTAGTCAGGACTCCATGGGTCCTGTGTACACAGTAACCTTCTTAGTCAGGACTCCATGGGTCCTGTGTACACAGTAACCTTCTTAGTCAGGACTCCATGGGTCCTGTGTTTACAGTAACCTTCTTAGTCAGGACTCCATGGGTCCTGTGTACACAGTAACCTTCTTAGTCAGGACTCCATGGGTCCTGTGTTTACAGTAACCTTCTTAGTCAGGACTCCATGGGTCCTGTGTTTACAGTAACCTTCTTAGTCAGGACTCCATGGGTCCTGTGTACACAGTAACCTTCTTAGTCAGGACTCCATGGGTCCTGTGTTTACAGTAACCTTCTTAGTCAGGACTCCATGGGTCCTGTGTACACAGTAACCTTCTTAGTCCTGTGTACACAGTAACCTTCTTAGTCAGGACTCCATGGGTCCTGTGTACACAGTAACCTTCTTAGTCAGGATTCCATCGGTCCTGTGTACACAGAACCTTCTTAATCAGGACTCTTTGTGTTCTTTTTACATTGGAACCTCCTTAGTGACAACTCTCTGTGTTCTCTGTACACAGTAACCTTCTAAGTCATGACTCTGTGTTTTCTGTCAACAGTGATCTCCTTAAGTCACCACTCTCTGTGTTCTCTGTCCACAGTAATCTCCTTAAGGTATCACTCTCTGTGTTCTTTGTACACAGTAATCTCCTTAGTCACCACTCTCTGTGTTCTTTGTACACAGTAATCTCCTTAGTCACCACTCTCTGTGTTCTCTGTCCACAGTAATCTCCTTAGTCACCACTCTCTGTGTTCTTTGTACACAGTAATCTCCTTAGTCACCACTCTCTGTGTTCTTTGTACACAGTAATCTCCTTAGTCACCACTCTCTGTGTTCTTTGTACACAGTAATCTCCTTAGTCACCACTCTCTGTGTTCTCTGTCCACAGTAATCTCCTTAAGGTATCACTCTCTGTGTTCTTTGTACACAGTAATCTCCTTAGTCACCACTCTCTGTGTTCTTTGTACACAGTAATCTCCTTAGTCACCACTCTCTGTGTTCTCTGTCCACAGTAATCTCCTTAGTCACCATTCTCTGTGTTCTTTGTACACAGTAATCTCCTTAGTCACCACTCTCTGTGTTCTCTGTACACGGTAATCTCCTTAAGTCATGACTCTCTGTGTTCTTTGTACACAGTAATCTCCTTAGTCACCACTCTCTGTGTTCTCTGTACACGGTAATCTCCTTAAGTCATGACTCTCTGTGTTCTTTGTACACAGTAATCTCCTTAGTCACCACTCTCTGTGTTCTCTGTCCACAGTAATCTCCTTAAGGTATCACTCTCTGTGTTCTTTGTACACAGTAATCTCCTTAGTCACCACTCTCTGTGTTCTTTGTACACAGTAATCTCCTTAGTCACCACTCTGTGTTCTCTGTCCACAGTAATCTCCTTAGTCACCACTCTCTGTGTTCTCTGTACACAGTAATCTCCTTAGTCACCACTCTCTGTGTTCTCTGTCCACAGTAATCTCCTTAGTCACCACTCTCTGTGTTCTCTGTACACGGTAATCTCCTTAAGTCATGACTCTCTGTGTTCTTTGTAGACAGTATACTCCTTAGTCATGACTCTTTGCGTTCTGTGTACACAGGAACCTTTCTAGTCAGGACTCCTAAGAATTCTTCGTACAGAGAAAACTCCTTAGACAGGACTGTATTGATTCTGTGTACACAGAATTATTCATAGTCAGGACAAAGGATTTTTCTGTGGGGACTCCATAGTTAAGATATGTAAAGGACAGTTGTTGGCTTTGTCTGGTTGATTTCAGTGCAAAGTAAAAGTCAGCATCAAATAAAATTTGAATTCTTATACAGGTAATTGACAACAGATTTCACCAGGGCAACATTCAACAGAAATATATGACTACAAAATGTGTAGAGAAATCAGCTTGTACATTTTACTGATTAAAAAAATATCATAAATTATTTTAAAACAACCATTCACAATAACAATACAGTAAAAATGCATGTGCTTAATAATCTACATGCATTATATATTAGCCCAAGTGTTCAGTCTCTAAAACATCTTATTGTAAAATTTTCCTTAACTTATATTAGAGCTATTTCTATTGTTATTATTTCTGGTTGTTTTAAGCTTTTTAGAGACTTACTATTGTCTAATTATACTGATACAAAATACAAAAATTTTTGAAATGGTTAACAACAAATAACAACACTGTGTAAATGTGTTGAAAAGAAATCTTCCTTCTGATACAGAAGTATGAATACTACAAAACATCTCAGAATGTTTACCAACAAAGGACAACAATACAACTGTGAATACATATAAGCTTAAGGAATGTTTGAATTGCACAATTTCCTCCATTTTGTATTGAGCCAAAGGTACAAAGCCTTGATACACCTAAAAGCGATAGTTTACATTTTCCTCACCATGAAATGGCCTCACTGAAATGTACCATGACCAATAAAAACGGAATCACAATAAAAAGCATATACAACATAAAAGTATATATTTACTACAATCAGCCTATTATCCAGTGAATTTGCACATGTCTTATCTTTGTACATCACTTGTGTAATTTACCCTAGAGTTTTTTGTGGCTGTTTTCTATTGATTTCGTTTTCTACATTTTTACATTAAAACCTGTCAAAAGTTAGTTATTTGAGTTATGTGATAAAATGTATCTGAATTTGTTTTTTGTAATATTTTGAATGAGATTTCATGAAACTTGTCTTGAAGTTTAAATTTTTGCTTGCCAATTAAAGGCTCAAAAAAATAAAATCTCTTCTGACTTGTCTCATAGAATCTCATACGAAATATTACAAAAAAATTCATATACCATACAAAGTGTTGATATGTAAATGGTATCATATATATATATATACACACAAAGGCTTAGAACAATAAAGTGAGTATTATATTTCAATTTCAGTATCAAATAAGCTGTTTTACCTACTCCTATTCTGTATGATGCACCTTAATCTTCATTTCGAGAGTTTGAGATTCAAATGCTATCATTAGATGAAAATTAATTTTACTCTGTAAGGAGTAAAGTGTGGAAATTGTAAGTTTCATCTACCCAGCATTCAAATTAGTTCAGGTTTGAAATTTTCAAAAGTAAAATTTTAGATATTGGAATTTAAATTAATCAACTGAAAGCAGAAATAAATGGCATTATTTGCCCTTTTTTTCTCAATAATTGAATTAATGAAATTGAATTTGCTTACAGCAATGACTCCATTATTCCGATACCTCAAACAGTTACCTCCCTTCCCTCATTCCATCAGTACAAAGATGGTAAAGCGATAAGATCATCTGCCCAGGGCAGCTGAGAATGTGATCACCTGGTCATCCAGGTCAAATTGTTTACAAATGTAATTGTAAAATACAATGAAACAGTACAACTTAGCAAAAGTAACAAAGAAGTCTGAACATCCTCGATACTCCAGGGGTTACGATCATTTTTGCTCTCTGCACCCCTGGAAAATGTCATTGCAAAATGTGAAATGCAAAATACCTTACTTACCTAGAATTTACAGTGGAATGAATATTATTGACAACTGACATCTTAATATGCATAACATGATTTTCTTTTTAGTTAAAATACAAGAAAATATTAAGGTATCAATAATCTATTATGGAAAATTTTCATTGTTTTCATGGCATCAATCAAGGTAAAACGATTAGATGATGAATTATATCTGATCATCATCTAATCACTACTGTACAGTCCTGAAGTCATACTGTCAGTGATGGCCTTCACCTAAGTTCTCTTTTTATACCCTGGTTTTAAGTTATTAAACACTGCGTGTGACTGTGCAGTCCCCCAATGTTACTGTCAGTGACAGCCTTCACCCAAACTTTTACTGTGGGCCCTGTATCAGAAGCTGATACCAGAAGAGATGTACCTGACACTATGAATAGTATGTCATCCACACCAGCTTGTACTACTCTCACCTCATAATTTATACTACTAAAATCTAAACAGTCCAAATTTTCTGGTGGTTCCCACTGTATATTAAACACCATAGATCCCTTTTCTACATTTCCTAATTGTTTTATATTTCTGTCTTTGGCATCAGACTCAGAATTAATCTTATCACATTGGATGTTGGCCACCTTGGCTGGAAACATACGAAGATCCTCACTAGCAACTGGTGCATTCAAAGATGTTGTGACAAGTCTGGTGATGGTGGGAATATCTACCTCTGTATCCTGATAAATGTGGTACAACCAGGAAGGGTCACTACAACAAAGGTGCTCCCGCACTTCAGTCTCTGCCACTATGGCTGCCTGCTCTTGTGATGATAAATGACTGATACCCCCGATGTCTGCTGACCAGTCGGGATGTCCTACAGATTTTGATTTATCCATGTTCTGCCAGGCTGAGTAGACCAGCTCCATCCCTGGTAACTCAGCTAGAGTCCTGAAAGGAGAGTACTTTTCAGGAGAGACAGCATAAGGGAACAACTCAATAACAAAGGATCCAGGCTTCAGAAAGGCAGCAAGTGACATAAGTGATCCATGCATTCCAACAAGACCACGGGAAAATTTAACATACTGTATGATTTCTCTAAAGCTGTGAGTTTCCAAACTTAGCATGAACACTTTCATGTTTACATCAGCAGAAAGAGAAAGCATCAGTTCCATTTCATTGATAATGAGGCGATTGTCTTTCCTAGAGAGCAGAACAAAATAATCACCAGAAGAAAGTACCATGTTGGGAGGGTTTAGTATATTGAGTTGACTGACAATGTAATTAACTGTGCTGTGTATGAGAAATCCTGAGGCTGATGTGCCTTCTATAGGTGCCTGGGGTAAAAGGTAGCCATATTTGTACCATACAGTTTCCATTGACAATCCAACGTAAGAATACTCAAAACAAAGCGATTGTTCCTGACTGAAGTCTGTGACATACATAGGAGGTTTAGTGGTGAAGAGGGTATACAAGTCTGCAAAGTCCCCACGATCCCATCCTTCCACGAACACCAGCTGGACATCATACTTGTCCAAAGAATTTTGTCCACTGATGAAATTCAGTGTGAAGTGTAGTGGGAAAATATCATCATGGAGAACATGCATGATATTGTCAGGTTTAAACCTACTGAAGATCATGCTTTGACCCTTGATCCACCTGACCTTTGAATTATTAAACATTGATGACCTGACATCTACTAAGTTAGCAGTATGACCATTGTAACCAACAACAGTAGAAAGATGTAGCCATGGCCTGCTGTTTTTACCAAGTTGTGATCTATCCACCACACTTTGATCACTGTGATAAAAGAAGAAAGTTTCTTTCAAAGGGCTGTAACATAGGTTCTTAAAACGACACATTTTTCTTATTTCTGAACTGCCATGACACCATACAGAGGTCGCTATTTGTGATATATCATTCTGTGATGATTTCTCGTTCTTATGTGATTTGTCAGTTACTATGGCATGCACACTTCCATCAACATCCATCTCTGATGTCTTCTTGTTAGTGTGACCTTCACCTAAAGACTCACTGCTCAAAGATAAAACACTTGATGTTTCTGGGCTTGAAGCTTTGGTTTGCTCATATTCTTCAAAATACTTTCCACTCTGAGCTTCTCCTTCTGCTTTGTTGCTATAAATTGCCAGACTACTTTGAATAAGGTCTGTTTCAAAATACTGGTCTGATTTACTACTAAAGTCTGTCCCAGAAAATTTATCTTTATGGGAATAAACCCTTTCACTGTCATACTTTGTTGCCCCTAAGTTGTCAATATCCTGGTTGCTGGCAGATTCTTCAAAGCTAGACTGACTTGTAGCAATGTAGTTTATATCTTTTTCAATATTTCCTATATGGTCTCCAGGCTGGGGGCGATGAGAGAGTGGTGGGCTTGGGGGCTGAGAGAGAATGGGGTGTGGATAGCAGTCCATTTGTAAATCCTCTACAAGTGACCTCAGATCTATATATTTCTTGACAACTACTGCCAAAATAGACAGCATGACAGCATGGGTGATGAAATGGAGATTCGTCATTCTTATTTTTTGGATTGGAGTTTGGTCCAATTAATTCACATGCCAGATCTGAAAATAAAAGAAACAACATTAAATTTTTTTGATTTTTTGCATTCATCATTTCAATTTCTGTATTCATCACTCTTTATTTCTTTGGGTTGATAGCCTCTTGGCGTGTGTGTGGGGTTCCATTGCTCTCAAACACACTTCATTACAGAGATATCAGGGCTTTTTTTGTTCTACCAGCTGAATCAGAGTTGTTTGTTGATGAAATAAGGGGTGGGCATACTAATTTTAGTATGCTTTCTGATGAGCTTAAAGCAAGCTTTTGAAACTAGTATTAATATTGGTGCGTTTATTCTGATTTATGCCTGAAATTATATTTTTTTATCTATCGATGCACCACTCAAAATAAACAAGCACACCCCAGATCTTATTTATGCCATGACAAAAACTGATGTTTCAATGCACATAGGATTAGGTATGTATAACACCTATTTCTTCAGCAGAGAAAACATTGCACTTATTCACATATGTACATCACCAAGCAAATTGCCACTGTTCACCATGTCTTCAGCTTTGTCACGCATACATGCAATGTCAGTTCTGGAGGTCATAGTCGCAGTGTAAGTTATAACTGTTACTCACAGCGATGTAATCAAGCAAAGTACAATACACATGGTGGAGTCCATCATGAGTATAGCCAAAAGGGAAACCATTAAACATTTTCTTTTAAACTACATGTATAAGTGTCGTCAATTCCCCTGAAATTGTCTGACCAACCTGATATTGAACATAGCATGACCTGCTTAAATTGGAAAAATGCTAATGTCATTTGATATTTAACTTTCGAGTTTTGATCTGTGTTTAAAAAGTTCAATTTTTATCATCCGATGTCGTGAAAATAAAAAACATACAGAACATATCAGGTAAATATGATATTGATTACAAAGTCTTTTCCTTGATGACCCTTTAATATAACGCTTAATCCTTGATTTTGAAATGCTATATTAGATGGTTAGGCATAAAGACTTGTCCTTATATATCTAGTGAATGTGCTTAAGTTAAAAAACGTATGTCGTGAACAATGCAGTCACTCATGTCGGTCCATCTTACCATTCAGCAATCAATATTGATAAAACAGAAACATTGTATTCATATCTAGGCGATATGAGTTGACATAATAAGGACAAATCCTCTCATTGCAGCTTGTTTCCAAAAGGCAATGTAGCCGGTGCCAGTGTTTTGCCTGCCTCTGTAAGTCAGTGTGCGCATGTCTGTCAAAGTGAAAGAAGAGTTCGATCGGTCAAAACAATAAGTTCATTAAAAGTGTCTGTTCGTTTTCGTTTTTGCACTGATTGTCTATTCTTGTCACGGAAAATTCCATGACAAGGATGCCTATCTATTTAATATTGCCTTCACTCTTCCATTTCCACACTGATCACTCTCAGTCTCAACGTCGGGTGTAAAGGCGTTATACCTACATTAGAACTCTTCTGTAAAGAAGATAATTAATCAACAGCTAGGAATTTTGAAGTTGAAATGTTCCGAAACTGAGATAATTACATGATTTGATGATAATGAGTCGTACCGGTGCCGAAATGAGGGCAAGGTAAGTATATTATCGTCTCTTAATTACCGTTAAAGCAAAAATAGTAGGAGGATTAAATAGATTTTCATATTTATTGGGTTATTTTATAAGACATTCGTGACTTGACTTGTCTGATTTGACAGTTTACGCGGTTAATCTGTACGCACGATTCATTTCTTATCCAGTGTTTTGCTCACAAATCTTAATGTTGTTTTTGTGATATTTTGAAAATGATCAGAATATCTCGGTGAACACGTTGAACCTCAGTTTTCAGAGTTTTGATTCTTACCTTTACCTTGATAGGCCAAATTTGATACTTACACGCCCATGTACATTCAATTTCATATCACTTACGAAATGTTTTCTTCATAATTTTCAACCCACTCCATTACAGGTCGACGGTTACATGGGTTGGGGTGGGTTGGGGAGTGGAAGCAATAAACTATGACTGATGGTAATATATGTATAGCAACACCATGGAAGCTTTTGTGTGTACTTTGAGATAAGGATAGGCTATGGTATAACATGGAAATAAAATATTGATGTTTTGCTGGTTGTGTGTATGAAGGTTTCAAGGGTTTCTTGGGGAATAAGTGCTTTTGAATTCCTTAAGTGTTGTGCAGTGTATTGCTGCTTATAGCAGGAGATTTTCTTGTGCTGTTATTCTGGATAGAAACATGCATTTGTACTTGTCCGTTGAAGAAGTTATGGGTGTAAATGAGAAGGGATGCATACGTATAGCACAGTTTACCCTTGTCAATATATATTGTCCTGTGTATAGGAGCTAGGTTATGATTATACTGGCAATTGAGAATTGAGAAATCAGATAAATCACAGGCATGGATTTCATCAGTGATAAATGTCAATATTTGCTCTAATTCTGATGAAAGATTAAAATTCAATACATTCCAACAGTTTGATATGTTGTAGCTTCTGAGTTATTCTGACATTCTGTTGACTTTCTGATCCTGATGAATATCTGAACTTAAGCCCTATGAAAATTAAGAAATAAGCTACCAGTGTCTTGCTTGGCATACAAACATTAATTGTGATGAGAAATCACATACCTCTTAACCCTCCCAGAACATGTCTTAAATCTTTTTGCTGCCCATATGAATTCCTCATTGAAGGTATTTTATTTAAACTTCACAGAATCTACCAACTTTTAGCAATGGAAGTTGCCTAATTGTAAATCTACATCACAAGTCTTAGCTGTACAACTGTACTAGACAACTACCACTCTAAAATCTGTCCATTGAAAGGATCATTGACCCTGCTCATATGACTTTAAGGGATATTTCATCCATGCTGCAAAACTTCTGGCTGTTCTGGGATATTTCATCCATGCTACAAAATTTCTGGCTGCTCTGTATCTTTTAAGAACTTGTTCTGATGACTGTTAAAACTATTGTTAGCATCAAAATATCTCTCCTGCAGTCAGTTTGGACAGGTGAAATTGGTGGGAATACTTCTAGTGAAACTGTTTTAATGAAGCGCATTTGGGAAATGCGGAACTGAAAGGTCACTGAATCATAGATTTTATGAAGAATATAGGGTAAATACACAAGTGTGTATGCTGTTCACTAAAATTTCTGCTGTGATTACAATTTTGTTATTTCATTAGGGTTATTTTCTGTTGGTCTTTTAATTTACACAAATATTTCATTCTGTTTAGCTTAAAAAGATATAAACCTGTTATGCCAAAATTAGGGCAGCATGCAAATGTTTGTAAATCGATGTAGCTAGATCTATAAAGAATTTTTGCAAATTAAATGTCACATGTTGATTTAAATGGTAAATAAAGGAAGTAATTCAAAAGTTTACAGTATTATGTAGTATCAATTGATGAAAAGTAAACAAATACTTAAAATATTGCATAATTCTAACAAAGGTAATGTGTGCTGTATTTCATTACTTCATGAGACCAGCTTAACATCCTCATACTGCTCAATTCATACTTTTTTCTTGAAATATTTAAGGGTGCCTATTTTCATCATATATGGTACGATAATAACAAATTTAAAAATGTTCCTATTTTTAAGTGACCTATCCCCATCTGGAAATGGATTGTTACAATAACACATTATATATATATACATATGTTTATATAGAGATTTTAATATACATAAAACAGACTGGTATCACAAGATTAAAAATTAAGACAAACTGCAAGTTCGTGAAAGCATTTTTATAATTTATCAAACAAATCACACCTTTTGGTTTACTTTTCTTTTCAGTGAAACTCAATCTAAATTCATACAAGATCGTGTGTCCCTGGTGGAGAAGCATTTTGGACAGCTATGTGACACGATGTCTTCTATAACGAGAAAAACAGCACGACTTAGAGATAAAGGTAAAAAGAAAAGACAACCTTTTATTCAAAGAGTAAAATATTGGTATTTCCTTTTCAAACATTTGGTACTAGTTTGGACAGCTATTCATATATTAACAGTTGTCACTGATTCATCAGTAGCATTGTAAAGACATTTGTATTTTCTGTGTTTCTAGGAGATCAGTTAGCTAAAGATATCACAACCTACTCTGAGGCAGATTCTCACAACCCATCAATGCTAAGATGTCTCACAGAATTTGCAACAAATCTATCAGCTATACAGGATTATAGACAAGCAGAGGTAATTTTTTAGATAATATCAGTTATAATAGTTAGCAATAAGATATGAAAAAGTGTTTTTAGCAAATTCATATTTCAGGAATTGATTATTCACTTAAAAGTGACATTGTTGCTTTACATTCTATGAAGGGATAACTTTTAAGAAAATAAAACAACTTTAAGGTGAGGTTTTGTTTGTAATTGTATCTGCTGCATTGCCTAAACGTCACCTGAAAACTTTTTTTTTATGAAGCCATGTCATCCAATACACACAAATAGCGTGGTGTATTACAGATGGTGAAATTGTTAATTTTCAGGTTACAAGACTTGATGCCAAAGTTGTACAACCTTTAAGTAATTATGGACTTAAGTGCAAACAGGCAAAAAATGACCTCAAATCAGCATACACCGCACAGGATAAAGAAGTTAAACAAAAGAAGAAGCTTGACATGCTTCGACAGAAAAATCCTGGTGATCGTTCTCAGATCTCGCAGGCGGAAACTGAGCTGCAGAAGGCCAGTGTAGAGGCCTCACGCACATCAAAAAATCTTCAGCAGCAGGTTGACAAATTTGAGTTGGAAAAACTCAAGGATATTAAGGTATTTAATACTGTGTATTTGTTGAAGTGATGCATTTTAATATGATGAAAATACCAGATAAACTCTTGTATTTAAAATATAAAGCCAATCATTTTAATCTTTTAACTGATCCCACTGTGCAAAATTGGAAACATGATCAGAGTAAAGCATCAGAATTAGAACAAGAAATAAAATTGACATCAATTTTAAAGAGTAAAGGATAAAGAAAAAACAATTTGCTTATAACAATACTGTACAATATATTTTCATTGCATACTGTGACATACTGGTACCTTGTGACATCAATATGCGATGGAGGTACATTATGTATATACTGAAGACCAGAGATATGTACCAGTTTGCTTTACTAGTCAAGTTCTAGAGTTGAATAATTTTTGTACCACCTGTTCACCAGAAATTTGTATTTTTCTAGAAAATGTTAAGTGACTATGTGAACATAGAGATGATGTTCCATGCCAAAGCATTGGAGATTTACACCCAGTGTTACCAAAACATCTCCTCTGTTGATGTGGAGGAAGACATGGATGTAAGTAGTACAGCTAATCACACCTACTCTACTGTGTTTCTGTATAATAGTTCATATACCAACAGGAGACATTTCAAGGTGGGGTCAACCCTCCCTTCCCTCAATTTTCCATAGATTTTGTAGTTTAAGAAATATTGGTGTTACATTTAGCAGTAATATTTGTTTAAGTGTGAAATCTGAAGGATGCAACTAGCATGTAGGCTTAGAAGTAATTTTGTTTTGATAAAGAAGCTACTCCTTACCTAAGTTGATGTGCATTAATATTGTAAAACTGAATTTATTTTATTGCTATATTTGGTAGGAAATGTTTTTATTTATTACCAAAGTTTTACATTTTTGATATTTGGATTGTTTTGACTTATCTTTATTGTTTATTTTGCGATGAAGATAAAAACCTACAACAATTCACACACAAAGTATGTGAAGATCTAGGTAAAAAAATAAAATGATTTCCTTGTATTTTGATAACAGGAATTTCGCTCAAAGCTCACCCCTCCTAACACTGCAGCGAGGATGAATATGGTCAGATCTTCTTCGTATTCCTCTCTCAACTCCAACACAAACTCAAAACAGACAACGCCCATCAAGATGAACAGACAACAGTCAGCGCCTGCAAGTTCTCATTCCACGCCAACTAAACCTCCCACAGGATCACAGTCCCGAACACGAATACCAGTAAATACCACTCCTACTTGGAAAATATAACAAATTCTGGACAGAGAGTTATGGAGTTGTCCTTATCATTAATGCATGTACTAATATGAATAGTGCATAATGATATTCAAACTTGTTGCCACTTTAACATCTGACCTGTCTCAGCAAATCTACTGCTATATAATGAAACAGGATCAATTCTTTTATTCATTTTGAGTACGAAACCTTTCTTGTAGGTAAGCCACAGATTTCTTCTATAATGGCCTTTACAATAGAGTGAATCATCTATATAATATATGATATAGGTGTGTTATTATAATACTTGACTTATCTTGTATTATTGACTTATAGGTAATGGGTCTTGATGATGATGATGATGATGATGACGATGACGACGACGATGAAGAGGATGATGAAGACGACGAAGATGAAACAGATGATGAAGATGAAACAGAATCAGAATTATCAACAGCAAGATCTCAACAAAAGCAGATATCACAGCCAAGACGTGTGTTGCCACGGTAGGACATTGGGATACTGTTGTGACTGTTAGACTGCAGATCTGTGATATACCATCCGTCCACAACTAGAGGAGGCTAATCCTTAGCTCTCAATGCACTTCACAATGTTGACCTGAAGATAAGCCATTGTACTGAATGCCAGTAAAGCGCTTCTTTGCATTTGCTATTTCTTCCATGGTGCAATCAATTATGATTACATTAAGATATGTTACAATTGCTAAGAATGTTTTTGTTTTGCCTGCGAAGTACCATAGTGTTACCAGTATTATATTAGGGAGGAGTCATCTACATTGTATTGAAATTTTTTAACTTCATGTAAAAAAGATTAGTCCAATCTTCACATATAGTTAGATCCATTGATAGTGGACACTTCAACATAGCTACAGCAGCATGATATCCAGATTGTTTTGGTCCAGGTATATTATGAGTTTTAAAATTCCTGTCTTAAGAGGCTTAAGTTTCTTCAAACGTACAAGTGTTCTAAACGACCTTGGAGTATTTTAAGGGTACAAACTCAAATATGGCTTGTCCACTTCACTTATCATCTAGCAAGTGCTGTAACATGTTGAATAGATATTTTTTCTCATTTCATAAGAAGTGTGATATTTTTTTAGTAAAAATGTCATTTTACTTTAAGTTGAAATTTGAGAGTTTTCAAACATCTGTTTGATTGATTCATTTCACTTCAAAATGAGTTTAAAGTCATAAAATAAAACTGGATTGTTTGATATCAGACAAGTGTCCTTCTGTCTTCAGGAAGAGTAGGAATTTTGAAGTTAAAATATAACATACACTTTTATAGCTACAGAGCTTAACACAAAAGCAACAACAGGCAAACATGACAATTCAACCTATGATTAAGTTTAATTCTTGTTATTAAGAAGTTGATCCTCAGAACTTCCAGTCAGCACAGCATTCTTAGTCTAATACTGAATTTCATGTGAAGTGTTTTTAATCTTGAACTCAGAACTTTCAATCAGCATTCTCAGTCTATTACTGTATTTCAAGTGTAGTGCCATATCACTCTCAAATTATTCATTGTAGTCTCTAATTGATTATTTACCTACCAAGGTAAATTAATATCAATGCACGTAATCAAGGAAACCTATTGTCATCCTTGCTTTTGTCTACAATAACATTGATTGCATATCAATATATATACCAGTAGTACCTCTCCTCAGTTGATCTAGGTACATTTTTTGTCTACTACTTCATATGACACTAATTTATAATCCAAGTGGTACTTACCTCCAACAGAAATGGATACATTTTATTACATTTTTTGCAGAAAAATATAGTTTTACCTGTATGATGAAAATATAAATGATACTAGCACTGAGAGTGAAAAAAAAAACCTATTGTTTATATTTTCATTTGTTTGTGACCAGTCAGCATTTGCAGTTATCAATTTTCCCAGGGTGCATTGTGAAATTCAGGTACAACAACTTCCAATATTACAGTTATAGTTGACATGATTGTGAATTTACATGTTTCTGTGTACATAAATGGTATTTATAATGGAAGGAATACATATAACACCTTCTCCAGCACAATATTCCTGACCATCTTCTAGGTGTACCGTTTTGTAGATTTTTTTTTACACATTTAGGTATACTGTGAGGGTTTAATGCCTTGTTGGAAATTTTCTTTTGTAACATGTGGTGCATGAAACAACTTTTCTATGTATTAGTTTGACATGTTTAAATCTTAAACATGTTTTTATTTGCTCTTACATAATATTTACAGATCTGTAATATAGTCCAGTGTTCATTTTGTAATTATTAAATTACAACTGTCTGATATGTTGACAGGTATGTGCATGTCTTTATTAATTTATTTAAGGTACATGAAAGTATCGCATAGTAATCTATTGATAAGATGATGATGTGGGTCAAACTGGTGATGGGTATATCTATAAACATGCAATTTGGCACTAGCATCCCTGAAGAAACTTTATTTGGATGTGTAAGTTTGCTAAATAGGATATTGTAGCTACTAACTATGGAGAGCAGACTAACTGCAAGTTATAGTGTACTTTCATAAGTGGTATAGATCTGACAGAAAGCTAAAAATGTTCCTGTTCCAATTATAGATGTGAACGTGCTGGAAGATTGCCGTTATAGAATTAAATTCTAATCTGAAAAAAAAACCCCACTTTTCTTCAAACTAATTATCCAAAACAATATCAGTTCAACTTTTAGCACCACAATGCACATCTCAATGTCTCAAGTAATAGCTTAATATGAGGAAAATCTGTTGATAATTTCCTGTCTCGGGATATAAGTTGATATTTGTGTCCTCCCACTTCTTCCTTGGTCATAGTAATTATACATTTCATTATGATCTACTGACCAAAATTGCATTGAAACATTGACTGTGAGGATCTTGCTATATGTAACACCTACTCATAGAAATCTGAAATATACTTGTCATGAAGGTGTTTCACCTACATTCACTTAAATACTTACTTATCTGTGGTTAAGGTACCGTATTTCAATTTCGTACAAAACAACGACACATTCTTTGGTGTCTCCTCTGCATTCACCACACCTGCTTTGCTTGCATATCCTATCAAGGTGCTGTGTTAAGACTTCCTCCTTCAAAAGTTACCTCACTGATCCTTTTTAAAAATAAAAAACAACCCAACAACACTACCCTTATGAATCTTATTTCAAACAGAGGGAAGGGAGGTGGAACATTTTACACCTAGGGTAAGTACTGATGCAACGTCATGACCCTTGCCTTAAATACACACCTGATGGTACATATCATTTCTATATACCCTTCATACTAGGGTATATTTTTATATCAACACTATTTATACATGTAATGTGAAACTTCACTATTTTTCACTAATTTTGTGTCTCTGAGTGATTATCATACACATAAATTGTTGGCTATTTGTATATCTAAAATAAATTTGAAATGTACTTGTTAATAATGAACTATCAATGACTTACTACATTGTATGTATACTTGGCTGCTAGCTAGTCCACTACTTTATGATTTTAGTATTTATATGAATGAATGATTCTCTTGTTAATTGTGGTAAGTTTTATTACTATGTTACATGTACGCATGGTCCGATATTAAACTAATACAGATATACATCATTGACTCTTCGATCTTTTTCTTTTGGTTTATATTTTCCAAGTGGTACTCTGTAAAGATAATACCATTTTTACCACACATTGCTTTTACATACATGTACAATTCATCGAATGGATGATGTCTTTGTTTCATTGCTGGGTTCTTTGAGGTGGGATCTGGTAGTGGATTGTGCCCACAACCACAGCAGGACAGGATGGTCTGTGATCTCTAGTGACCCCTGCAGGACATAACCACAGCAGGACAGAATGATCTGTGATCTCAAGTGACCCCTGCAGGACACAACCACATCAGGACAGAATGATCTGTGATCTCAAGTGACCCCTGCAGGACAAAACCACATCAGGACAGGATGATGGGTGATCTCAAGTGACCTCCACAAGACACAGCCACAGCAAGACAGGATGGTCTGAGATCTCTGGTGACCCCCACAGGACATAACCATAGCTGGTTAGGATGGTCTGTGATCTCTGGTGACACCCCAGCAGGACATCCAAAAGGACAACTACAATGGGACAAGATGGTCTGTGATCTCTAATGATCCCCTAAGGACACAGCCACAGCAGGACATATAAGATGGCCTGTAATATGACCTTCCTAAGAAATAAACAGACTGTCTCCAGTAAGAATCGAACCACTCAGATCTCCAAATGAAATTTAGAAGTTGGATGATCTACCGACTGAGCTATCATGTCTCCTTAAATAGAGAATGACAATATCTGAAACAATATTCTCTAACTATATGTGGACATCTACATGTCAAATTTAATTTATTTAGTCTCACTGAAATCCGATCTTGCAACTTAAAAAACACAATAAATCGAACTTTTTCAATTCAGATACATCAATTTTAATGTTACAGACATATCAATTTCAATGTAACAGTTATGTCAATTTTTAATGTCACAGACATATCAATTTCAATGTAACAGTAATGTCAATTTAAATGTCACAGATACATGAATTTAAATGTTAAAGACATGTCAATTTAAATGTTAAAGACATGTCAATTTAAATGTTAAAGACATGTCAATTTAAATATTGCAGACACTCAATTCAAATGTTAGGTACAACTTATATCAACCACTCTTACGTAACAATGCCTTTTAGCCTGGAGTGTCTTCCCTTTTATTTGTAAGGACAATTTCTGGATAACAACTTTGCAAAAATGCAAAATTGGCTGCAGATTTGAAAGTTCAGTCCCTGAACTGTCTTTCTTTTAGGGAAAAACCTTCATGGTATATTTTACTGAAGCAATTATATATGTTACCAGGAAAACATTTGCAACAGTACTTCAGTATTACCTTAATTCTAAACATAATTTAAGTAAGTGAAAGCATCATCATTTCATACCATTTTTGTACATTTTCCTTAGAAATTTGAGTCACACTAACACAGATTCTTTATACCAGTAACATTCAAAGTCTCATTAATCTGTTCGGGTCATTCTGTTGACCTCCGTGTCATTTTCATGACCCTTCAGGGTCAGCAGAGTCTTTCATTTATAATTAACATCGAGGCTTCATACACAAGTGAGAAACTGCAACAAATTACTTTCAATGACCAATCATATTTCATCGAAAATGAATTAGATTTTTGTGTAATACAAAAAAACTTTTTATCATTTAACAAATGCATGTACCTAAATAAACACATTTGGTGATACATGTACACGACTAAATGTACAAAATGATTTATGGAATATATTGGAAAAAATGGGTTGTGTTTTTCAAGATATGTGTGCAGTTTCAGCTGTAAAAATATTATCTAATTTATAATGTTAGAAAAGAAATATGTATAAGCAACATTTCAATTTCTCACATACAATGAAAAAATGATACAAACAGCATATCCTAGAAAATTCTATTGCATTTTTCTCAGTTCTCCCATCCATGAACAGTAGACACTTCACTGACATGGTCACGGACAACCTGGTCTAGAATATCATGAATATCCTTACACCCTTTAACAGCCATGTCTGTCACACGACTCAAATTGTCTTCATGGAGACGTCCATTCATTTCTAAAAACACAATCTGTTCTGATTTGGGCAAAGTAGCTGCAATGATTTCTGGGCTGCCTGAGGACTCTTCCATATAATTAATGTCTGTAATTGGGGTGTCATTAACAAAACTTGAAGAACAGGCACACACATAGTCTCTCAATGCTATCCCTGCATCTATTAGGGCCAATGTTGAGGCATTCACACTGGTACAGTAATTCCCACCATCAGACTGTAACACCTGAAAATTGTGTGAGTAGGATCATTAAACTATATAACAGAATAATGATTACGACATAATGAAATACATCTTTATGTACCGACATCTTACAACTCCTGATTAGATATATTTTGATAATTTTAATGAACAAATAAACAAAACCACAGTTTTCTCATTCTTTAGTATTAAAGGGATTTTTGTTACCAGTGACCACCTACTGAAACCAAATAAGGAAAATGGTCATTTTGTTACTCAGTTATTTACATGTATTCTTATTAGCAGCTTTGTGATAAACATCTCAATTAATGACACAAACTACCATAAGTAGTGTCTTACTTTACATTTCATCATGCACTTTTCCAAGAAATATTGAAAGCTGCATAAAAATCAACTACAAGTTATCTCAATGTTTTGTGAACATTCATCACCAGTGTCCATATACTACTAGTGACTGGCTGATTTCAAATTTGTCACTTGACTGAATTGTCCCCTTAAACCTCTGCTGGAGTCAAACACCTCATGAAACTATTTCTTTTCAGAACAAGTTTCTGGTACCAGGCCAACTGCCTTTTTTCCCCCCTGAAAAACTATTCTGAACTGTGATACAAAGTGCTACTGAATGGTTATATGTGAATATTCTTTTTACCTCAACAAAAATATCAATTTGTGATCTAGGATAGAGGCTTGTTTGGATTGCAGCATCAAATGTTTGTTGAAGATGCATGGTCATCTCTTGTGACTTTCTATCCCCACGCGGTCTTCGTTTACGTTCTCCAGTACTAAATGTGGCCATACTGTATTGACAGTTTACGAGAACCTTGTCATGTAGAGCTTTACTCCTACTTCCTCGAATCTGTAATGGAAACGGTAACTTCACCATGAACATTCTGGTATCAAATTTAACAATAAGAACAGGACAAGCCAGATCAGTAATCATTTATAACATGAAAGCAATGTAAACAGTATAAACTGTAAATAAATTACACAAATGTTTAGATAAATATATGTGTACATAATTTTTCACCATTCCCCATGATCACTGATTCACAAGTAATTAAAAACAAAATCAATATTTCAGGACAGGTGAGATAATGCAGTAGTGTGTTCTTCATTCTGCATTAGTTTTTCTCTTTGAATATTTTCACCTCATTAACCAAGAAGCAAAGAGTCATGATATTGGACTGAAAAATTTTGTGGGTGAGCCTGACAAAGTTTTCGAAAAGAAATTACTTTTACCTATATTAAAAGTCAAATGGGTCAATTTTCAAAGGATGTCATAAACCAAGTGGTGAAGAGTCTTTAAAAATATAATGATCTTAAACTGATGTTGTATATGAAGTGAGAAATGACTATAATTCGCTAAAATCAAATAAAACTAAGAACTAATGCAAGATATTGGAAGAAATAAAAAAAAACTATTGATCATGAAAACCTTTTATTAGCATGTAACAAGAAAAATTAACAGCTAGACCTCACTATAAAACACTGCAAATCGACTTTTTTTTTATCATGATTGATGTAATATAAAAAAAATCACCAGCCTGCATATTACTTCTCTATGATACAACATTTTACGCGAGATTTTATGTGACTTTCATTTGTTTTATTAAAACAGGTACCAGCCTTTCTTATTAATACATTCAATGTATAATCATTCGCACATTATTTCACGAACGTATTAAGAGGAGGCTAACACCTAAACGGTATGTATGTATGTATTTAATCACACTTGCCTCATGAGGACCGTACACGGCAGCTAAAACTTTAGTATTTCCCTGTTCTATGTATGCCGAACCATCGGCTTGATTAAATACTCCTAAACGGCATTGAATCTTCCGCAATTCATGGGGCCTTCGTCCATCAATGCGGAACCCTTGATCTGACAATAATTCTAGACCTGCCATGCTTTACTCTGAAAATGAAACCGGATATTATCAACGGTTTCTAATCGAGAAACCGGTATAAAACTTGCTATGCGAATGTGTTTAAATGTTATCACTTCACTTGAGAAAAAATTCTTCTATCATTTTGATATTACTGCTTATTTATATAAAAGACAAAACATATTTCTATGATACAAATATTGCACAATACTTTTTCTTACAGAACATAAATAGATTAGTGAAATACGGAGCCCTCCCTTGGAGCTCTTCAGTGTTTCGTTTTCACAACGAAAACAGACGACAACGACACATGCGTTCGGTTGTTCAGATTGGTGACGGTGAGAAATCTTAAATGCTTGAATTGCTTTGATTTTAAAGGGGTTTGTCAACTAATTATACAGCGAGGTACTTAAATGTTACTTTTAGCTAATTCATTATAGTAAACCTTCATGATAATAGGATATAGACTCTGTAGAATTTGATAAGCTGGACTAGAAATCAAAACCTTTTTTCAATCTTCATTCCAGCAAAAAGCATACACACATCATTGTATTTGGCATCGTTTAGAAAGACCTGCTTTTCGCACTGGAATACAAACTGACATGAGTGCCGCTCTCCTATTTAAACATTACCGTGTGACCAACCAACATCATCAATTTATTCAAGACCCTAAATATTCGCACAGCCACAGTGGCAATTTACTCAAATGGAAGATTAATTTCAAAGTATAATACAAGTTTCTTGGAATGCAACCAGATTATTATATTTTTAGGTCAACTATCATACAGCAGAATACCATGGAGGAACCAAGCAGTGGAGCATATTTGAAAGTCTTAAAAGATGCCAAATCTGACAACGAAAAGTTTGCAGCATTATTGCTGGTATGTATACAGTGATTTACACACACACAATCAGCTAAGGCCAGAGGGTCAATTGTGGTCTTGATACTATCATTATTTAGATAATGTGTTACTAGTTATAAAACCGATATAACTGTCATAAGGTTTCCCTGTTGTGTTGTTATTGTGTCTGGGTTCATTGTCAGGTAATTTTGAGACAGGGTCTCATTGTAGTAACTGGTGGATTCTTCACCGAACAACATACAGGAGGCCTGTCTCATGCCATTCCCAGCAAAAACAGTAGTGTCTTGCCCAAGGACACAACTATGACAGCACAGACTGGTCTCAGCTTCTAGAGAAACACAACCCCCTTGGGATAGGAGCTGTAGCTAGAACCACACATGATGGTTCTTCACCTGATGTCATGTAGGCTACAACTATTCCTGCCTTGCGTGATATTGATAAAGAAGCATATATTAGTCACAATAGTTTTTCCTGCTGATATGTATTTGTCATGCCATTATAAAACACAGGCTGATATGCTTATGTACATGTTAATACACTACCTCAAATTTAAACTAAATTATAATCAAACAATTCTTGTTATTTAAGGCTGTGAAAAAATATGAGCAAATGATATTATATCCTGATTACTTGACCTATGGCGGCAAGATTCACTGCTTTTTCTTGGGACTTTTACTTGTAAGGGCAGATGAAAGTCAGAAGTTACTAGTTAACTGCTGAAAATTGCTTCCCTCTTGATACAAAATCTCTTTTCCTTTTGTAATATGTAGCTTTTTGCCATTTCAATGAAATTATTTCCGTTTTACTATATTATCTCTTAAATGTTTGTGACATCAGCTCTTGCCTGAGTTTAAACCTCATCCAGGTTATAACATTTTATTTTATAGTGTTGTATTCAATAATATTTACACTGTAACTTTCTACCAGGGGAATTAGTTATCCTCAGATGACTTTATTCATTCCCATCTTGTCATGCCTATAATTTATCCCTTCTCTGTTGTATGGTTGATTTATTCGGACATTAAGACTTAGATAATCATAAACAATTATTTCATGTTTCAGATTGCGAAACTGACTAAAGCCAAAGCTTTATCAAAGGAAGAAAGGAATGAGATGTTTTCGACAATTGGTTTGAAGTTCCTTATCAGACTTCTAAAGTCTAGTAAGAATCATTTTTGTAAATCCATGCAAACGAAGGAGAGATGTACATGGGGCTCTACCTAACTCCCTTTCACTCTAATTGACTAAAAGAATGTTTCCATTAGCTGATACTAGTAATAAGACTTCTGATTTCTAGTCCCTGTACTTCTACCTATGACTGGTATTATGTAAAATGTGACATAAATAAACACTTAAGATAATTTAATGAACTAAAATCTAGATATTATAATGAAAAAATGTCATTTTTTCAATTGGTTATATTTGGCAGAAACTGCTCCAGAGGGATGTGCTGTTAGTATGTATCAGTCCATAGCTCTCAGTATTTTGTCTGGTCTGTGTACAGATCCACACCAGGTAAGAAACATGTTCAAAGAACAAACAAATTTTTTTCTTATATTTGGAAAATTTATTTATTGTTAGTACAGTTATGATGTTATTTTGCTTGATGGCAGTCTGAAATGAGTTCATTGGTGCTGTAAAAAATCATGAAAAGTGATAACTGATAACACATATTTTCATTTTCAGAATTATATTGACTGTTTGGCATTTCCATGCTCTCCAAAATTTTTTTGAGGGAGCATATAGTTGTCGCTTTATCAATCCATCCGTTTAGTATCTGAAGGATAATGAAACTGGTTGCATACATTGTATACATTTTTCATACACTTGACATGGCTTTAGTATGTAAGACGATGTCGAGTGTATGAAAGTCAAGGTGCATAACTCGTAATTAAGGAGTTATTGCCCTTTGTTAAAATTTCTTGTCTGGAGCAAAACTTTGCTTGCATTTAAAATTGAATAACAAAACTTGTGTGTACATTGGTTATACTAAGATCATATGCATTGTACCAAAGTAAGGGCCTGCAAGTCCCTCAATTACATAACTAACATCCTTTGTTAAAATCTTTTGTCCAAGCATAAATGTATATTGAATTAATGCCAGTGAAACTCACAGCTTATGATAAGTACATTTTTGAAAACAGATTCAAAACCTATAATCTTTGAACTCTTGATTGTCTCCCACACAATTTACAATACTAAAATATAAACACACGATGTCATACTAGTAACACAAGTGCTTATATCTGACATACACACTAAGTATCAGATTGAGTGAAATAAACCCATACATTCATAGCTCACTTATAAGTATGTGTCAGACACAAATACATGTATGGAACATATCAAAACATTATTCTGGCTTCTTTCAAACTCTTCATTGTAACATATTTTACACAAGTGAGTCATAAATATATTACCAAATAAAAATTTCACAGCCAGGAATAATCTCCAATGAAGTTGCTTTCGAGAATTCATCATTTCACTTACACTCTTGATTCCTAATGATATTGGTGCATTTCATTTGTTATGTGTCTGCTGAGGAATATTAATGAAATCAACTTCTTTATTGTAATTTTAATAATCTGGAAGTTAAAATGTAAGTGATGTTTTCCATTAAGGTAACCTTTTAGCATTTTTAACTATTTGTTAATTTCAGATTGCAAAAATAGGACTGGAGAAGCACATCGAAATATTGAATGGGATAGTGTTAAAAAATGCAGGGTATGTACCACACTTGTTTATACAACAGAATAGTTTATCTTAACATTTTGAGATTACGATAAACATCCATCATTCCATATAACACTGATTTTAGTTTTGGTGTTGGCAATGTTAGCCAAAAAGTGCACTTTTCTTGGAGATTAGATATGGTTCCTTAACAACATACTTGTAGATACAGATGTTAACATATTACTTAACAGGGAAGATGAGATGGCCACAACAATGGTTGCTGATTGTTATGATATTCTACAAAATCTGGCCAGCACAGCAGAAGGATGTGATCAGCTGTTGGTTAAGTGGACACCAGTCACACTTTGCAGGGTGATCCTTGACAACCTTTATGGTGAGAAGATAAAAAAATAACAGTAGAACTTGCCAAATACTAAAAAGCATTGAAACACAATTTAGAGTCACCTGCAGTGAAATGATTTTTGTGTAATGCAAACTTGCAATTATGTTTTAATTGGAGGAGAGGGGGGTGTATATAGTGTTACCCTGTACCCTTGTCTGTCTGAGCGCCTTGTTCAGAATCATATCAATATTCTGAGGAGAACTTCTCAACAGGTACGGTTCATATTAACCCCACAGTATCATAACAAAGTTCTACACCTGATCAGATTCTGGGTTGCATAGGAGTGGGGACATTCATATCTGATACACATTTTCTAGCTATTTAATTTGTTAGCTTTAATTACCTTTTGATGTATTTTTCTTTGTAGTGAAATCTTAGAAAATTAAGTGGTGATCTCTTGCTCATTCAGATTCTACCTTTCAAACAGACTGCAAAAGATGTTGCAGAAAGATGTTTGTAAATACTCTAACCTGTCTAAAACCTGCCTACAGAGGCCACTGAATGAAGTGCATATATCAATCATGCATTAAAACCTGTCTTTGAAGGTCACTCAAGTGAGCAGAGATGTAGTAATCATACACTCAAACCTATATATAAAAACCACCAAAGGGAACAGATGAAGGATTGTTTGTAAGAAACATGTGAAAAAAAAAAATTAACTATTCCATTTACAGAATGACATGTATCTAGACATGAATGAAATCATTTTATCTGTCCTCTAGGCTGGAGTGCTTTATCTGTGTTGTCTTTTTACAGGAGCTGACAGAGCAGAGGGGGTGTTAAAGTGTATGTTGTCTGTGACTGGACCCAGGGTGTGGCTGACACACAGGCAGACTAAACTTCTTCACAGCATGATGGTGTACCTTGTTAAATCATTCCACAATTTTCAGGTAATGGTATACTGCATGGGATGTTATTAGCATAGGACACACATTTCTTGTACACAGGATTAGCAAATCTCTCACAACATCCATTGTTAGATTTTTTGTCTCGTCTGATATGCCTGATACATCAACACAACATTAGGTACAAAATTATGTCTTTCTCGAGTATAACAAAAAAGGGAGATTATTAAGTTGAATCAAAGAATTTGCAACTGAGAATAGTTGGTAAAGTTTTCATGCCTAAAATTCTATCACTTGTTCATGTTTGAGATAGGTTTATCTCAGTTGAATGCTGAGATTGATCAAATCTTTCACCCGTATTGTTTGTGAGATAGATGGATCTGAACCCTCAGGGGGATATCATTTTATAGGATGAATATTATTTTTCTCTTACCCTGCTGGCCATCTTATGTAAAATGTGTTGTTGACAATACTTGGCATTGTTGAAGTAACATCATAGCAATTCAAGTGGAATCCCCTATCTCAGCTTGTAGAAAATTTTACAGAGGTAAGGGAGTGTATACACCTGTCTCATTTGAATCCACAACTTATTATGAAAACATATATATATTGTTGTTTTATAGGCATGTACAATAGAATCTTACACATTATGCGTAAGATTAAATCGTAATGTGTGAAGCGTCTGAGGTGTGGGAATCTCCACTATTCATACACTGCCCATATTATGCACTGAGACAAGGAGTAAGAGAAAAATAATAGGATGAGATAGGGGGATCTCAGCCCTCGAACACCAGACTTGCCTCATGTTTGACAACTTAATAATTCCCCCTCAGGTTGAGATCCCCCTATATCACCCTAAAGTGGATGAAAGATTCTCTTAATCTCCTACACATATAGATAACAGATTTTATTAGTACAGAATTACACTATAAAGGAATCTTAAGTTAATTTATGAAAGGAGACATGAAGATAAATATAGACCTTTCCTTTTTCACAGGATGAAACCAAATTTGAAATGTGTGGCTTTCTGCAACAGATGCTTCAAAGTATTCCAGATGACATGGTAAGTGTAGCCAGAAGGTTTACATAACACAATTCTCTTGCTTTTCAAAGTAAGATGATTACTATGAACTTAAATAAATCCTGTTATATATGTCTGTTTCACCAATATTTTTTCCAGGTTAACGAATGTAAGAAGAGTACCTGGCTGCCTGTCTTGGTGAAAACATTGAAAGAAATACTTACCAGTAGATTAGGTAAGGTAGATTGTCCAAGTTCACAATTTGTTGTGCGGAGGATAAAAGTGATCAGTATTCTGAGAAGTTAGTTGCCATCTTCTTCATTTAAATTGCAATAAAAAACAAGAAAAAGAAAAGTTGGGTTAGCTACTGATCAATAGATAATTATCCTTAGTATAGTTTCTATGATGTAGTTTAGTTTATTCTTTCTGACTGGTACTTACATATTAATTCTAATGCTGAGAAGTCAAACATTATCAGAACAGTATTAAGGTTGAAATATTGCTTTGGAGAACTTACGAAAGACATATATTATGGAAAATGAAAAATTCTGATCAGCCAGTAAATTAAATGTTGCAATATGTTTCGTGATGCCGAAGCTGTCGTGCCATTTTTGTACTAGATTTTTAATGCTTGTTCAGGTGAAGACCAGCGGAATCCCACATTGTGCTTGGTGGCTGTGATAATTGATCGCCTAGGAGTGACCACTGTCCTGCCACCACTAACACCTGACTGCCAGCTCCTCCTGGTCATCACTCACCTCAGTTGTATTGAAATAAGGATGATCTTGGAAAACTTCTCATTTGAACAGGTGATTGATATTGAAATGTGATATTTACCAGCCAATTTTCATCATAATGTAACTTTCATCTGTCTGTCCTTTGTTTTGAGCACAGATTTATCATTAATATGAATGTTGATATAATGCATACCAAATCCAGTAATCATATTTTAGGGGCAAATTAACAAGGGGAAAGATGAAAAATAGATTTCACCAGTAAAATGTGAATAATTGATTAATGGAAAGTTTTCCACAATATAGTATAGTGATGGGACAATGCTCAGATATAATCAATTATCTAAACAGTAAACCTCATATAATTGTAATTTTATGTTATCAGTCATATGTACTTTAATATTTTCTTGTGTTTTATCAAAAACAAAACTCATATTATGAATACTAGAAATGCTAGTTTACAATAATATTCATTTTTGTTAATTTTAAGGAAGTGAGGTTTATTTGAAGTTACAAATAAAAAAATCTCTGATTATTGAACACACAGTCAGCTGATTATGTGATTGACTAACTTCATCAGAAAGCCTTTCTGATTTGAACTGATAATCAATTTTGAAGAAATTTCCCATTACTTATACAAATGTAAAATAGTTTACACGTCTGAAAAGTAATTTACATATTTTATCATGTGTAACTCTGCTTAAGAATGACTTTGTGTATGATGTGAAGTTTCCATGGTGATTTCCTTGATGTGGATCAATGGAATCTTTTTTGTTAGATATGCTACTTTAAGCAATGTGAACATTTAAGCTATTGAAGTGATTTATTGACATTAGAGACTGATTTGGGAATTCAGTAATTCTAGATTACTAACAGAAATTCTAGATTAATAGAAACACAAGGTCTAAATCTTTCAATTGTTTAATAGGAACTGGCATTTTATCATCATTTCTTAAATCCTGTCACTCTATCAAATTTACTACAGTAACATAAAAAGTGTTCCCTATTTAAAGTAAATTATATCATCATTTCTTACGTTTCATCACTCTATAACTTAATTAGCCCACCATCGTTAGATGGTGGGTTATTCAAATCGCCCTGCGTCCGTGGTCCGTGGTCCGTCCGTCCGTAAACAATTCTTGTTACCGCTATTTCTGGAAAAGTACTGGATGGATCTTTCTCAAATTTCATATGCAGGTTCCCCTTGGTCCCTAGTTGTGCATTGTACCTTTTTTTGACTGATTCGAATTCAAGATGGCCGACAGGTGGCCATCTTGGGTTTTGAATGTAAAAGTTTGTTACTGCTATTTCTTGGAAAGTACTGGATGGATCTTTCTCAAATTTCGTATGCAGGTTCCCTTTGGTTCCAAGTTGTGCATTATACCTTTTTGGACTGATCCGAAATCAAGATGGCCGACAGGCAGCCATCTTGGATTTTGAGAGTAAAATCTTGTTACTGCTATATCTGAGGAAGTACTGGATGGATCCTTCTGATATTTCATAGATATTGGTTTCCCTTGGTCCCTAGTTGTGCATTGTACCTTTTATGGACTGATTTGAAATCAAAGTGGCCCACAGGCAGCCATCTTGGATGTCGACAGTAATACAGCACAAGCATATTGTCCATTATCCACCTGTAACTGACTGCTATCTAATAATACTTTGGGATCTTTTTCAAATGATATTTGCTAATAGGTGCTTAATAAAAATATCTTGTGCCATCATTGAGTACATTCAATGAAGACCAGTTCATGAACATTTACAACATCTGTAACAAACAAAAAAAAAATAAACAAATCTTCAAGAACTGAAAACAGATCCTCAAATGGTGGGTGCCAAGATCCATCTGGGATCTTTTGTTACAGTAACATTCGAAATGTTCCCTATTTAAAGCCAGAACAATTAAGAACAGTTAGATGATAGATGACATTGGATGTTATTGTATACAAATGTACTAGGTTTCATATCATACTTGAAGATTAGATTACTTTTGTGTAAATGTCTTATCAGGTTGTACAAAGGGCTGAGGTGCTGTGTAGCTGTTACCTATTAATGGAGAACATCATTTATTATATGACCATGTCCCCATCACTAAAGCTGGATGAAAAGCAGGTCACACAACTCCATCATGCCATGGTGGGCTCTGTCAATGCAATTCTGTGTTTTCTCCAGGAAGTCTCTGAAAGGGAAGACTCACATGTATGTAAATCATCATTGGTGGAAAATATGGAAGATATTTTTGAAAGGAGAACAGTAGTCTTAGTAGACAAAAACATAAAATATGAAAGAGAAGGTTTTATTATATCATTTTGGTAATCCATTTATCCTATGATTAAGTTATGAAGAAAGAAGAAAAAAATTACACATTAGTTTTTGGTTCACATGTTAAATTCACTGGGAATGATATAAGTACCACATAGAAAATAGTTTTTGGTTATCTTTTCATATTTTCAGAAATACCCAGAGCCAGTAGTGATTGCCACAGTGAGAGTCCTGGGGGTGTGGATGTCTGAGGAAACCTCAGCTCTAAAGGAACACACCTATGCATTGCTGCCATTTCTCCTCAAAGTCTGGTAAAGTCCTTCTACTTCTGAATGTATTCATAGGATATTTTGTATCCATCACATCAAAGTTAGGTACTCACCATCCATTACATCTAAAACGAGAAGTGTTGTGTTGATTTCAGAGAACTTGTATATATATCATCAGTATGCTGTATTTTAAAGTTGCAAGCTTTGAAAATTATGTTTTCATTTTAATCTTCATTCTTGCACAATTTGGAATCATGAAAAACTATTTAAGTGAAGAAAGTACGAAATGTAATCTACCCTTGATTTTGTTATATATGCTATATAAAAAGCATAAAAGTATAATTACAACCCTATTTTTTTATCTTGCAGTAAACAACAAGTACAATCTAGAAATACGGCAAAAGGAAGTGGAGATAGGTGTTCCGAACAACCAGCTGGAATAGCAGACCAACAATTTAATGAAATAAGACCAGCATACCAATCTCAGAAACCTTCAGCAGAAAAGAACACAGCTAGTCTAGAGACTGCCCAGGAAGGGTTGTTTTCAATGGATGGTTCAGGGTCGAAGGTCACACAGAGGAATAATTCTGTTGAGGAGGTTCTTTCTGCTTCTATAGAGCATTGTGACATTAAATGTGATATTGATAAATCAGACATTTCTACACAATGTGAGGAGCAAGAGAAACCAGATCAGGGAAATATACAATCTGTTAAAATTTCAGAAAATGAAGTGCTAGAAGATGGAAAGAGAAAAGAAAAAAACAATAATGTGACAGATAATTCATCACACAAATCCAAATCAGTGACTTTTAGCATGGAACTCTGTGGAGACTGTGGGGTCGCTGATGATAATTTACTGCATTCAGAGCCTACAGACAAAAGTATATGCAGTGTGGTAAAATTTGACACTGAAAATAACTACAATTGCAACAATGTTGATTTATTACGCTTCCTGTTACCAGCTTTCTGTCATTTCATGGCAGAGGATGAGTCACGCCAGATACTGCTTACCAACCAAACACAGACTCTTCTAGTTGATTACTTTAAGCTCTGTCTCAGCACTGTCATGGAGGGAGAGGACTGCAATGAGGCAAAGGTAATGATAGATTTTGGTTGATAACAAGACAACAAAGATATTAAAATCAGCCTTTGTCTAATAATAGCTTCATGAGAGATTATGATATTGTAAATCAAGGCAGAGACCAAACAATTCTTAGTATTGATAGTGTTGGTATCTGAACTGGTCTGTACTTTTTCTGAATTTTTCATGGAGATAGAATACAAACAGTCAAAAGAAGGAGCACCATTAAGAGGGAGGTTGAATGGTCAAAGGAATGTGTAGCATTAAGATGGAGGTTGAATGGTGAAAAGAATGCGTAGCATTAAGATGGAGGTTGAATGGTCAAAGGAATGAGTAGCATTAAGACGGAGGTTGAATGGTCAAAGGAATGAGTAGCATTAAGACGGAGGTTGAATGGTGAAAAGAATGAGCAGCATTAAGACTGAGGTTGAATGGTCAAAAGAATGAGTAGCATTAAGACGGAGGTTGAATGGTCAAAGGAATGAGTAGCATTAAGACGGAGGTTGAATGGTCAAAAGAATGAGTAGCAGTAAGACGGAGGTTGAATGGTGAAAAGAATGAGTAGCATTAAGACGGAGGTTGAATGGTCAAAAGAATGAGTAGCAGTAAGACGGAGGTTGAATGGTGAAAAGAATGAGTAGCATTAAGACGGAGGTTGAATGGTCAAAGGAATGTGTAGCATTAAGACGGAGGTTGAATGGTCAAAGGAATGTGTAGCATTAAGACGGAGGTTGAATGGTGAAAGGAATGAGCAGCATTAAGAAGGAGGTTGAATGGTGAAAAGAATGAGTAGCATTAAGACGGAGGTTGAATGGTCAAAGGAATGAGTAGCATTAAGACGGAGGTTGAATGGTGAAAAGAATGAGCAGCATTAAGACTGAGGTTGAATGGTCAAAAGAATGAGTAGCATTAAGACGGAGGTTGAATGGTCAAAGGAATGAGTAGCATTAAGACGGAGGTTGAATGGTCAAAAGAATGAGTAGCAGTAAGACGGAGGTTGAATGGTGAAAAGAATGAGTAGCATTAAGACGGAGGTTGAATGGTCAAAAGAATGAGTAGCAGTAAGACGGAGGTTGAATGGTGAAAAGAATGAGTAGCATTAAGACGGAGGTTGAATGGTGAAAAGAATGAGTAGCAGTAAGACGGAGGTTGAATGGTCAAAGGAATGAGTAGCGTTAAGTTGGAGGTTGAATGGTCAAAGGAATGAGTAGCATTAAGACGGAGGTTGAATGGTCAAAGGAATGTGTAGCATTAAGACGGAGGTTGAATGGTGAAAAGAATGAGTAGCGTTAAGTTGGAGGTTGAATGGTCAAAGGAATGAGTAGCATTAAGACGGAGGTTGAATGGTCAAAGGAATGTGTAGCATTAAGACGGAGGTTGAATGGTCAAAGGAATGTGTAGCATTAAGACGGAGGTTGAATGGTGAAAGGAATGAGCAGCATTAAGAAGGAGGTTGAATGGTGAAAAGAATGAGTAGCATTAAGACGGAGGTTGAATGGTGAAAAGAATGAGTAGCGTTAAGACGGAGGTTGAATGGTCAAAGGAATGAGTAGCATTAAGACGGAGGTTGAATGGTCAAAGGAATGTGTAGCATTAAGACGGAGGTTGAATGGTGAAAAGAATGAGTAGCATTAAGACGGAGGTTGAATGGTGAAAAGAATGAGTAGCATTAAGACTGAGGTTGAATGGTCAAAAGAAGGAGCAGCATTAAGACGGAGGTTGAATGGTCAAAGGAATGTGTAGCATTAAGACTGAGGTTGAATGGTCAAAAGAATGAGCAGCACGAAGACTTGGGGTCAAATGGTCAAAAGATGGAGTAGATTAAGACAAAATGAACGGTCAAAATTAAGAGTAGCATTAAGTATGAACACATATTTCAGGTCTTGTAAAAGGTTGTTCCTTTAGTTTTTGTAGGGTAAATATTGAAGAAGGCAAATGGCACACTTATTGTTAAAATGTTAAGGGTGGATGTATTTTTGTTCAAGAAACAAAATAGCACATTTTAGTACATCTTCATTTGTCAATCCTTTTTGTATATCTTCATCTGTCCATTTCAGAGAAGATTGCTAATGGTATGTTGAGCCTTAACAGATCTGAAACATTTTGTGGGAGTTTGCTTGTGGTTTGTAGATTATTAATGAATCTGTGAAAAATTTCAGGGGAGTTTGCTTGTGGTTTGTGGAGCCTTAATGAATCTGGTGGTGTTGGAGAAAGATCTGATCAGCAAGGATGAGGACATGCATATCCTATGTCAGGCTGTGGTGGAAGCTGTACCTGTTCTCTGTAAGTACATTGTATAGAGTGTTCCTTTTAGCATTGAATTTCTTTGTAAATGTTTATTAGATTTGTAAACAAACACAGGCGAATTAACAGTTTAGCCTTAACAACAATTATATTTTTCATACTTTGTTATAGCTAACCGAGAGGATTATCTGATTCTATGGTGTAACCTAGTCACATTAGGAATGTTCCTGTTACTACGACAGTACAAAACCTCGAGAGGTAATGTAACCATACTTGTGTTGAACAAGGTCTGGATCCAAAAAATCCTGCACCTGTAATGTCAAGCATATTTAGAATCTGAACATGTAAAGTCAAGATACTTAAGGTCTGTACAAGTAAAATCAGGGACATTTATGGTCTGTACCCATAAAGTCCAGGACATTTAATGTCTACACTCAGATTTCTGTTAATAATAGTGCAGATACACCAAAGTAGACATGGAAAAGTTGAGTATCAAAAAGTATTAATGAGCAATTGACAGATGTTTAATAAAGAATGACAAAATAAAAATGATTTGACAGATGAAAGTCTTTGTACATTTGTAGGATTTGTATCAAATCATTGAACACATGGGATCTTGACATTACCTCTGATTACAGTGCTTCCGGATCAGAAATCAAAATTCTTTGTCGTGGCGATGTCGTTTGTGAAGGGTCCATTTACTAGTAAGACTCACAAGCGTAAGGAGGTGGTTCAGATCAGTGATGTGTATACACCTATTTGGGAGGACGTTTCTGAGCTTTGGCATCTTACTCTACAGGGTAAGTATGGACACTTTGTGTAATGTTACAGATACATTGGAAATCCTCTGAGATTTAAGTGATATATATAATACATGTATATGTGTGTGTTTTGTTTCGGGCATGGGTCAATTTACAGTAACAATATTTTAGATGATATACCTTATAATACACATTGTTTAAACATTGGTAGGTGAGAAAGTGTGCTATAGCCTCACTAATTTTTTTAGTCATCCACTTTCCTTTCCATCCACTGTCATTTATGCGTTAATCTTCTGCAATTCTTGTAGCTTGAACTTCATTCTGACCTACATTTTGACCTTTAAAAGAAAATGTTTGTCGGGGCTCCATCTCCCACACTTCTTGCCACTTGAACTTCTTACTTGAGGAATGGGTTCAACTTGGTGAGGCAGTGTATGGGATATCAAAAGATGGTCACTCTGACTTTCATTTTGACCTCTGACCTATATCAAAGGAAATTTGTCCAGACTCAATCTCCTTCACTACAGTCACTGGAACTTAACCCATAGTATTTGTGTTCACCTTGGTGAGGGAGTGTCAGTGGGGGACTCTGCTGAATCATCTTGCTAATTTATTAAACAGGAGTATCAAATCTGTTGTGAAGCTAAGGAGAATCCCAGTCATTCTACCCCAATATAACTGGAGATATATGACTTGTATTTTTCAGCTATTAGTGAGTGTATCCCGTTGTTTCCTGTACTGTCACATACACTGCTATCTGCTGGGGTTCTACCTCATTGGAAGAAACTGTTGACTAAAACCTCTGGTATGTACTGGTACTAAGGTCTCTTAGGGTATGTACCATACAACTTGATTTATCAAGTTACTAGATACTTAAAAATTTAGTCTCACATTTTCTTAAACTTATGCACATATGTCGTCCTAATTCTTTTTTTCTCATTGCTGGCAGTTTCAGTTATAAATTACATTTTCACATCCTAAAATATACTGTCACCTTATTGTAATAACTTCATGGTGTCTTTAATTATGACATCAGATTTGTGCAACAATATCTAACTCTAGTAAAGTCTCCAGTTAACACTAGATCTTTATTTACATTTTACAATTTGATTTATGTATTTCTTTAGGCAAAGGTGTTCCAGACAGTGTTCAACAGAGTGTATTAAAACTGATCACAGTGGCTGTGAAAACCAGCCCCAAAGTACGAGAAGTTGCAAAGACAACAGGATACCTTGTCATTTCACAGTAAGTCAATTATTTGTCATTAGTATATTATTATATACAGCAAAACAACTTTCCTTCTCTCTCAGTTCACTTTTTGCAAATTTTTGCATTGGAAGCATTACCAGAAAACTTTGAATCATAACATGTTTTCCTTAATTGAACTTAATTATTGTTTTTTGTACATCTGTTTTTAATTTCATTGACAATTTATTGAAGAAGTTTTTAAAAACTGTGAATGACCTTCAATTGCTATCAAAACAAACGCCCAGACACCTAATGAATTTTCCAGTATACAAGTTGTTACTTTTTTTCTCCGGGGTGTGGTAGGTTTTTGTCCAGTGTGGCTTGTGTGGCAACAAAAAATAAATCCAAAGGATGGGGAAAAAAGTGCTGTTTTCATACAACATCAGGGCTCTCACACCCCATTTTGGGACTGGGGCCCGGGGCCCTTAGAATTGGGAAAAATAGCTGTTTTCCTTAGAATTGGGAAAACTTGGGGTCTAAATTGGGAAAAAAGATACTATTTTACATTGGGAATGGGGCCGAATATCGGCCCCAAATCTGGCAGATCGAGAGCCCTGAACATACACATTATAAACGTAAATTTTAAATCACTCGAAGTAACATTTTGATAAAAGTCTTGTAGCACACTGGTTTTTACAAATACCTGACAACCATGTGTTTGTGACTGAAACAGATCGTGTATAACTGTTACTTGTGATAGTATACAGGATGATTTGAAATCTGCAATAAAAATAACATAACATGGATGTCATTAATCATACCTTTCAGTATTTGAAACATTCATGATTACTTCACAGCAATTGCAAGAAGGCATGGTAGAATTTAAGAATAGACTATGGTACCATTTGATGTGATGTGTGTTTTATTGATGTATTTTATTATATACTGTTAAAATATTGATAAAAAGTCAGCTATGAAGCCTATATACTGGTGTGACTCACAATGCCAATATTTATCAATCTGAAAGCTAATAAGATCAATTAATTGGTCAGGGTATTGTGCCACACTTACTGTTAATAAAGTACCAAAAGTTGTTCTAACCTAAGAAAAGGTCAGCCATGGTACAGTTTCTCTAAAATGCCCAATAAAAAGTTGAACAGATGTGACCAAAGTGGGGCTCCCTGTCAGGTTTAAATGTGGACCATACACTTCAAAATTTTAAAAGGGTGTGTTTGAAATCAGGGAAGTTAATTATCATGAACTCGTATTCCAGAAATTGCAAAATCATGAAATTAAATGGCCACAAACCTTTTGTGTTGCTGAAATTGGAAGGTCATAGATGTGACCTTTTGTTGCTGAACTAAGGATTTAGGTACTTTATGTTGCAAATGTAAAATCATTTTGAATCTGATTTTTTTTATTTACAGAACTTACCAGCAGACAGATCTACAAAGCTTACTGACCTAAACCTTGGATTATACCACATAGCAGTGCCATTACATTTCACATCACCAAATGTTCATTAAAGGTCATATCAAGTTTTACTCCTGTGTTGCTCTTATTTGTGTAATGTTGTACCTTGATAATAATCTGGAAAAAATCTCTTAAAGAGACTCAGTCTTAAGTTGAGAATACAAAGATTGCAATCTTAATTAAAACAATGATCATCATTATTACACTCTGTAATATAATCTTAGATTCATGTCAAAAGTAAAAGATGCATTCATAGACCTACCAGTTGATCAGTTTTAATGTTTGAATAGATAGGTGGTCTTTATAGACCGGTGTTGTTTTTACAGGCAATATACAATATAAGGTATATCTATATATAGAGAGAGTATTTATAGACATGTTATATACATGTATCTAGATAGGTGGGCATTGCCAGGATGTATAGACAGGTGGTGTTAACAGACAAGAAATATATAGACAGATGGTCATTACAGATAGGATGGTCATTACAGACAGGATATATATATAGACAGGTGGTTTTTACAGACAAGAAATATATAGACAGATGGTCATTACAGACAGGATATATATATAGACAGGTGGTTTTTACAGACAAGAAATATATAGACAGATGGTCATTACAGACAGGGTGGTCATTACAGACAGGATATATATATAGACAGGTGGTTTTTACAGACAGGATATGTAGACAGTTGGTCTTTACAGACAGGTTATATACATGTATCTAAACAGGAGGGCTTTACAGACAGGATGCATATAAACAGGTGATCTTTACAAACAGGATATAAATAGACATGTGGTCTTCATTGACAGGTGGTCTTTAAAGACAGAATATATATATATATAGACAGGTGGTCTTTACAGATAGGACATACATATATAGAAAGGTGGTTTTACAAAGAAAATACATATAGAGAGAGACAGGTGGTCTCTACATACAGGTTATATATGAAAAGGTGGTCATTACAGACGGGTTATATTTAAGAAGGCAGTCAAATATTTGGGCAAGAAGAAACAGATTTTAATTTACAATATTGACCTTAGTTGTCCGACGTAGGGAAAAAGAACAAGGCTTATATTTTGTCTTCACAAATTTAATTTTTCAACATCTTATGCTGATCCTCAAAAAAACAATTTTTTAGCAATAAGATTAAAAACAACTGAACATTTTAAAAAGATATTGTGAAATAACATTTGACAATTGTCAGAGTAATATGAGAGGCATTAATACTCCCTAGTCCTCTGTATTACACAAACACTCCTCTGAAGCATTCATCTCCAACACATATTTACTTTGTTTAGCGACCTATAACAGCACACAGATGTAGGTCTCTCCTTTTAAAACATTCCTCTGATCACAAATAAAGCTACATATACTGTCTGTTGTCCATTTGGCTCGTTTATAACACAGCACCGTTTACAGACTTCAAACAAGTTAATCTGTTTCCATGGACACACTGGCCTCCTCCATGACAATGCTAGTCTGTATGGTCTCTACCTCTTCAGGAACAGTCTGCACCTCTACTAACGAAGCTTGGTCCAGTTGATCAAACTCTGCTTCCTCCGGGGTCACATACTGGATAACATACTGCTGGTTCCCCTCTAGTCCTGATCCACCCTCAGTCAACAACACCTCTTCACCCTCCTGTTGGACGATGATGGTCTCTGGATTTACAGACACCATCTGACCATCTTCTCCCTGGACAGTAAATGGCTGGCCTCCCTAGTGAAACAAGTGAATTACTAAATCAAAAGATGTCCTGGAAAGTTATGAAGATTTTGACCTACAGCACAGAACCTATATACATTACATTTAACAAAGTACTTAACCAATACCAATCCCCTAATTATTATGGAAAAACTAAGAAAACACTTATATACATGACATTCCTCCCTCAAGTTTCAAGTGTCAAGTTCACATACTTCACCTATATAGTCAAGTTGCCACAGAGTTTCATTCATTGATCTGTTTACATTTGAATTAGTTACCAAGGCAACCATGACTAAAAAGAGATGATAAGCAAGTTTGAAAAACTATCAGAAGTTGATTTACTGTGCCAAGAGAAGGAGAATGTTTGTCAACACTTCAATAGAAGACAAAAGAAGTTCAGTAGGTCCATCCATAAAAATTTCATTAACAATCCTGGTCCTCCTATCATACTGGAAGGAAGAATGGCACAGGCCATCCATTTTATAATTACCTGTTGGGACATGTCAATAATCTGTTGTAATATGCTCACAGCTGATTGTGTCTTCTCATCCAAGTCATTCGTTTCCACTGTGAATTAAAACATTCTTTGCTGAATTCAACCATTGTGAAAACAAAATATTTAGAAACGAATATAATATCTCGCCAGCATCTGTACAATTATATCTAGGTAGCCTCGGATCAACAGTTCAGTACAACCCATGAAGCCAGCTCTGGCAAAAGTTCTCTGTTTAATTGATCGTTTAGGTATCTTAAAGCATTTTTACATCAATGTCTTCAAGCTAGACTTAATGTTATATGAGATATCATATGTAATTATTTACTTATCTGCCATGTAGATATTAGTTCAGAAAAACTGATTTTATTTTTGGCCTACAAGTAAAAGTAGTGAACATAAGCTTTCCTAGGGGAGAAGAGGATTAGGTTATTTTGAAAAGCTTGATATTCCTGATTTTTTTTCTTTTTTTTAATAAGAATTAAGTGTATCCACATGCAAAGATGATATTAAAAAGGGTCTTACTTGTCTGACTAGGTTCAACGACATCTGCAGTTGTCTCCCCTTCCGCGATCTGCTCCACAATGGTTGATGCCAGAGCATCATCTGTACATTGAAGGACCTGCGGATTGAACAAACGACATGCAAGTTAAAAGCACCTTTCAGTACAAATTTAGAACTAGATGATACAGTATAGCCAAATATTACATTAAACTGCATCATACAGCTGTTACATATATAGCACGTGCTGCCAAATATCCTCATCCAGTGTACACTTCCCTACAGCTTTTACTTGAGAATTGACACCTGATGCCTTGTACCTTAATCCAGTAGAGCTACCCTACTGTTTCTACTGGAGAAATGACACCTGCTGCCCTGAATAATTACCTGGACTTCGCTGACAGGGACTTGATCCAGACCCTGGATCTGCTGCACCTGTAGGTGATGTCTGATCTTAAGGTGACGTTTGAGATCGCTCATATTACCAAACAGATAGTCACAGCTGAGACAGCGATATGCCTGTGAGTCCACCATTACAACACGCTTGTCTACTTCTACTCCACTGGTATTGGGGTACTCAAAAGTTTCCCCCTTATGATGCCTTGTATAATGGATCTTCATATACCCAATGGTGTTAGCAGAGAACTCGCAATGCATGCACATGAACCGCTTCACCACATCATGGGTCTGTAGGTGGCGCTTGAGATGACTCCTCTGAGTGGCCTCATATGGACACCTGTGGATTGGTACAATACAGACAAGTGTAATAATAAATAATAAAAGTTCTCAGTTTTAAAAATCTTTTGGATTGTATGTACACTTATACAGTAAGCCAAATACCTGAAACATTTGGATGTTATTTGTAGAGTTGTAATAGCAACATTTCACATAACAGTCACAAAGAGTCAATGATATCTTGGTTTACTGGATTACCTGGTACACTTAAAGAGCTTTCCATCCTTGTGAGATCTAACATGCCAGCGTAGTGCTGTCTGGGACTTGTAAGCTTTTCCACATTCTGAGCAGGAGTACGGTTTCTCTTCTGTGTGACGCAGCATGTGGGCCTGGAGATTGTTTTTACTACGGCAAGCATATGTACATAATGGACATTTGTATGGCTTAATGCCCTCGTGAATCCAGATGTGTTTCTGCAGCTCAGAGTTGGCTCGTATAAACACTTTATCACAGTATGGACACTTGTAAGACCTCCGACCTGCACATAAATGAAAACGTAATTATTATTAGTTTCATAAAATTGACCCTTATTCTATATTCTCTCTTGTGGTACAGTATTGACTTATATTGAACAGTCACCTGATCAAACCTCAGTATGGGAGTTTATCTCCTCACAAACACTCCTTCATACTACATATCTATATCTGTATTCTGGCACAATGATGTCATCCCCAACATCAAAATTATAATGGTATTACGGTTATACAGAAACAAACACACAAAGAAATAATTAAAAGAGGATCTCACCTAAGTTTCATATTGAATTAACAAATGTCAGAGACACCAGTGTAAGATTCTTTTTATCACATTATTATTACTAATTAGAAATAAAAGAAAACTCATATAATTTGTTTCTCTATACGACAGATGCAGGCAAAGTTTGGGCACATTGATTCAGGAGGCCAAAACAGTGCTACATGTCTCTTGCAATATTTATGACATGGTCACATGAATAGTAGAACTGGCCAGTTATCTTATAAAAGTATAACCCTTTGGTAGATCTGACATTATTTAGGAAAAGTTTTAAAAATACAAACCGAAAACAACTGTTCAGCTGAGAAATTGTATGAAATTGATAATTACATAATAGAGATTTTAACCTACCCATTTTCCCTTGTGTGCGGTGTTTGAACTCCTTGTAGCCAGTGACTTTTAGCTGTTCCTCTAGGTTTAAATCTGGGTGATCATTACTGAAGTGGGCCTTCAATTTCTTCATACTAGAAATATGACAATAATTGAGTTTAGTATTGATATGTAGGCCAGTGCTGATTTCTGGGGCAAGAAGTCTCTATATATTCTATATTCTTTTTAATTACATTTCAGTATCAGGCCAAATTTGAACAAAAAATAAATAAGTATGGCTTTCCCAGAAGTTCCATATGCAAATTTTATCTCCCCATTTCATAGATAAAGGATGAAAAGGTGTTAAACAATGTATAACAGGGTTTTTTTGCATGGATATAATTTTGTTACATTTACGACAAATTCAGATTGCGAACAATGCAATCACGAAATGTACATGTTTGATAAAACAGGGCAACATCTCCCTTTATACATGGATTACATACCATGCTTGGAGATGTACATGTTACTGGTACTCACAATTGTATTGAATTAGATACATCAAAGTGACAATGAAATCAGTGAAATGAGTAATGGTTCACAGGGCAAGTTAAGAACCAGCTAGACGACACTGCAACTGCTCACATAAAGGTTAACACTATACAATGAAACCATTTTGTGGAAATGACGTATCAAGTTGTATGAGTATTTAATCAGTAACAGGGACATGAAACTGTTTCATTAAAACAGGCAGAAGAGAAGCAGCAGTATATGAACTATGTTATAAAAATATTTATACACATGTATAACTGTATATGTTGGGACTTTTGTCATTAGAGCTTTGCTGCATCTCTTTGTATTAATCAAAGGGTTCAAATACAATGTGTGATCAATTGTGTATTTATATATATATATATATATATATATATAGAAAAAACTTGATTTGACGAGATGCGAGTAAATTTTAAATAAAAATGATTTTTGACAAAAGAAGAAAGACGTTACATTTTGCACTAGCGCTTTCACTGTATTAGATCTTCAGGTATTTTTCATCAGATGATCACCAATAAATGGTATCATGAAAATTATATCAATACGTTAATTCTAAAAATTCTATAATTCAGTTGTCATGAAAATAATTTATGATATGGTATGACTTTCCTAAGAGAGCAACATACCAGCAAACAACTTCCCAAAAGTGGCCAAACGATCTTACTTCTAATGATGTCAGATATCTCACTTACTTCTCAAACTTGGATTTGCAAGTGGGGCACTCTATACCCATGGCTTCATGCAGACCTCGGTGCTTCATGGTATGGTTCCACAGCTGTGAGCGACTGTTAGCCACAAACTCATTGTTACAGTCCTTACAGGGGAAGGTCAGTTTCTCATGTTCCTTCTCCTTGTGACGGCTCAGATTCTCCTTGGTAAGACCCCGGTAACCACAGATATTACACGGGAATGGCTTGTCTCCTGTAATCAAAATCACTGTTAATTCACAAGGTTTATCACTCTGTGAATAGCCAAGGCCATTTTAAGGCAAGGTTTCCTTGAAGAAGCGAGTGGCTACCTCACTGAACAACATACAGGAGGCCCATCATATGCTATCCAGAGACACAATTGTACCAGACTGATCCATCTCTCAGCCTCCTCAGAAAAAACAAACCACTACAGGTTGAGACATCCAACCACGCATCTCAGATTTTCACCTGAGGCAACACAGGCTAGCTATCACTATCCCTAAAATCAAAACAACTGTTTCTAAAAATGCCTTAAAAATCTCGCTGATATAATAATATTGTTTCAAAAAAAGAGATGGTCTGAAGGAATGTTCTTTTCATTAAAGAGTGTTTACTTTAAATAAAGGTTTGGAACATCTTCTAACATAGTTGATTTTACCTGAGCTACAAATGTGTTCCGATAATCAATGTTTAACACTTATTAATCTAATTAATCCTACTACCATGTTGACAAGAACCACGCTCTCTTTGACAGCACACAAATGCTGCAAAAACCTTGGGTAGGATGGTCTTAATAGGTATATACAAGATACAGCTGTTCTAATTTTTACAGTCAGTTAAGTCAAACACTGTATAAAACCCTCTTCTTTCTGACAGAAAGAACAAATCAGAAGTTAAAGAGAAATAAAGGTAACTTTTGAATACATTTCCACATTTAACAACCCATTCCACTTCACACTCACTGATACAACATATGATTTAACAAAGCAAGTAGATAAGTGATGGTGTATACCTGTGTGTGTTCGGAGATGAGTATCAAAGTCGACCTTGTTGTAGTACAATTTACCACAGTATTCACACTCCTCTGTACCAAATGTCTCCCTCATTTTGTGGAAAATGTCCATAGTCATCATGTGGTAACCCATACGTTGTATAAGGTCTTTACTTGCTCCCTTGCCTCCTGATTCTCCTGTTCCGTCTATATCACCCAGTTCCTCCAGCTGATTGTCATCCAGATCATCAGATCCCTCCCCTAGACCTCCCTCTGCCAGTCCAACCTCCTCTACAGTGTCACTGTTGTTTGTCTCTGTGACACCTCCACTGGTCTCTGTCTCCATGGCCTCTGCGGATGTAGTGACTTCCTTATCATTAATATCTGGGTTATCAACATTTTTACTGGTGTCTTGTAAGCTCTCTTTATCATTGTTATCCAAGGCTTTGGCTGCAACATAAGAATAAACAATTGGTGTATGATAGTTACTGACCAGATCAATAATAATATGATATAATAGTGACCTGTAATTTAAAATAAAAAATGGAAACATATAAGCTACCCTAATGATAATGCAATTGATGAGATTCTAAACACCCTTATTATAAAGCATCTTTTAAAATATAGAAGTGTATTAATTAGGTTATAATTATCTTTATTTTGTCTTTTACAAAATACCAATTTTACCTTCAACAAGAAGAGACTCCTGTCCAGACACAGAGCTCTCAACCTGGGCTGCACTGTCAGTTTCCCTGACCTGTCCCTGTGAGGTTTGTAACGCTACAGACACAAGGTCCTCTCTCACGTCTCCAGAGCCTCCGTGTACATCAACAGTGTCTAAAGACTTATTGGTACACATCAGATCCCCTGTCACATCACCAGAACCACTGTTCACATCACCAGAGCCACTGTTCACATCACCAGCATCTGAAGACTTGTCTGAACACATCACACCAAGCTCTGTATTTAGCTTGGCTTCATTTTTCATTACAGAGCTAGAAAGTTCAGGAGGTAGGTTGATGAACTCCTTCATCTCAAACAGTTCATCTGGTTCTGGGAGATACAGGCTGTAGTTGATACACTGCTCAAACAGCTCCTCCCACTTATTGGTCAGGTCAACCTTGAGATGGACACTGGTCAGATGGTCAATCAGACGTATTGTGCTGAGGAACTTACTGTGACATTTGACACATCTATAGATGACACGATGTTTCTGGTAGTGCTTGTCCAAGTATACCTTACGACTGGCAGTGTAGTCACACAATTCACAGTGTTGTATGCTGGGAATATCTTTGATGTCATGTACAAATAGATGGCGATCACGATCAACCTTCTTTTTAAATTTCCGATTACAGACATGACACTGGTGGATGACAGTTGAGCCCTTTGTAGGGTTCTGAAGGAATGTTGCTAGATATTCACGACCTCGTTCAGTACTGCTATGGTACTTTCTGATGTGGTTAATCATAGATTTTAATGTCTTGTACGTCTTTTTACAAATATCACACTTTTCTTTAGCTTTGTTGTGTGTGGCTACATGCTCCAGCAAATGACTTTTGTTGACAGATTTAAAAGAACATTCACTACACTTGTAGTATTGGCCTGTGTGCTTCCTCATGTGTGTGTACAAGTTACCTGTAAAACACAAAAGATCACATTTATATGGTTTCAGTCAAGATTTAAATGACATACTGCTATTATATACATTGTACATCTAAATCTGAATTAAAATTAACATCAACAAATTAACTGGAATTAATTAAACAAAACAATATGTAATCCTGGTAAATACTAACTGAAATATACATGTATCACTTGGTTTGAGAGAAGTTCTCTAGCAGCATGAATCAGTTGTGCTAATTCCTCTTCAATTTGATCATTTGACATAAGTACACATAATTCTTATTCAAACCTAAAATATCTTTATTATATATTCCAATCATGTAAGCTGGGTCCTAACAGGCAGAAACATATCACAATCAGCCATAGTAGAACACACCATTTAGAATTAGCTACTGTCCTTTACTATGTTCACGTTATAAGGTTGTGTAAACTGATATCCTCCTTATGTACTAGTTATCACTACCAAGAACTTTGTACTCTTTTGTTTTTCTCAAGTTCTATTGATAATTATGAAAATTAAATGCACACAAACCTTTAGAATTGGAAGCATATCGACACTTCGGACACTTGAAAGGTTTCAGGTCAGTGTGTATCAGACAGTGTAGCCTCATGTGTGATAAAGTCTTAAAGATCTTCTCACATACACAACAGGAGAACAGTGACAGGGACGTGGTCACCATTCGTGCTGTCATGGGTGCTTTCTCGTTCAGATCCTGGGCTATGGCATGTTGTTTAAACATGGAGTCTACTCCACTGAGATCAACATTCATCTGCTGTTCAAACTTTAGCTTTTCTTCCTCAGATGTAAATATTGGCAGGTCTGTGATGAAATCAGCAGGTTTTTCCGTACGAGTATTGTCAACATCTGGATCAGCCAGCACCTGTACCCCATCTGTATTCTCCACCTTGTCCCATCCTTCCTCATTTGCACTCTTCTGTGGCTCATTTATCTTGAAGTCAGAATCGTTATCCAGAATTTCATCTTCTTCAACATCAGATGGATGATCTTCCTCTATATGATACACATGATCATCCTTGGACTCCAGGTCTTCTTCAATATCGTCTACATCTGAAATACCAGAAGTTATACTCTACAATACAGTTCCGTACACGGTTACTTACCTCCTCACAAACAGCCATATATCATACACTACTCATGATCATTATGGAAGAGACAGTTAAAATACACATATCGTTATCATATCAAGAACTAGGAATTATAAACATAACAACGAAAACAATATGATGTATATGATGTACTTGTACCATGATGACTCGCAAAAAGTAAAAAATTTTGAGACTATATACCACCACATAGGTAAATAATGTGTTGATATTGTTATGATTTGTATCAAGGTCAAGGTCAATGAGACAGACAATAATTTGTGGGCATTGTTATTATACCTAGGTCAAAGTTAATGATACAGTCTATAAAACACCACAGACAATGATATCACAACAGTTATAATACTTAGGTCAAGGTCAATGACAAAGTTGATAAAAAACCACAGACAATAATGTGTGGACATTATAATGATTCCTAGGTCAAGGTCAATGACACACTCTATAAAACACAACTGTCAATGATGTCACAGCATTATTATGATTCCTAGGTCAAGGTCAGTGACAGTGTCTATAAAACATATCTATGATATATACCTCAGACTGTGCAATATTTTACAACATGAAGTTTGCAGCTTTTATCATTTACATAGAACACCACAACGATGAGAGAATAATAATGCTTTACCTAGATCTAGGTCGATCACTTGTTTCCTTGTAAGGTCCACATAATCAGTTGTTCCCATACATTTGTGTGTATTAAAGAACCTCTCCTTGGTAAATGACCGTTTACAGCTGGAGCACACGAAGCGACCATCAGTACCTGTAACAGACATTCATATATTTTGATTCATTTTCAAATTCAGAATATCATACAGTGTACATGCTTATCTCCTGAAGACATTATTTAGTCCAGTAACAGTTCTTTTTTGTATCATTACTGAAGATCTTGTATAGCTGACATTATTTGTTGTCAGTTTGAATCAAGAGTATTTGTAGTACTCAATGACCTGTCCACAATGACATGAGATCTCAGCAAGATCACAAAGGGATCCACCATTGTATGGCTTTTATCACTTTTATATAAGCTGGATTATTTTCCTTCTTCTCTTCTGTCATCGTATTTTCCTGTAGCATTTTGTTTCATCCATCGGTCCCAAAATTGAACATGCACAACAAAGGATCAATTGAAATCAAATATGAAATTTGAGAATAACTGATTTTATCCCTCTAAAGAATTAGCCAAAACAAATTTAAACTGTAAATCCAAACCGGCTGCTTGCAGGCCATTTTGTTTTTCTAATCAATCCAAGAAAAAAAAGAGACCAAAGGAAAATTACACATTAGATTTGAGAATAATCCATCAGGTACTAAGAAAGCCATCTATCAGCCATATTGTTATTCTAATCAGTCCTAAAATTGACCTGCACAACTGGGGACTTAGAGGTCTACATATGAAATGAGAAAGATCTATCCACATCTTCTCACAAAAAAATGTTCTACTAGTAGGCTACTTTCAAAATCCAAGATGTATTCATTTCATTTTTCAGATCAGTCTCAAACTAGAGACTGCGTGGAATTTTCATAGGAAATTTGATAAAGATCCATCTGATAACAAATATTGTATAAGGAAAGATACAGATAACAGATGACTGTTGAAGGGTGATTTGAATAGCCAATCGTCTGCTGATGGCAGGCTAAAACAGGTTATATTTACCTATATCTGGTTTGGAAGGTTTCGAGGGAGGTTTTTCTTCAGGCTGCTTACGAGCTGAACCTTTCAGTTTTGGTCGGCCTCTTTTCTTCCCAACTAATGAGGAAGGAGATAGCGCACAATAAAAAAGTTTGTACATTGAAAGTAAATTACAGAAAACCCTTTTGGTATAAGGGTAAAATTTTGATTAAGGACATTTTCCTAATGTTATAACACTTTCACTTTTACACCAATTTAAAATAAGGAACCTCTTTAAACAACATTCGTGAAGATAATGCAGAACAATATACGCACATTCCATGCAAAAGAAATATTCATAATTTACTGCACTGTAAATCACTTGGATTTCAAGAATACTTTATTTTGCATACTTTCATATTTTTCAAGCAACTGTGACTCTGATCCTTAACATATCAGTTTCAGATTTTATAACTCTAAATATCTTATCTGTAGATTTCAGTTCACTTTTAAGCATTCAAACAATTTCAAAAGATGCTTTTGTGTAAACATACATTATTGTTACAAGTGTGGGGGTCTGTCTGTAGTTACCTAGCGTGAAGGTTTATATGTGGTTACCTGGTGTGAAGGCCTGGGTGTAGTTACCTGGTGCGATGACCTGTGTGTAGCTTCCTGGTATGGGGTTCTGTGTAGAGTTACCTATTGAGAGGGACTGTGTGAAGTTGCATGGTGTAGAGTTCTATGTGTAATTACCTAGTTTGGGGTTTTGTGTGTAGTTACCTGGTGTGGGAGTCTGTATGTAGTTACCTAGTGAGGGGTTCTGTGTGTAGTTACCTGGTGACAGGGTCTGTGTGTAGTTGATTACCTGGTTTGAAGGTCTGTGTTTAGTTACTTATTGAGGGGTTCTGTGTGTAGTTACCTGGTGTGGGAGTCTGTATGTAGTTACCTAGTGAGGGGTTCTGTGTGTAGTTACCTGTTGTGGGAGTCTGTATATAGTTACCTAGTGAAGGGTTCTGTGAGTATTTACCTGGTGTGGGAGTCTGTATATAGTTACCTAGTGAGGGGTTCTGTGAGTAGTTACCTGGTGTGGGAGTCTGTATGTAGTTACCTAGTGAAGGGTTCTGTGTGTAGTTACCTGTTTTGGGAGTCTGTATGTAGTTACCTAGTGAGGGGTTCTGTATGTAATTACCTAGTGAGGGGTTCTGTGTGTAGTTACCTGGTGTGGGAGTCTGTATGTAGTTACCTAGTGAGGGGTTCTGTGTATAGTTACCTGGTGTGGGAGTCTGAGTGACTGTAGCTATAGTGTCTTGTGCAGTGGTTGTAGTTGCTGACGGATCAGGGATAAAGGTGGTCTGCCCATCCTCTGCTGTAGAGAAGGTACCCTGCATGGTGATGGTCTGGGAAAGATCTGACGATTCCCCAGAGCTACCCTGAATGATGATCACTGTCTGAGGTTCAGAACCATCCGTTGGTTCAGTACAGGTCATCACAGCATTGTTCAGTGTCTCTGTGCATAAAAACAGCCACGTTGACAATATCCCCAAAAATCAAACTAACTATAATTACCACATGATATGTGAGCAAAGTTCAACAGACACACCCATCTCACAGACATTCATTTCTATTTTTCGGTGTAATGTTTGTTCTCTGATCAGTGTCCCTGTTGCCAGCTTATGAATGACTTACCTGTTTGGGTATATATATGGGTAATTTGATGCCCTTATATACTGTTCTATCACAGCTGTGTGAAAGTAGTTTACAAATCATTATCCTTAGTTGTTGCTATTAGTGACAATGATAATCTTTCCCAACTACCTGAATAACATACTGCTGGAGCTGTTATTTGGCATGTGCTCATTTTTACACATGTCCAGCACTAACCAATTACATATACATTTGCAGTTAAGACAACTGAAACATGCAGAGTAAAGTATCTTATACAACACAATGTCCATGCTGGGAGTCAAATTAACAACCCTTGAATCACCAGACCAATGTCCTACCACTAAACTGTGCTAGTCATGATCATTCAATCAATTTCCAATATACACAACATTTTTAACACATTAGAAAGCCATGTAAAACAAGAACTTAATATTTCATGTGTGAGCTTTATCGAACTGTTGAATGTTTATGCTTACAAAAATACATTATATGCTTTAGCAATGGTATGTGGTTTAACTGGAGTTTAAGATCATTCTGAATTAGCTCACTTATTTTAGCTGGATGAATTATGATGTACTGATATCAATAAACATACTGACCGACATCGAGGGGTATGATAGTCTCTGTGTTGCCATTGGTGGACTCCGTGAAAATCTCTGTGTCTGTGTTGACAGGTTGGCAGGGCTCTTTCTTGTGTTGTACAAAACTATCGATGTCACTGAAGTTTGCATGGCAAGAGCCACAAATAAACATGTCTGCAGGCATGGCTCTAGTGTAGTGGGGCAACACGTCTACTGTAGGGATACGCTGAACAAAGCAGGCACTGGTGATCAACTCCTCATATTTAAAACCTGTCAACATAACACAGAAACCAAACATTATCCTGAGAAGAAAATAAAAGTGCATTTGTGTTCACAAGAATTGTTTTCCTCAAATGAAATTTTGCAAAACTGTCAAAAATAAATAAATTTTAAACTGCTTCCTATCGATACAAAAACAAAAATAATGGCTGCAAAACATGACTGCTTTCACTAATCTTCACAGTATCTGTTGAAAGTTTCCCTCCTCTAGGGACCATATATGAAACCCCCTCCCCTTGGGACCAAATATAAAACAACCCTCCCTTCCTGACCCATTCATTTGTTAGTCCCTTAGTAGGCATTTCCAGCGTGTGCCATTGACAGTTAACAGAAGGGGAATTCCAGGAACCAATGGTTAATTCTACTGTGAACAGATGCTGTGACAATGGAAACAAAGACGAAAGATGCCATCAATTATCAAAAGAAGTATCTTTCATTTCAAACCTCAGATATTACAAGGTTAAAAGAACTTTCTCAGACTTTTTGGCAATGTTAAACGTTACTGGCCATGGACAGGAAGGAGCTATCAGATTTATAGAGAATGATTTTACAACTCCTCTACATATTTTTTTAGAAAGATAAGATTATTCTTTCCTTCATGCTTGACAGCTAAGCAGCATATATTGCAATGGAAGTTTTTAAAAATTTTAAATAGTGTCAGTCCTCAGCATATATTTGATTTATTGAATTTTAAAATTTCAAATTACAATTTCTTATGCTACTTCACTGCTACTATTCCACAGGTCAAGACAACTAAGACTATGACTAGAAATTCTTTCAATTCAATTCAAGGTGACCCTGTGGAACAGTCTATCTGATGAAATAAGAAAGGGGCAGCTCATCTGACCAATATGTAATTGTAGTATATATAGATGAAAATGTATGGATGAACCTTCAGCTTGTATAACCTCTGCTTACCGTTATTTCCTATGTTATATTTACTGTTACTTTATCTATTTCTAAACTTGTGAAATATTAATATCACCGCTTCATAAATGTTGTATGGTTATTTTAGATTATATATTAGCATGTATCCTGTCGATTTTTAGTTTTTGGCATATATGTACATTAGATATGTACATGTCTTCTAATATCATGTTGCATAAGCAATATGTTTGCATGACCGATATAAAAATGTGCTCATTTACTATCTAATTAAGCTATCAGTGATGTATGATCTCATTGTGATGTTTTGTTGAGTGTATTATCGTACCGATATTTGTCATTGATACTGATAATAAGTGTAACACAACGTTAGATAAAAATTCTCGAGTCTTGGATAGTCCATGACCTCAGTAGTTCATCTTGGCAAAAAGAAGTTATAACCATGTGACATTCTTTTAACAGATTTTTTTTTGTTTAAATTTTATTTAGATGTCCGTATAGAATAAGCTGCAACTACATATATAATTGTATATTTAAATTTGAGATGTAAAAATATATTAATAATCTTAAATCAAGTACATTCTATGAACTAAAAATATGTTTACAATATACAACAGAGTGTAAGTAGGTATATAAAATTTCCAAGGGCTGAAATTAATCACAAACTGACTAACTTTAAAGGTAGCTATTACCTCTGAAGAAACAGTTTTCATATGTGATCATAAAAGTTTATTTCAGAGTTTTTTTCAGAACTACGTTCAGTAGCTGAACAAATGGCTTTAAAGCATATAAATGTGTAAAAAGATTAAATTAAATACCCGGCAATTCAATATCAATCTGCTGTGTTAAGCACCATTAACTAAGACACCAAATATGGGGATGATCTACTAAAATACCCTGTGTGTGGCCCCTTCATGTATATTTTCCCCTACAAACACAGGTTTTGACTTAGGAAAGACAATTCCCCATTTACTGACGACTCTTTTTTTCAACTTTGGAAAACTTAATGTAGCATTCCGCTCTTTTCCTTTATATTTCATTTTGTCTTGTAAAAATACAATTCTCTAGCTAAGTTCGAAACAATGCTCCCGTACACACTTGTCTTGAAACTGACTCAACATCAATTTCGTCATCCAGAAAGCTAGCAATTATTTCGGGATTGCGGTTAATCAACATTCCCAAAATAGTACTAACTGAATGATTTCGCATTATATATTTTTGGTTGACTAAAATAGACTATAATGACGTTATGTGAATAAGAAAACTTGCGTAGTCTCGGGTTTCGTCTTCTGAAATGATTTTTCTTCTTTTTAGCGGCTGACAAATGGCTGCCAAATATAAGCAGGTCACGTGACGTATACGACGGCGTGTTCTATTCCTAATCATAAGTATAGTGTCAGTTTACTGAGTTTTTACTTATCCTACAATTAATATGATATATTATTTGCTTTATAGCATACATTATGAGGTATTATTTACAAAATAGTATAAACTAATTTCTTGTGCAAGTCTTCTTGTGTATTTTAATGAGACTCGTAAATGTGTGTATTAGAACGCACCTTATAAGTGGACAAAATGGCCGGAATGAAACGCCAACCCGGCTCAACTGGTTCTCAAAGATTTAACGACCAGCGAAAAATGCGAGGACAAGGCAAGAAGCCACTTCCTCCTCCCACACACGTTGGACATTTCTTCCTGATGGTAATCATGAAAATTTGTAAAAAGATTTTGTTGGCCGACACTGCAGTGAAAATTGGTGTCTACTTGATCGGGGTGATGGTTGGCTCAATTTTGGCAGACGTCGTGGCCTTACCTAGATCTTATTTTTCCGATTCGCATAATATTTTCAACCAACTCTTCGTAAAGTTAGGATGGGGATGGACACTTACATCCCTCTCATTATTCACGGGTATGACCAGTTTCGTCTACACACTTTGTAAATGGCCACAAGTCAAATTACATTTCCTAAGGCTTGCTCTAGCAACATTTTGGTGGTATGCGGTGACGTCAGTTTTCAATTACGTGGAGTCTGTTGTAGGAATATGTACAGAACTTAAGTATTCTTCAAGGTTTTCTTGTAACAAAGCTGGCCAGTCTTGGTTGGGCTTTGATATGTCGGGACATGTTTTCCTACTGATTCACAATCTATTGACAATATCCGAGGAAGTGAAGTTTTTCAAAGATTGGACAAAATTAGAGAATATTCTCGAAAACGAAAATCTTGCTGATCAAAAAAATTTAAAGGAAAGTGACATACGGACAACCAAACAAGCGTATAAAGAGCTGACTCCATACATAAAATTGAATGTTATTTTTCTTGCCGCCCTTACAGTGTTATGGGAATTCATGCTCATAATAAGCACTGTTTACAGATTTCATACTCTTCCTCAAAAAGTATCAGCCGCATTTATTGCAGTGGGATGCTGGTTTATCAGCTATAGGATGATTGTACGCTCAAATTGTGGTATTGTACATTCAGGATCTAGTCCCCTAAGATTCACAAAGTGTGACTGATGATGAATAAATGTCGCTGTTTTGATATACAGGGTTTATTTCTAGTCAAATTAGAAGTTTTGATTCCATATCCACGACAAAAATGTGAAGTTTCCTGCAAGTTTCATCATTGTTTACTTCAGATTAAAAAACTTTTGCTCATGGATTCCACATGCATCCCGAGGAAAAACTTCTCAGCTCAATATTATCAACTCAACATCTTCTTATTATGAATAATCAAAATTATATTTTCATACCATGTGCCTCATGTGTGCTGCTGTTCTTCATGTTTTTCTGATAATTACTATATTTTGGTTTTATTTTTGAAAGTAAGCTATTTCTGTTTTCACACTATGAATTATGCCAAATTAAATTAACATTTCTAACCTATATATTAGCATACATTGGTTTTTATACCTTTATTGTTTGAAGCTGAATGATTTTATAGAGTTTTCACAACCTATCTTTATTAATTCCCATCTCATTCATTCAAGAAGATAACTATCACTACTACATCATAATACCAATGCAAGTGTAATATATACCATGTAAGGTACCTTTCTGCAATGAAATATTGTCAGCACATCAGAAATTTACACAAGATAGATTTTCAAAGAATTGTGAAGAGAAATTATGTTTCCCTGGTACTATATATACTATTATAGCTTTATAGAATAAATTTGTCAACTGGATGAGATGTAAAGAACATGAACTTTATCCATTGTTTAAAATTGTACATGCATGTTGTGATAAGAAAATAAATGAGCACATCAGTTGTACATGTCAGACTGAAGGAGGTGGCATTTCTAAAACTGAATATAGTCTATGAATTACACACAGTGTACATGGATATGCATGTATGTGCTGATTTAATTATCAAATTGTAAATCCAAAGGGAGGCTATCGGTTCCATACTATACTGGAAATCATATTTTCATTTTCAATCAATGTGCTGATCATTGTGTCTGCATCTACAAATACATTGTAAGTATATAAAGAATTATGTAACATTAACAACTTTTCTTATCATGAGGTTTTTCTCCTTTTTAACGCGAACAAATACTTTTGAGTTCCATTTTTTGTTATACAGTGTATTTTCCTAAGATTGATAATGCCTAAAGGCAATACATGCAAATTGATACTTATGTTAAATATGCAATTTCACTCAGCCAACACATCTCTTTTTAAAAATGCCATAGTTATAGGAGGATTTGACTATTTTCATTGGAAATCGGTAAGTTGGCTAGTAGAAATATGCATTTGTGAAGTACTTGAAATTCCTGATGTTGTGTACATATGATTTAGTAACTTGAATGTATTTTGGATTTAATCATACAACAAATAACATATATATAGTTGATTTTTGTCCCATACAATTCTACAAAAATGTAAATACAGATGTAGTTAGTGTAAGATCATAAAATGACATGTCAGAAATATAAGATTATAAACTGAATTGTATACAATCTAAAATCAAATAATCTAAAAATTATAATGTTCTGAATCATATAACTGTGAATAGAATCTCAGTTTTTACAATACAATAAATCATGTTAGTGATAATTCTTACAGTACTCTGAATCATGTAACTTGATTTTTATAATACTCTTAATCATCTATCTCTTTAATAACTTGAACAAATATGATTTTATTATACAATATTTCTAGTGCTGTCACTGGTCTGGTGCCAATAAAATGTAACTAGTCAATGTTGTGAATATTTTAGTTAGTGATTATATTATGTTGAACATATGTGTTCATATACATCTTAATACTTTTTGTCATAATTAAATTTTTATCCAAATGTATTATACATGTATTTTATAGAGTTGCATTTATGATGAATCAATAAGAAAAAAAGAATGATTTGTTACCATTTCTTTGTGTTTAGAAATTTAAGGTTAGAATTTTTTTTTTTAATATGTAATCATCTGCAAATTTCGAATGATTTTCTAGATTCATGAAGTATTCTTATCATAGTTCAGTTAACAAAGTATAAAAGGTCATGTGTACATGCATTTATCTCATTGTCAATTTCATATAGTGTGTATCATATATGTATGTATACATTGCTATACTATGTATAATAAACCATTCAATTTTTATTTATTTTCATCTTTACATATTTTCAATTCAGATTGAGTAACTGATATATGCTCAAGACCAAAGAATGTTAGCATTCTATGGCATTAATTCTATTACAGTTACAAATATTTTACCCAGTAGTGATGACCCATTTAGTGATAGCCCAGTCTTTCTTTCCAGCCCAGTTTAGGAAAATAATCATGATATCATATTAGTTGGAATGTTATACCCAGTTAAATACTAATAAAATAATGGAAAAAAAAAACTTTATTTGTTATTCTTGTATCTCATAGTGACAGAGTTTCTAGGGTCAGGATGACATATAGCCATCATGTTCTGTCCAACATCATGTGCTGTCTGCCATGTGTAAATTTTCCATTCAAATGACTTCTCAATAAACAAAGGGCTACCAAGTTTGTTCATATTATTGACGTTGACCCACTTTCAAGGTCACAGTTGTCAAATATGTCAAAATCTTTCAATGACATTTGGCCTGTAGCATGCTAGGATGGAGCAGGGCTACCAAGTTTGTTAATATCAATACCCTTGACCCACCTTCAAGGTGAAAGGTTTTTGATGTTTGTTACTCTTATATCTCACAATGACATAGTTTTTGATGTTTGTTGCTCTAGTATCTCATGATGGAACAGTTTTTGTTGTATAAATCTTTATTCCCTATGAATTCAAATAGATACAAAATACACTGTCCTGTACATGTATGTAGTCATGGGGAACCTCTATTCATGTCATCATCTTTAATAATCTGGTGCTCCTCTCCATTTTATTACTCCAACCTGAATCTTTATTTACAATACCTCACTATCATGTTAAACTTTTCGCCCCAGCTGTCGCTTCAAGTTGGCCCAAAATTACAATGCAGTACTTTTATAAAAAAGAAAAGGTTCATTCACTTGTTCTAAACAATATGTCCAGGTTTCCTGCCTCTGGACTGTAATTTGCTAAATGATGATTATGTAATTTCCCGATGTTAATGCCATTGATATCATAGCACTATTCAAGGTACCTTCAGTCTTGGTACCAACTGGAGTTGTAGAAAATAAAGAATATTAAGCTTCTCTCATTTTAGAGCCCTTACCCTATCCAAGTTAAGTTGATTAAAATCTCGAAACTGTTTTTATTAGCCAACCATCATCAGATGATTGGCTATTCAAATTGCCTCATGCCCATAGTCTGTCGTCCTTCCCATCCATCCATAAACAATTTTTGTTATCACTTTTTCTTGAAAAGTGCTTGGTGGATCTCTCGCAAATGTCATATGTAGGTTTACTTGGTCGCTTGTTGTGACCACCTAAATTTGGTACTGATAAGGAAAAAAAAAAAATGGTTGATAGGTGGCCCTCTTGGATTTTGACTTTGAAATATTTTTATCACTATTTCTTGAGAAGTACTTTATGGCTCTTTCTTAAATTTCATATGCAGGTTTGCCTTTGTTCCTAGTCGTGCCCATTTGATTTTGGGTATGATAAAAAAAAACAAAAGTGCCAACAGGAGGCCATCTTGGATTTTGACTTTGAAAACTTGTTATCATTATTTCTTAAGAAGTACTGGATGGATCTCCTTCAAATTTCATGTGTATGTTCCCTTTGGTCTCTACATTTGCCCATTTGATTTTGGGACCAATCAGAAGGAAAAAAATGGCTTCCAGACAACAATTTTGGATTTACCAGGTAAAGACTTTCATCACTATTTCTGCAAAGGAATGTTCAAATTTCTTATCATTAAGAGCAAAAACAGAAGAGAAGAGAAAAGAAGGGAAAAGATCCAATTTTCAAAGAGTGAACAATGGTGGGCACAAGATCTCACTGAAGGTCATATGACTAAATTTTAAAAGTAGGGACAATTATGAAAGCATCCACTTTGTGTGTCTAGAGAGTGTACATGTATATTGAACTTATTAAACAGATGCAGTAGTGTTTTACATTAAAAAAAAATGTGTGATCTTCCCCAACAACTGATCATGAAGGTAATCGAAGTATGGTTTCCATAGGATATTAAGGAAAACATCAAATTCCTTTCATTTGCATGATGTTTGTTACAGTAGTATTTAGATGAAAATGACTTTTCTGGTAGATGAAAATTTTTTTGAAATTTTGAATATTTTGCCACTTTTGAGGTCCTCTGGCTCCTTGTAGGACCTGGCCCCACTTGTATAAAACATCTCAACTTGAGATATCCTTAAGGCCAGATTTTCCTCAGTTAATATCTCCTTGAAATTATCTTGTATGAAAATTTCTCAAGGAATTTCAGGACATCCTAGCCGATGACTTCCTCCTGTTCCTTGAGAAAATTTTATACAAGCCGTTTTTGAGGAGATATCAGCAGAGGAAAATCTTGACTTGAGGAAATCTCAAGTTGAGATGTTTTATACAAGTGGGGCCAGAACCTTAAATTGGACAATTTTGAACTGCCTTGCCCTTGACCCTTAAATTTGACACTTTTGATCTGCCTTTCCCCCAAAAAGATGCATATAAATAAACATGATTAAAACCGCCCTGCTGATTTAGCAAAAGAAGTCAAAAACATACTTTTTCTACATGAACTATAAACTGACAAATTTCACAATTTTGAATTGCTTTGCTCCAAGGATGCTTGCTTGTGGCCAAATATGGTTAGATACTAGTTTTTAAGGACATATCAAAATTGTTCAAATGTTATGAATGTTATGACAGAGCTTGATGTCAATATGTCATTCTGACTCTTTGAGTCAGATGACCAAAAAGTATTTTTAGAAAACAAAAGGCACATAGGCTTTAATAGTCCATCTACCTATAAAGAAGTAGACATGATATATCAGCAGTAGAAGTAAGAACACTTGTTAAAGGATTAAAACAGTTCATGATATTTTAGCAGTAAAGATAAAAAAAAAACCACTCCTCATTTTAGTTTTCCAGCATAATTTCAGCTAAATGACACAAGTGGAATCATAAAGTTTTCAAGATGGTGGCTATGGCAGCCACATCAGATTCAAAATGGCCACCATGGCTGCCATATTGAAGTTTAGACAAGGCTGAAAAATAGCAACACTTTGTCTTTTAACAAGACTTGATCAAAACCATCTTGGGCAAGTTTCAGGTGGAACTTGAGAAGAACTTTAAAGCATTTTGATGATTGCACAATTATGTTACAAACTGGCCACCATAGCTGCCATGTAACAATACTTTTAGCTCAATCCCATCTGTGGAACCCAAGAGGAAGTTATTTTAGTGATTGCACAATTACATTACAAAATGGCAACCTGACTGAACTTTCGATAAGGCCAAAAAATAGCAACACTTTGTTAGCTTACCTTTCCTTAATATCCCAAGCAATTTTCAGACAATGGCTTCAGTGGAACTATAGAAGTTTAAGTTGTTTGTTTTTAAGATGATGGCCATATTGGATTTCAGACTGACTCAAAAAATATTAATTCTTGGTCAAGACTATATCAGAATCATTTCAGGTGATGAAGGTTCAGCACAATCCCACTGGTGGAACTTGAGAAGAAGTTTAAAGTGCTAAAATGTTCATGCATAGTGGATGACCTTCATCAATAGGTGAAACATGATGGCTACAAATATTCATTGCCAGTCTTCCTTTAAGGACTACTTGCCACTCTGGCTCTGTAGGTAATAATTTGTGAACTACAGTGACCATGAAAGTAGGTCTACATATTTCTCTTAGCGATTATATATTGCTAAGAGGCATCAAACTATAGTCCTACGGACTATCAAGTGTTACAGTACAGTAAGTATTAAGTTGTTCATGGATCATTGAGGTGAATGAAGCTAAATGGAGATAATTCTCATCAAGACGTGATTATTGAACTGTGTGATGTTAAGAGAAAACAAACACCATGTATAGTTGATGTTTTATCATAGCAGACAGATAATCACTAATTAATCATACAAACAAATGTGCTTAATTAAAATAACTTGTGATACCGTTATATATAGAAATAATTTTGAAAATATAAACTCTATATGAAGAACATCACTCATTAAATACACTCGAACATGCATTCATTTGTAATAATTCATAATGATAACAATTATGCATTTGAGAAATACTTCTCAAGAAATGCATTAACATACATCATAATCTATGAATTTGGCTCAACATGTTAAATAAACAATAAAAAGATAATATTTACTTTGACAACAAGATAAATAAATAGGATTAATACATCTATAGATTAAGTAGGAATCAATACTATAATTACACTGATATGGGTAAAATTGACAAAGACTAGTTATCACAGCTTGAAGTGTTCTCTGAAAAACATCACAACTAAACACTTCATAGGAAACATCACAGCTACAGGTGTAGACACCTCTGTGTCAAAATCACAGCTGTAGACACAACAACCACTGTACTGGTGCACTAGTTTGAACACATCAACACACAGCATGAAGCAAGTTTTAATTTATAAATAATGAACAAAACCAATAAATTGCTTTAAAACAAAGTACAAATTAGGAAAGTATTTCAATATCAACACTACACAGAAGCAAAAGACAAATATGCAACCAAAAAGAAAAAAGTGGGTCCATTTACAACACCTTCCACCAGCTCATTAATAATCACACACCAGATGTAACAGCACCTTCCATTGGTTCATCCATGATCAAACACCAGATTTTACAAACCATTCCATTGGCTCACAAATGATCACATACCAGATGTTACAAACCTTCCATTGGCTCAGAAATGATCCCATACCAGATGTTACAAAACCTTCCATTGGCTCAGAAATTATCCCATACCAGATGTTACAAAACCTTCCATTGGCTCAGAAATTATCCCATACCAGATGTTACAAAACCTTCCATTGGCTCAGAAATTATCCCATACCAGATGTTACAAAACCTTCCATTGGCTCAGAAATTATCCCATACCAGATGTTACAAAACCTTCCATTGGCCATGATCACATACACCGAAACTAATGATAACATAAGATGATGAGCTACAATGTTAAATAATAAACATACTGTTTTCCTCCTAAGAACACAAGACTTTATTTACAACATGAAGTAAATATTATGATATATGGTAAGCACACATGGATAAAGAAACAATGTAATAATGATCACAGCTTTTCAAACCACAGATATTCATGAACATGGAAACAGATTCATACAGTAAATCAAATTATTTCATCACTGTGTGATAAACATAGTAACATAAAACAACTGTGTCATTATATCATCAAATTGATAACATCAAACAATTATCTATGTGATGAACATGGCAACATGAAATTCAATGTCACGATGAATACTCTGTTGAAATAAAGCACCGGACATTAATAACCATACTTAATATATTCAATGAAAATTTTATTTCTAAATATCAGCTCAGTCAGTAGATAATGATATATGACTATGTGATTTGTACACACTGTCAAACATCTTCTTGTACTGATTGGCAGTAAAGATAATTTTACAATAAATATGACACAACTGTTATAGAGGACTGTCTGTCACATTTAACTTCAAATTAAATGAATTTAAGTTATTTCAAAATTTCAATTAAGAAGCACTGATTTGCAATAATTAGACATCAAATTAGTAGGCAAATGGAATGATGGATCAAATTCCTGAAGAATGAAAAAAAAATTAACAAAACTTGTAGTCAACATGTTAACAATTTTTAAACCAGAGATAAATATATGTATAATCCATATTTCAATTTATCATGAAAACTTTGAGATAACATCAAAGTTAAACATAAAACTATTCCTACTGCTTGAATTATGAATACTGTCTAGCAATGCACCATTTGTAAAACTCATAACTTATGTTCTTGTAGCTTAAGAGAACATCCACCCTTGAGAAGACAGACCAGTCATTGGTTATGTCGTGAAAATGATTGTTTTAGTTTCTAATTGCATAGAATCTAGGTGTACTAACCGTTACGTCATAGTTTAAATTACTACTCATTCCTTTAAAATTTTCTAACCTACAAATGCTTTGGAGACACATATTCACCATTCTAAAACATGATTAAAGCACCTGAATACTAAAAGAAAAACACATTAATACAATTTGGCACTAAAACATTAATAATATGTTATCATTCATAACAAATTATGGATCACGATTTCAAACACCCACAGAGAGGTAACCTTTTCATAAGAGTATGAAATGTACCCCAATATTTTTCACTCAGAATAAAAATGTACCTGCATCTTATTTCAAGGATACATTTTATGAATGCGAATGATGAAAACAAGCCTTCAGGATATCTCATTACTGCTCTATATGCAGACATACAAACATAAATGAAGGCATTCACACCTTTTGTTCCATACAAACAAGTAACCTTACTTTAACAACCATCATACTATTTAAGCACTAATCTGAAGAAAATACAAATGAATAATTTATCAAATGACTATTTACAGTATGAGTTTGTGGATGAGATTTGGTAAATGAATGGGAAAATTAGCAATCAACTACACTGTAATTGATTATTCTATCTGATGGTGAAACAATCATATTTCTTTAGCAGTATAATCAGGAAATGTACTAAGTACTTTAGCGTTTACTGAACTCAGAAAATCACAAGATTGAAACTCGAACATCAGGAATTAAATTCCTTTTTTAGCTTTGATTTTGTTATATAGCTTGTAATTAAAACTTTATTTGAACAGTATACATTCTTAACCTATAAATACACTGTCCTTTGAAAACTTGTTATCAGAATTAAACTTTCAAATACATGGTATCCCTTTGTAGCTCTATCAACATGCCTGTCTTCTCTACACATTCTTCATCAATATCTCACTCATGGAATAATTCCTAACTTCATGTTTTAATGAATAGTCATACTGTAGTTATCAAGGATTCTGACAAAACTTTACAATTTTCTCCTTTAGTTCTTTGGTAGATTTTATCAAAATTCACTGAACTATGTGTAGATTAAGTGACATTATGATAGCCTTCATAAGTAATGGTGCATGTCACTAAAAAATATACGATTACATTCACATTTTCGATAAGAGAGTTTTGAAATATGACGTGTTTCAAAAATGTGAAAACATCAGGATAGGGAACCCTTTCTTTCTTTATTGATTTATTTATTTTTTGAAATTGAACTTTTTCATTTTCCTTAAATAGGTATAATGACATCAAATATACCTGTAATCATCTAACATGTCTTTGTATGTATTACTCACAAGACATTCAACCAGGTAATTACTAAAGATTTACATTTGTATGGTACTCTGAAGAAATTCAAGCTTTTAATTATTGAACATTGTTTGAATTACCCTGAGAAAGTGTTGGTACATTAATCTTACAACAGCCATCCTTTTATCTGTAGTGACTCCAGCTAATATAAATAAGTTGATACATTTTGTGTATGTATAGTGAATCATCTTATATTTACATCTATCACTGGGGTTGTAAAAATGTATGATTCAGTAATTTCAAATTTTGCACACGTAAATGACACCATCATTAGCACCATGTAAGTGTTCCAATCTGCATATATCATTAAATATTACATTTTTAAAGTTTTTCATTTAGATGTAGATCTGGACCACTGACAACACTAGAAATGTCCACAAAACGGAATGATATTCTAGGAACTCTCACTTATCCTGCTGACAAAAAAAAAATCAGTTTAATGTGAAATGTGCAAAAAAAACATTGAATATTTCAGGCTACAAGTTGAAAAGTAGGGTTGATAGGTATGGTAAATCTATTTGGCTTTTTATTTTTCCTTAAATATGTGTAAACCATCAGTAGGTAGATTAAACTTATAAAACCAATTATGTATGCCATGTACTGAAATAATTATACATACATAAACCAAAAAAGTCACATTTCAGACAAAAGAAAAAATACCATAGGAACCACAAGTTTTCCTTGACTTTTCATATTTCGGTAAACTTGATTTTATATGTAAATTATGTTAATTTTAGATTTAAAAACAAAGTTGGACTAAATTAAAATGTATCTATTATGTCTATCTGTATTTCATGTTTACAATATTTTTATTTTTTCATTTGTTTTCCTCTATATACATATCTGTACATATACTTGCTAAACCTATCAAGTTTGAGCAAATCAAGGAAAACTGTCATAAAAAAACCTAAGAAAAAACAAGGTAAACAGCATGAACAACAAAGAAAAACTGAGTTGGTAATATGACTAGAATTAACATATAACATAAAACAACACCATTTCAATCCGTACACATGTACCACAATATACAAACATATAATGGTTTGTTTTCATGTTAAAGTGTCAATGACTTTACCCTTGTATATGTGCAGTATATCAAAGAGGAATTTGGTGAACCATAATGTGTCTGAAATCAGTTGATTTCCAGATCTGTAACATAAGTCACACCATTGTATCAGATGTCTACAGGGCCAGTGAGAGGAGGTGTGTTTTGTGGCCTTCCTAATGACACCAGGATCCAGTGTATAATTAAAGCTATGATTCATGGAAGCAGCTGCCCATGTTAACAGTTCATTATCACAGAATAATCAGATATAGTTATGGTTTCAACTTCAGAAATGCATAAAGTTTTTTCTTCTGTTATAAAGCAATAAATTATGTACACCTAGTCGATTTTCACAAAAAACGGTAATTTATTAGATAAGTATCAAGATATATGATCCTAATATCCTGTTCAGGTTTTCAGTCAGCCACAAGTTCTTCATATCTGCTTGGTGCCACCAACAACACAAGTTGTAAAAATTTCGTCACTTTTTCTGCAATCAGAAAAAAGACTTAGAAAAGAACCACAATATTAGAACAATTGGTTTCTATAAAGATAAGTATCATTTATTCTTTCAATAGGTATAACTCTGCCAATCTCATTCTTTATGCAAAATAGAAAATACACATTTTTACTTAGGGATTAAAGTTATGAAAAAAATAATTTCTTAATATGTAAATAAAAATGTTGACCGTGAAATACATTTTATATAATATTCTATACATAGACTTTGAACTAGCTGTTACAGATACCTACCAGTAAATTTAAATGAGGTTTTGTACACAACAAATGGGACATAAAAGAAAAGACCGCTGATCATGAAGAGGAAGGCATACAGGAACTCAATCCTTGGGTTCTGTACAATAGGAGCGATGACAAGGTAGATGGAGAATAACAAGACAATCACTGGTACAATGGTGGGTACCTGGAAAACCAAATTCTTCACTTATAAAATAACCAAACAGATGTAGTTCAAGCATCTCCTTACTGTATTCTGTGGCCTTGTAAAATAAATTTAACTCACTCAGTGTCCTTTAAAAATCTACAGTATCCTACAGTGTACAGTATCCTACAATATCATTCATAACCCTACAGTGTACAGTATCCTACAATATCCTTCATAACCCTACAGTGTACAGTATCCTACAATATCCTTCATAACCCTACAGTGTACAGTATCCTACAATATCATTCAGAACCCTACAGTGTACAGTAACTAATGGTTTCCTTTAGTCCCCTGTAATCTACAGAACCCTATGATGTACAATAACCTAGAGTATCCTTCACTATACTACAAATTACAGCAACTTTCAGTATCCATCAGTAACCTAGTGTACAGTATTCTAAAGTACCCTACAGTATTCAGTAACCCAGGCACACTATTGTATACTAACCTACAGTATCCTACAGTGTACAGTATTCTAAAATACCCTACAGTATTCAGTAACCCAGACACACTATTGTATACTAACCTACAGTATCCTACAGTGTACAGTAACCTGAAGTACCCTACAGTATTCAGTAACCCAGACACACTATTGTATACTAACCTACAGTATCCTACAGTGTACAGTAACCTGAAGTACACACAGTACTCTTCATTGTACAGTATCCTTCATTGTACATAAACCTACAGTTTACATTAACTTACAGTAGCCTGTAGTACTAAACTGTCTATTAATCTATTATATCCTTAAGTGTACAAAACCTATAGTGAAGTAATCTTTGGTACCCTACTGTGTCCTACAATATCCTTCAGTGTACATAACCTATACAGTGTACAGTAGCTTACAATATCCTTCAGTGTACATAACCTATACAGTGTCCAGTAGCTTACAATATCCTTCAGTGTACATAACCTATACAGTGTCCAGTAGCTTACAATATCCTTCAGTGTACATAACCTATACAGTGTCCAGTAGCTTACAATATCCTTCAGTGTACATAACCTATACAGTGTCCAGTAGCTTACAATATCCTTCAGTGTACATAACCTATACAGTGTACAGTATTCCTACAGTGTCCAGTAGCTTAAAATATCCTTCAGTGTACATAACCTATACAGTGTCCAGTAGCTTACAATATCCTTCAGTGTACATAACCTATACAGTGTACAGTAGCTTACAATATCCTTCAGTGTACATAACCTATACAGTGTACAGTATTCCTTCAGTGTCCAGTAGCTTAAAATATCCTTCAGTGTACATAACCTATACAGTGTCCAGTAGCTTACAATATCCTTCAGTGTACATAACCTATACAGTGTCCAGTAGCTTACAATATCCTTCAGTGTACATAACCTATACAGTGTCCAGTAGCTTACAATATCCTTCAGTGTACATAACCTATACAGTGTACAGTAGCTTACAATATCCTTCAGTGTACATAACCTATACAGTGTCCAGTAGCTTACAATATCCTTCAGTGTACATAACCTATACAGTGTCCAGTAGCTTACAATATCCTTCAGTGTACATAACCTATACAGTGTACAGTATTCCTACGGTGTCCAGTAGCTTACAATATCCTTCAGTGTACATAACCTATACAGTGTCCAGTAGCTTACAATATCCTTCAGTGTACATAACCTATACAGTGTACAGTATTCCTACAGTGTACAGTAGCTTACAATATCATTCAGTGTACATAACCTATACAGTGTACAGTATTCCTACGGTGTCCAGTAGCTTAAAATATCCTTCAGTGTACATAACCTATACAGTGTCCAGTAGCTTACAATATCCTTCAGTGTACATAACCTATACAGTGTACAGTATTCCTACGGTGTCCAGTAGCTTACAATATCATTCAGTGTATGTAACCTACAGTGTCCAGTAACCTATAGTATCATTCAGTGTATATAACCTACAGTGTCCAGTAACCTATAGTATCATTCAGTGTATATAACCTAGTGTCCAGTAACCTATAGTATCATTCAGTGTATATAACCTAGTGTCCAGTAACCTACAATATCATTCAGTGTATATAACCTAGTGTCCAGTAACCTATAGTATCATTCAGTGTATATAACCTACAGTGTCCAGTAACCTACAGTATCATTCAGTGTATATAACCTACAGTGTCCAGTAACCTACAATATCATTCAGTGTATATAACCTACAGTGTCCAGTAACCTACAATATCATTCAGTGTATATAACCTAGTGTCCAGTAACCTATAGTATCATTCAGTGTATATAACCTAGTGTCCAGTAACCTACAATATCATTCAGTGTATATAACCTAGTGTCCAGTAACCTACAGTATCATTCAGTGTATATAACCTACAGTGTCCAGTAACCTACAGTATCATTCAGTGTATATAACCTACAGTGTCCAGTAACCTACAATATCATTCAGTGTATATAACCTACAGTGTCCAGTAACCTACAATATCATTCAGTGTATATAACCTACAGTGTCCAGTAACCTACAGTATCATTTAGTGTATATAACCTAGTGTCCAGTAACCTACAGTATCATTCAGTGTATATAACCTAGTGTCCAGTAACCTACAGTATCACTCAGTGTATATAACCTACAGTGTCCAGTAACCTACAATATCATTCAGTGTATATAACCTACAGTGTCCAGTAACCTACAATATCATTCAGTGTATATAACCTAGTGTCCAGTAACCTACAGTATCATTCAGTGTATATAACCTACAGTGTCCAGTAACCTACAGTATCATTCAGTGTATATAACCTACAGTGTCCAGTAACCTACAGTATCATTCAGTGTATATAACCTACAGTGTCCAGTAACCTACAGTATCATTCAGTGTATATAACCTACAGTGTCCAGTAACCTACAATATCATTCAGTGTATATAACCTACAGTGTCCAGTAACCTAAAGTATCATTCAGTGTATATAACCTACAGTGTCCAGTAACCTACAGTATCATTCAGTGTATATAACCTACAGTGTCCAGTAACCTACAGTATCATTCAGTGTATATAACCTACAGTGTCTAGTAACCTACAATATCATTCAGTGTATATAACCTAGTGTCCAGTAACCTACAGTATCACTCAGTGTATATAACCTAGTGTCCAGTAACCTACAATATCATTTAGTGTATATAACCTAGTGTCCAGTAACCTACAGTATCATTCAGTGTATATAACCTAGTGTCCAGTAACCTACAGTATCATTCAGTGTATATAACCTAGTGTCCAGTAACCTACAATATCATTCAGTGTATATAACCTACAGTGTCCAGTAACCTACATTATCATTCAGTGTATATAACCTACAGTGTCCAGTAACCTACAGTATCATTCAGTGTATATAACCTACAGTGTCCAGTAACCTACAATATCATTCAGTGTATATAACCTACAGTGTCCAGTAACCTACAGTATCATTCAGTGTATATAACCTACAGTGTCCAGTAACCTACAGTATCATTCAGTGTATATAACCTACAGTGTCCAGTAACCTACAATATCATTCAGTGTATATAACCTAGTGTCCAGTAACCTACAGTATCATTCAGTGTATATAACCTAGTGTCCAGTAACCTACAGTATCATTCAGTGTATATAACCTACAGTGTCCAGTAACCTACAATATCATTCAGTGTATATAACCTACAGTGTCCAGTAACTTATACCATCAATACAAAGTATAGTCGCACGCTCCTACTATTTTTTTCTACATTGCATCTACTGTTACAGGAATATATGATAAATAACTCTCAAAAACTGGTCCTACAAGTACAGTGGCATTGAAGTTAGAGTATGTTATTTAATGATGAAATATAGGCATACATTTGTGGTTGGCATATTTATTACAGATATTTAGATATACAAGGCTGTTGTACCACCACAGCCCTGGATACTTACTCTGTAAGGGCGTTCACGGTCCGGAGATGTGTATCGGAGGACCAGAAGTGATAACATGGTAGCTCCATAGAAAAACCATGCAGCAAAGCTGAAGTAATCTATCAGAGTAAAGATGTCCCCTAATGTCACTAGTATAGCCGCTAGTATTGTCTGAAATAAGGAATAAAATAAATACCTCTTCACATACTACCAGTCAGTTCTACAGTATAGATCAGGTACTGTATCAAAAGAAACTGTTAACAAATTCAATAATGTGATAAGAAGGGAAGGAGGATGAAACAAGGGACATAACTCTTCCCAAAAAAAATTCTGTGAATTACTTGGATCACAGCAAATCCCATAGGACTTAAAATTATTATATTACATGCTCAAATTTTGCTGTTGACCATATGATACTTTGTGATAGAGTATTTATCTGTGATGCCACATTGCTCTAAATTCTGTCTAAGATTAGTGATGCATCATCTGTGGGTCATACGCAACTCCCATCACTACTTGATATTTTCCTTCCACAGATGTACTGATATCAAACATTTCCAGATGATTGGTCATATTTAATGTAAGCTGACTACAACTTCTTTTAGGACAATCTGTTGACAACATACAATGCACCATTTAAAGTCCTGACTTCATACTACTTTACATTCTAGAGAAGAGAACAATGCTTCATTTTTGGTTTTACCTTAAAATATGAATATGAGTTAATCACTTGGTATCTTTTTATCTAATACAGCCAACTGTACATGATATTAAGTTTAACATCTTTATCACATTAATATTCTTTACTGTACCATCAGATGCTTGATTTCTTTGTATCATTTAGGGAACTAGGCTACTAGAAATAACTTACCGAGAAAAGAAGAGATGGAAGAGGTGTGAACTGTTTGACATGAACATAGGATAGTACTTCGGGTAGATGGCCTTCTCTGGCAGCCACAAACATCACCCTGAAACATTACATTAAAACATCTATGTTTAGCATGATAATACAATGATATAGCATTGTTTTGCTGATCTTACTCTCAGAAAAAACAGATGAAAGGTTTTTAATATCAGCTGTTTTAATGTTGATAACTTATCATAATCTTACCTTCCTCCTGTGAAGCAAGAACCATTAGCAGCACCAAATGTAGAGAATGCCACAGATATTGGTATGAGCATAGCAAAAACTCCGAGCACCCTCTCTCCCCAAGTCTTCAAAATAAAATAAAACAAGATTTAAACTTTGATATAATATCATGGTTATCTGTATTTGTGTTATTACTGAATGAAACTGCTAAAATTTTAAAATCCTATACATGTATTTGGTATATACATATTTGTTTACATAGATTCATCAAGTTGATCAGTTAATTACAAATCTTTTCTATTTTCACATTGAACAGAATTGTTGATACATAAATACCACATTTTAACTTTCATTTGATATAATCACTAATCAGATTTGGAAATTACTGCTGGGGAAAGTAAGGTTTCAGTTATATTTCACCAGGTAAGAAATATCATTACCGTTGCAACAGCAGCTGAAGCCAGAAGCTCCCTTGTCGTCATGACTGTGAGGTATGATACATTGGTGAAGAAATAGCAGATGGTCACTAGGGGAATGGCAAACATAATCGCCCTCGGGAGGTTCCTGTTTCACAATAATGTATAGAATAAATCAGACATCAAAAAAGTGCAATTTAACAGAAAGAGAGATAAATGTTATCATTTTTGTATTTTTAATAGCATATCAACTCAGAAAAAATCCTCATCAATGGCCAAGAAACGGTACATAAAATATTGTACAATTGGAAGATAGAAAAAGAGACAAAATTTAGTGAAAAGACAGAACCAACTTAAAATTCAGTGAAGTGTCTATGAATCACCTCAGACAGTTTATTCCTTGCCATCAACTCTTTGGGTTAAAGATAGATAATACTCTGTAATATACAATGGTGACCTTGACCTTCCTGAACTCAGAAAGTGAAGTAAGTTACAGACATGATTAATACTTTCTATGGCCTACTTCTCTGTTATAAGATGGTAAGGACACAAAAATAAATTGTATATCTACTTCAACAATTGTAAGTGAACCACATGTTGTACATAATTAGGTATATGTAAACAACATTCAGTCTACTGGTGATGTTTTTATTGTTTCCTCATTTGAACCTGACACATGAACAATTGAAGCTTTTCCAGACCAAAATATCACAGAATGGTGAAAACTTACTTATGAGGATCTTGGATTTCTTCTGTCACGTAGTTAAGATTGTTCCTAAAAAGAAATTTGTGAGCTTTAGATATAGGACATAAGTAAGAGAAAAGATACCCAAGTGGCAAAGTGAATCATTCAGAGTAATGTTTGGTGAGAACACTAAAATATAAACTTTATATCACAATATTTTTATCAGCTAATAATAATCACTCTTGCTGGCCCAGATGAAGCATATGGAGTCTTATTGTGTGAGAAAACCAGAGAACCTAGAGAAAACCCAGATTCCAGGACAGGTGACCTCCCAACTTTTCATATCCATTCCGGGCATTGAACCATGGACATCTAGGGCAAAGGTATTACCACTGTTTAATACTGTATATATTCAGCAATACGCTTTGATAACAAGTCCATCCATATCACTATGATGCTATTTCATAGTCCTGAAACAAGCCCACCTCCATGACTTGGAGTCATATTTATGTGTTAGTTCCCTGGGCCAAGTTCCAATAACTTTACTGGGTATATCATTCATGTGTGTAGTTCATTAAGAAACTGAATACCATCCCTAAATATCTATCAAGTTCATTGAGATAAAAATACATTCCCTGCAGAAAATTACTTACTAAATCCTCATTTTACTGATATTTGATGAAACTTACCATCCATCATATGCCCATAGTCCATCATAGAAGGCTAATGCAATCACTGATAGTGAATTTTCTGTGCCTTCAAAGCCAGTCTGCAGTACCTCAGTTTCTCCTGCAAAATCAGTTTTACATGATACTTTATTTGGAGAGAATCTTGATACAAAGGTACAAACACCCAAGCACTATATATGTGTCATCAGAAGAATACTGATGTGAACTGAAATTTAAATCGATCACTGACGTACCGTAGGTAGTGTGCAAGATTGTTAAGGAATCAATAGACATTTTTGGCTGTACTATAATACTATGTACACAATATTTCAAACTGTATTCTCCCTCGTCATTGGTCTCTTTTAGAAGAGTATGTTGAAAAAAAGGGCCCTACCTCTGCCAATCAAGGGATCTTTTAGAAGTATCAGATAAGAAGAAGGGAACCAACCTTTTCCTGTCAAAATATATCAGATTAGCAGTAGGGACCTACCTTTTTCTATCTGGATACCTTTTAGAAGTATTTGTTAAGAAGGCGCCTTAAGAAGTATAAGACAAGAAGAAGGGGACCTATCTCATTCTATCTGGATACCTTTTAGAAGTATTTGTTAAGAAGGCTCCTTAAGCAGTATCAGATAAGAAGAAGGGGTCCTACCTCTTTCTATCAAAGTTTCTTTTAGAAGAATCTATTAAGAAGGTACCTTAAAATGAAGTATCAGATAAGGGGACCTACCTCTGCCTATCATGACAAATCCACCAATAGTGATGACAGCAACTGCCACTAATTTTGTAATTGTAAAGATGTTCTGTACTTTGGTGGCCAGGCTTACACTGTAACAGTTGATGAAGGCTACCACCACTACAACAAGGAGAAGCAGTTTAGTCAGCTGTCTGGTGAAATACACAAGTCATTCCATGGCATGACCATTTATGCTCAGTATCAATACAGAATACACTTAAGGTTTTATATAGTTTCACAAGCAGTGGTAGAGCATTTTATAAAACAGTAGACCAATGATTTGTAATGATGTCCATAGCAGATACAGAACTATGTCAACTGAATAAACAGATGATATATATCTATATATTGTACTCACACAGACAGACAACAGATACCAGTTTTATGACAATGTCAGGTGGACCACAGGGATAGAAAGGCTCTGTACTGTACAGAGCGAAGCTCATTGCCACTACGCCAAACAGAGCTGGTTTCAGGATGAGCACCGATGTCCATGCATACATGAAGGCAGGTATTGACCCCAGCGTTTTGTGCATTGGTTCAAATGCTTCCTTGAGATAAGCATACTCAGCTCCTGACCGTGTGATCATTGTGCCTAATTCTGCATAGGCTAATGCACCTGAAAAGACATCCATTGCAGCCTATGTTGAGACACATGTAGATGAATGTACAACGTCAAATGTGAATTTTCTTTTGAATTTTGAATATTTATCATTTCATGACTAAAAATATTTGTGGTGCTGGTTTTAGATTTTTTCATATTAAATCTTTGAGAATGATAAATGCAAAGTGAAATGTTATCCCTTTTCTATTGGTATAGGAATTAAACAGAGTGAAGATGTTACCAGGAATAACGACATGAAGGAGACCTTTATAATGTTGTTCACATTGATTAGTAGTAAAAATGGCTGTGATCTGAGAATGCAGAAATGAGAGATTGGGACCATTTATATAACATTATCAGATACAATAATATTCTGATTTATTAATGAAGAGAGATTAACTACAAAGTTTAGATAATAAACATACCTACCAGGAAGGTTTTAATTACTTACCCTATATCATCTTTAACATTTAATAAAAGGCAATTTTTTTTCATTTTAAACATTATTGTACAGTATGGTGTAAAAAGATTGCAAATAATTTATAAAATGTAACTTTTTTTTTCTGCACCCAAATAATTAAATAAAATAACCTTCAAAGTTACAACAGAAGTTTTAACCTTAATAGGTATCAGGGGTTGGTGTTATAATTATGTTTTTTTTAAATTAAGAAATGATATTGAGTGGAATTAATTAGATATCTATGTGAAGAGTATTGGAAATTGGTGGTGTTAAATGGTTTCCGTGATATTGGTGAACGCTGTGTGACAGACTGTCATGTATGAGGGTGATTGTTCCTTATCTTACAAGGAAGGGCAGTTCCACAATTAATCCACAATCTGGAGGGCAATATGGCACTATCTACCGCGAAGCCATACACGTCTCTCCATAACTGGGACTTTTGTCTTCATCTGGAGGAGCTGAATGGCCAACAACCCTATCGTTTCCAAGCTGTATGTTATCAGAATCTTATGTCTTTGAGCCTTGAGATTTGGTTCAGGTGTCATCTTATGTCTCTCAACGTATAGGAGGGCATTATGACATCTGATTTTTTTGTTTTTTTGCCAAAAAATATCCAAAAATGAATTATTTTGAATTTTCAAGACGTCATCTTATGTCTCTCAACGTATAGGAGGGCATTATGACATCTGTTTCTTATTAAGCCAAAAAATGTCAAAATACTAACATAGACGTCATATTATGTCTCTCAACGTATAGGAGGGCATTATGACATCCATTTTTTAATTTTTAAAATCTGACCAAAATACACTAATCTATCCTAGAATTAGCGTGCCATGTATGTCTCTCCGTGACGGGGTTAGTTATCGGAATAGCCCTTGATTGGCTGTAATAAAATATATATATAAATAACCACACAACAACTGGTACGCTGTACTTCCGCAATAGTGCTGCTTTCTGGCCCTTCTCCATGGTAACTATTCCAGAAACTTCTTTTAAAGGAGGGCCAACTGGCATGTGTGAAATGTATTTTATAATAAATATATAACCAAAACAGTAATTTTGAAGTTTGAGATGTCAGTATCGTCTCTCCAGAAAAAAAAGGAGGGCGATATGACACCCATGGTTTTAAATGCCAAAAGTTGTAAAATCAAGTCAAAAGTCAGGGGTAGTTTAATTTTGGGGCTGGGGATGGGCGAGTCTTCCCTGTATGCCAGATTTGTCTCTCCTACAGAACATGGAGGGCTAACTGGCACCAGAGACGACAATGTGCTAGACAGGTTTGCCACATGTCTCTCCAACAGAACTCTGGAGGGCAAGATGGCAGCCTGTATCTCTTGTTTACCAAGCTTCCAACTTACTGTTGCTTGAGTTAATATCAGAAGTGGATACATACTAAATATAAGCAAAGAAAAGAAATCTGAGGCAAAAAATATACAAGATAAGAAACTTATATTGAGAAGTGGTTAAAATCAAGGGAGTAAATGGTGTCATTTTAACTGATTACTTTTGTATATTATACACAACTACCAAAATCATTAATGTCACTTACCTGAAAATATGAAGTAGATTTAAAATATCAAAGTATTAAAGATGAATTTACTAAAAACCATAGTTTCACTACTAATAGAAAACTTGATTTGCATTTCCTAACTAAAATATGTCACACTTAGTCATTCTGTTAAATGTAAAACAAAAAATATTTGAAATGAAATTTTACTACAGGAAATGAAAAAAAAATAAAAGAAGTGTAGATATCCACTTCTGATAAACTCCTGCATCCAGACCAATGATAGTATGACCAGTTCAAATAAAAACATTTCTTTCAGCAGTAAAAAAGGTGTGTGGACAAAATTGTACGAGAGAGAATGCAGATATACAATGTGCTACACCACTAGCAGCCCTTGAATTGCCTTGTACATGTATATCACAGATTTGGTCTTGAGATCTGTCATAGAGGGACAACCAAACTAGCTCGCTATATCTCAATGAGACATCTCAGAATGAAATCTGTATATCAAGTCTAAACAAGGACGGCTAGTGGTACAAGTCAGGACTTTAATGTCTCAATCTGTTAAAAGTATAGGTATTAAATGTGAACTGCAAATTGTTCACATTAATACTGTTTCAGAGCTTCCACAGAGGACCTCCCTGCTAGTTTCCTTGAGTAGGACAAGCCAGAGAGTCTGAATGGTGAATATAAACTAGTCAATAACACAAAATACAATTTAGAGTTTTTACACTGACTATGATTTGAAGGGTGAAATTTCAAAATTTGATATTAAATCATATTCAATTCCAGTTTATATACAATTTCAATGAAACAAACATTTCTCTTACCGAGAGTTAGGTCAAAAGACAACACCCATAATAGATAATTTTCATTTTTGTTTCGCCAAAATGAATAACTATGTTTTAAAAGCTCTTCAACTAAAAGTGAAGTCATTTAGAAAAGTGTCCATTATATCATTCCTTGATTGTTTAGCCCTAGAAATCTAGACAAATATTCTGTACAAATGAAGTAAGTGATCAGGTCAGGTACAATAAACAATTTGCAGCCCACATTTCCTTATCATCATTTCTGGAACAAGAGAACATAATTCATGAACTCTGGTTCCAGTTATCTCCCTTGACAGCATGCATCCTTACTGGTCATGCTACCATCATTCTGGATGGATCTGAGCAGCAAGTTTGAACTTTAACCCTACATAGAGAACACAGGACCAGGGACTTGAGAGGGGCTCAATTTGGCCTATAATAAAATTTTTGTAGCAATTATCCTTTAACAGTATTATAATTTATTTGACATTGCCATGTTTGTCTCTCCACTCAGATATTTTTGGAACAGCCCCTTCCCTGAAATAAAGGGAAATGATTTAATTGTAATGGAGGATGATTGATGACCTTACACCAGACTAACTGATTCAGGTGTCTGGGTACCCTGTTGTGGGTAGTAGGGACAGAGTTGTAGGCTGGGAGTTGCAGCTCAGATAGAGAAAAAAGCATGCAAAGCAGTATCCACTGTGACCTTCGGTTTGTATGTCATTCAGGAGGTTGTGTTAAACACAGGTTGTTTTGGACAAGCTATCCTATATAAAAGCTTTAGACCCTTCCCTGAATCAGTTCTACAACTAAGCTTGCTCTATGGACATTTTGGATGACATGATCGAGCCCGTCCTATCGGCTGTTGGTGACTACAGCTCAGAGTTTGCCGCCTACTTACTGCACCCGCTCAATGATGGGTCATCCTTTACTCCAAACTCGGAGGCAAGCGGTAACCTGTATGCAAGAAAAATACATACAATACAACTTTTAAAGGGGGAAAATAGCTTCCCCATCTAATTACAAAGAAAGCACGCACTGATCCTCACTCACATATTTCACATTTACCCTCGGTAGAGATCACAATCTTACTGGATATGCTCTGGACGTACCATCAACAAAAACACTAAGCATCTAAATCAGCTTGTTGCCAAGGAGGGAGGCTTGCTTTCCACTAAATATCAACACTACAACCAGTTTTTTTCTTTCCTTTTAAACAACAATTATATCGAATTTATCAAGTCAAAATATGGTAAACAGTTTTTTAACACACAACGATGAATGCTGACCATTATAATTATAGTTAGTGTCAGTCAACTTTCTAATAAGTTAAAAGAAAGGCAGATCCAAACATTTTGTTGTGGGATGGATTCCATAAGATTAAGGTCTTAAATGTACAAAATAAGAAAAAGAACAATTCCATGATACAACATTGTTTTTTTTTATCTGGGTTTTGTTATGGTTATTAGTTTTTCCTCTTTTTTTTTTTATATCTATCTCACTTTTATAAATCATACAAATAATGCATGTTGCAAGGCAAAAAGGTAAGGATGGTAATTGTGAACCCCTATATAAACCTTCAGATTTGTCTCTGCATAGAACAGTCTAATTCAGGGACCAACCAAAATTAGTTGTCGACTTTCAGTGAATAAAGGTTACCCGAGTTACATATTCACTTATATCAACAAGGACTGGCTATTGAAAACTCACGAATTACAATCCCCAAGGTGCCGAAACACATGGCTATATGCAGAAAAATTCAAAACATTGTACAAAATTATTGTTTAGATTTCAAATTGAAATGCCAGGGATGAAAAATGGATATGGGTATATACATAATGATACATGCATATATATATAGTAAAGTAAATTGGACAGCACACATATACATATCATGCAAATTTGGTACAACAGCAGAATCTTGTAAACCTGGAAAAAAACTGACAAATCTAAACATATTCTCATGATAATTATATGTATGGAATGTAAACAATAAATGTTGCTCTATTTTAACATCATAATGAGGTATGTTATGGAATGCATGTATCAAACTGTGACAGGTTTTTACCAAACATTTCGATCAAACATACAAAATAGTTCATAACGTTAGTCAAATTATGAAAACAAAGATGACTTAAATACAATTCAGTGGTAGATCCATGGAATTTTCTGGTCGTTTGTAAATCAGAATTTTCATTTTCCTTTCAAAACCTTTTTAACAATTTTTCTCCCTGAAACCTGACATAACATAAAGGAGCCCAGTCCATCCCCCATCCCTATTTATGCCTCTGGATCAACCACTTATCAGCACTTTACACATGTCATTGTAAATAGTATAAATTTGGTAATTAAAATGAAAAATTAGTTAAGTCAAATTAACAATTTCAAAAAAATAAAACTTTATCCATCACTGACCAATTAGTTATGATTTAACAGAGTAATAATACATTTACAGATATGTGACACCATCGTCCCAGTCTATTCAGCAAATATTAGAAGCAAACATTGAGAAGATAACAGCATGGCACTTATCAAAGATCCAAACTGATATGACTAACCAAAAAAGAAAAGAAGTTTAAACATGCAGTAGATTGAAGTCACTTATTTCAATAAAATGCTGAAAGCAGTGGTAGGTATTTCTAGAAATTTTTCAAGGTTAAGTCTTGATATGATATTTTGTTTATCAGAAACAGTTTTATTACTGAACACAAAGGCAGCAATTTGCTGAAAATCCTGAGATGGATGATTGCCACATTAATTGCGAAAAACAACAGAGAATGGCTGAGTTATATAGGATAAGTTTGTGTGTGAGATACATGCGGTAGTTCTGTGAGTTAGTGTGAGGCTCCTCCCACAGTTACTTATATGTGTGTATAATTGTTATTATCTACAAGGTTAATCACATTAGAGATGCACAACGTACTTAAGCTCTGAAGCAGAAGCTTTCGTAACACATAGAAGCAAATTAATATGTCAGCTCTTGTACACATTTAATAAAAAGGTGATTCTTTTGAGAAACTGAGCTTGTGTTATGTAGCAACACAGACAGATGGTTATAATTACATAAGGGTACTGGTGATTCCTATTGTGTTAGTTATACTCTTTAGTAACAGTCATGAGTAGTGCAGCAGTAACAATTCATACAGTCTAATGTACTAATAATTTGAAACTATTTCAGAAATTTCTTCATTTCAAAGCCAATTTATCAGCTATATCTACAACCGTATCAAATGAATACCTTTCATTACATAATTGATTTGGAACCAGCAGTAGGCGGTTTTGCATCAAGAGAATCATTAGCTCTATTAAACATGGAATCAAAGGAAGAAAGCTAGATATACTGGTATCTATCAAATGAGAAAAAGCAAAAGGGCTTAGACGCCAATTAAATGGTTTGTTTGTGTTGTTTATACTCGGCTCCAGAAATCCTAACGGTAAACAGGGATGCGCCTACATCTGACACTCTATGAAAATATACATTGTATTAGATAGAGTAAGCAAGCATCTTATTACATCAATATGCAACAGAACATCCATAATTAACAACAATTTGGAAAGTATATTGAACATCAACCTCTCATCTTGATTTAATTTTAATTCAAATCAAAAATATAGAACCCAAGAAAGAAACAAAACTGTTAAAATTTGTTTTTTTTTTAATTTTTTTTTTCTGTCGAAAGATATTGTATATCCCAGTATAACAATATTGTACTGTACATTTCAGCTTATGCAACAAGTACAGATGAGCTATACTGATGGTTGGAGCACTTTGACACGACACCAACATGGTGGGATGCACAGATTATATACAATGGAGACATGTGGTATACGTATGTCTGTGTACAGGTTTCAGTAACAATTATAAGTCAGTCAGCAGTAGATCCCTTGAACAACAAGAATGTGTTAGGAGTGTTGTGAGTGAAGCACGTTACATACAGCTATGTAATCATACTCACCTGTCTTACATAACATCACAATAGTATACTTACCTCTCACATATCAACACTTCCAACAAATATCTTAAGTCAGCAAATTTTCAACAAAATCTAATCCATTAATCAAGAAGTACGACAGGAGGGAGTGATACTTACCCATTAAGGACAGGACACCACATCCTATCCACACGACAAAGCTCAGTCCCACTGAGCCTGTCCCCATTAGTACCCCCTTAGGTGAGATAAAGATTCCTGACCCTACAAAGCATGTACACAAAATTTGAAGACATATTCTTTCCAAAAAAATTCTAGACACTTTAGAAAATACATTCTACTTTCATAGTTACACGTTTCCAAACCTGACTTTCACAAATTACATGAGACTCTCTGGACAGGTTGAAAGTTTCTATTGTCAAGCTGTACTCCCTAATAGAATGTCTCCTGTGATGTTAAGAGCTTTCACAACTTACTTAATGTGACTATTTTTACATAAAGAAGTTCTGTGAAGATTTTTGCCAAATAAAAACCTGTATTGCAAGCATTTTCAAGTGGAATCATTAATAATTCTGTACCCATTAAAGTGATGGAATATCAAACAAGCAAACGTTAACAAAAAATAGCAAAATTACAAAACGTATTCACCAAAACTCTTACCTATCATGGTGCCTACTATCAAGGCAATGCCAGAGGACAGGCCAACTCGTTTCTTCAAGTTCACATGTTGTTTATCAGGAATTTTCTCCCCTGAATTGTTGTTACCATTACTTCGATATTTCAGCTTGTCGATATCTCCATTAATGTGTCCGTTAATCATGGTTCCTGTTGGGGATTCTTCACCATCCAAGCATGGAAAACTGTTACCGTTCACTGTAATATACAGAAAACTGTTATCGTTCACTGTAATGTACAGAAAACTGTTACCCTTCACTGTAATATACAGAAAACTGTTACCCTTCACTGTAATGTACAGAAAACTGTTATCGTTCACTGTAATATACAGAAAGCTGTTACTCTTCACTGTAATATACAGAAAACTGTTACCCTTCACTGTAATGTACAGAAAACTGTTATATATATATATATATATATATACTTATCACACCTTTAAATGTGTTAACAAGATTTGTATCAGTAACAGAAATGCTATCATGTTAGATTCTGGGAGATCACCTAATTTTCATACTTTCCAGGTGAATATTGTTCAATAATATAAATTTGTTCTTAATGAATATGTCAAAAAACATTTAGTTCTCAATGAAGTAATATGAAGGTTGAATTTCATTGAAGATAAACAGTAACATTGATGTTCACAAATAAAAACACCACTGGAGGCTAACTATGCAGAACTTGTAATGCAAAAAAGTTCAATGTGAAAACCTTTTTCGCTAACTTATAAGCGATATCAAAATCCTATTAGCCCAGCCAAGTAAGCTTCTGAGTAATCTGTGAAAACTTTTCAATAGGTTATTCCACTAGCAACTCCAATGATGTGCTGTTGTATAAATGGTGCACGTCTTTGAGATGACCTTGCCGTCTGTAGTCACCACATTATATGCTGTGTTTTTTACATTACTTATTACTTATCACACAGCCAGGTGCTCAACTTCTGCCATGTGAAGCAGCAGTATTTACAGGCTTTTACTACAAATTTCTGAGACAGTATCCAGAAGGTGCAGTTAAAATATTTATCCATGCAATGTAACAAACAGGTTGTCTATCACCTTGTTTGATAGTGGATCTCCTAATGGAACACACAGCATGGTTGTTTTCTTAAACTTTTATCAGTTCTGCTACGAAAAGGAAAAACGAATGATGAAAGTCAATTCCAGCAGTATTATTCTCTTCCACAAATACCTGGTAGGTATATGATCAGCAGTCTGGTTCATCACTTCAGTAACAACATTTGAGTGGGTGTTAAATGCCAGGATAATACAATGTGTAGGCGTACATTTGGTAGATAAAATTTGGTACATTTGGTAGATAAATGGAAGGTAAATTACTATGGAGGCATCTTACTTTACAAATACTCCAAATTTTCTTCTCATTTCAACTGATCTGCAGCAATTAGATTGACTGTTGGCAACTTCCATTTCAAATTTTCTACTTAATGTGGCATTAATGCTTTCACATATTTAAGTAACAAAAACATTAGTAAATAATTTTGATATTTTTCTATAATGAAACTGTATCGTGTTGGAATTTCAAAGCTGAACAATCTGTTTAGACAATTGTTTAGTTTAACCCTATAGAGAAATTAACTTTTTAAAATGAAATCATGATGCAAAAATGCTCACAGGTAAAAAGCACATCCAAATCAGTTTGACCTCTGCATGTACCCTTGTCTGAGGAATATTTCTGCATAAAACAGCCCGCTTGATGATTTAGAGTGGCAGACATATTTACCACTTATTCCAATACACGTTTCATCTATTACTGCTCTACAATAAACAAGGACTCCCAGTAAAAAGGATCATCTAATCGCCATTACCAGTAGCAAATCAATAGGGTCACCTTGACCACTCCAGTGTAACCACAGACTTCATAAAGGAATATTGACTCATTTGACAACCCCTGTATCTATAAGGACATTTCAAATAAATAAAATGTAGGATGGGCCAGAAGCTATCAGGCATTACGTATTAAGCACAAATGTACTTAATTAAGGTCTCTTGTTTATACATGTTCAACAATCCTTTCTTCTGATTAAAATAGAAAACTCCTTATACGATTGTAGTCATCAAATACCCAAAGCTATGAATACGAATGGTTTAAATGACACATACCAGAATTAAATGACTACAGGCAATAATGTGATTACAGGCATTCATAAACTAATTTACCACTGTGAATTATTAGGAAGTCTATGACAGAGTTGACAACATGTATTTGCACCATATGGCACTATATTACATAGCCTGTTCTACGGCAACTCTCACCTCCAAACAACACGTAAATTGCAGGTAAATACTAATAAAAATGACATTAAAAAGCCATGATTTTTTCTATAATCTGATTGTAATTACAAGACATGTAAAAACAGACCTGTTTTAAATACCCTATCACATATATTTATAACCAAACACTTGTCTGAGTACTCCTGTAGTACCAAAAACATGGCCCCATGCAGGTTAAATATTTTAGCATAATCCTCATTACAAGATAGGACGACACAAAATCCAGAATTCTGGCAATGTTTTGAAAGGTGTAATACATACATGTGGACAGACCAGGTGACGTGAGGATCAGCATGGTGTTAGGGTACCAGGCCTTATACACATGGTATGACAAACATCAAATTGATGAAAAAGACGTCATTGATTCTGTGCTCTCAGAGAAATTGCACGTAGACTGCCTACACAGTTACAATGGCAAATTCCTAAAAATCAATAAGCCCGCCACACTGGAGAAAAGTTAAAGGACATATAGAGGACATTGCTCTGGACCTGGTGATCAATGACAGACATGCCCACTAAGCCGTTTCATGAACACACAAATCATGTAATGTTACCTAATTAAATCAATTTATCTAAAAAGCATATGTTTAAATCTGAAATATAATTCAAGTCAAAACCTCCACAACTGTGACTCAACTTTGCACATGTACATTTTCCACAAAAGTCCATTTGAATAGTCAATGCTGAATATTTAGTTTAAGAGACAGGTAAGAGTATAGGATTAAAAAGGGAATGTTTTAATGAAGAATGTGGGAAAGTGTTGCATCAGTAACCTTACACCGAAATCTGTTTACGACCTTCCATGATGAAATTCCAAGCATCACATCAAAATTAGGATACTAACATAGATTATAACAACTTTCAGGGATGGAATGAAGGTGACACCCTGCAGGTTCTCAACACCCTCAGTCATATGAATAAAGTTAAATATGCTCAAAACATTTCCTCATTAATGCCTTAACACATGAAAAAGGGATATGACCTCTGTAACGTTAGAGTATCTGAATGCTGATGATCAGAAATGTCAGCTGCTCTCAACATTATCCATATTTGTGTTTAACCACCAAGATTTACAGATATTGTTACTGGTGAAGTTGTCAATATTCTCCAGATTGATAATCAGCATTTTTACCACTCATAGAACATATCAAGGCATGTGTAAACATATCTACACATTTAAAAATGTAGCATTGTCCCTCTGACAGATATTTTGTTTACTGTATCTCTGTAGAAATACAAACTGTCACAAATGATATACACCTGTAGCTGTTTAGTGACTCCTATTCATATTAAGTTTTTTTCTCCTTATTTAAAATGAACCCTGTTTTCTATTTTGTCACATATTATAGCATTGTAATGAGTAAGATAAAAGTCAATTGTTAAAATATTATATCACAAGTGTAAGCAAATCATACAATATCATTAAAAACATTCCATAACGTCATATAAGTTTAATGTTTACGTCAGCCATAACCATCATCATTCTTTCAATGATTACATAATGATACTTCAGGCTCATACAATATGTTAATGTTTCTGTTGCTAATGTAGAAAGCAAGTACAGGTAGATAACTTACTGAATTACTACAAATGAATAAGAGTTGTAAATTTTGTTGCTAAGGGGCCCTGTATTGGAGCCCAGACACGAGAGACATATGTACATAATGACAACAGTTGTAAACTGAACTCACTGGTGCAGGTGCTTCAGTTAATATGAATCATTCTGGTGACCACTAACTATCAAACCTGTCAGATATCAATGTCATTCTAACTAACTCATTGATATTTACTTCCTTTATTTGTTGTTAGTCTTATCAAAAGAAATTGTACATCAAATGCCCTTTCTGCTCTACAGTCTGTAACCAGATTTCTTATCAAACCTAATAATACATAACACTTCTTTTTGAAATAAGAAATTCTCCTTTTATTTCTACTCGATACGTTTGTATGGTTGTAAATAGATCTTTATAAATCAGTAACTAATACAAGATATATGTATGCTTAAATGAGTAAACATCTGCTGTGGTAAAAAGTACTTCTATTATTAGAACCACTTCGAGAGTGCACCAATACAAATTAGAAGAGTAGCCTCACCATTTTATTACCATGGCCTTCAACCTGTCAGGACAGCAGCATCTATCTGTAGTGAGATGGTGGCATCAAACTGTCCAGTCTAAATGATGTACAGCTAGAGAAGTACCATTCAGGCCTTTAACCTTATTTTCTCCATGATTTATGTTGAACTTGAGAGACAATGGTGACATGCTGAAGGACTTTTTACCCACAATGTTTTTTGCTGTATATTAGTTGTCTATTCTTATGGACATATCTGACTTCCACCACAATTATTACTGTTTTACAAGATATTGATATGAAATTATGAATGAGACTGGAGCACTTACCTTGTAGATGTCTATAACAGGACAGTTCTGATTAGGTTTTATATAGACCAGGTGATGACATAGCTACAACATTTACATGTGATCTGACCCCCAGTGATATGTCCAGTAATCAGAGAGGATGGGTCAAGCTGATCCAATAAACTGTCTTGAAAAATATTGATTGATGCAATAATCCATATGCTTTACACAGAAAAGGGATTGAATTGAAAGTGTACCACAAATATTGACCTGAGATATTCCAGGTGTAATGTGTGCTATTACTCTCAGAGGACTAAAACTCATACTAACTCTTACCTCTTCAATACTGATGTCAAACCTCATGTACAATGTAAGCAGTAGACCATATAATGACAGTTGATCATATACTGACAGTAGACCATTCCTGACAGTAGACCATATACTGACAGTTGATGCTATACTGACAGTAGACCATTCCTGACAGTAGACCATATACGGACAGATGACTATAAACTGGCAATTGACCTTACACAATAATGTACTGACAATTAACATGGACATTTGACCTTATACCATCAGCTAACTTCAACAGTCAACCTCCATTCTCGTACTAATAGTTCAATACATACAGTTTGATAGAAATAGGATATTTATCAGTTGTAAAACATGATATCTTAAACAAAAATACAAAAAAAAAAAAAACAAGGAAAGATGTGAAGATATAATAAAGAAAGGGAATTAGGAATGCATGTCAGTTCCAGACAGGATTAGAGGAATATAAAATGAATGAGAACCGACAGGTAAATGGCATGTTTATTTTCACATAGGAAAAATTCCTGAATGGCTTGGTTAAATATTTCCACATTCACCAACTGTCAGTCAGACTGAGATACCATCCAGTCCTGTTCAATTTGGGGGAAAGTGTAGCATGTAAAAAGGCACGTAGGCAGGCCTTGATATCCTGCAGCTTAACACATCAATCATTACATATCTACGATGGCATCCCCTCCACTGTACTAATAGTAGCCTATCTACTTATCCAGAGATAGTGCATCACATAATGATTTGATGTACATTTTTGTATGTAATTGATATCAAAAGAGTGCAGTTTCAAACAAACAATGAAAAAAAATAAATGTTTACATTATATCCAAGGACATGCAACACACAACAGGACACCTGTTTGTGGAGAAAATCTAAGATCACAGATTGGCTTTTACTTACGTTATTCAAGTGAAGTTTCATTTCAGTTCCTTTCCTACTGAGCATATGATGCTTGTTTAACAAAAACCACGGATTTGGATTTATTTTTAAAGAATTACAGCCATAGTTTCCACTATGATTCAACCTACACTGTATCCAACTGATGAAAACTCTGAATTCATATACCACCACAATCTCTTCATTTAGTAGGATGATGAACCAATCATAACAGAGAACATCCATGTAATATGAGACAAGACTATTTCAAATCCTGCTATTTATTCTATTTCTTTCTAAATCTAATTTTTTTTTAAGGTGGGAGAGAAATATACAGAATGGATTGATTAAGTATTATAATACAACCATGACAGACTGATACCAATAGATACAAGATTTGTGATTCAAAATATATATTGCCATCAATACATTTTATTATCAACACCTGTTGCTGTATGCAGCAGTAAATTCAAGCATAAATGATTTTAATTTCTGAGGTTATTTTCAAAATCTAATTACAGATGTAAATATATAATTTTACTGACCAAACAACAAAACAGGCACTTTTGAAAGAAAAAAAACAAAATTTCATCTTTCATTTACATATTGACAACATGGGTTATTATAGTTTGTGTGCTAGCTGTGGTATTTACGTTTTCAAATGGAAATAAAAAATGGTAAATTAGTTGTTAGAACAACAGAACAAGAAGGCCACATACCTGGGTACAACTACCAGTACAATAGCTACTAATATTGTTATGTATAGATATTCATTTGTATCCTTAAATATGATATGTCTCACCATGATTTTCTAAGACTCAATGAAAGCTATACAGTTTTAAAAATAACTAAGAAACTTTTTTCAATTTATTTTTTTAAATCAATCTTTTTAATACCAAACCCATGAGTTGATGACATCAATAATATTTTCATAGATTTTAAATGGAAAACAATGACAATCTGTTTTTATAACCATCACATATATTTCAATATCAAGTTTTAAATACAACAGTAAGTTTTAAAAGCCAAAAATTTTTAAAGACAAGGTTTTGAAACATTGCTGACAATATTAAGTTTTAATCACCATAAATTTAAATGAATGGTTGCAAGTTGTTACTTACAGGTCTGTTTAATGGTAGAATATTATATCACCACACAGACAGTTGTGAGGTGTAAAATGTTACATACAAATATCACTATGTACATTGTATCAAATTGATCTTGTTCTGTTCAACTTCTGTAAAAATGCTTTAAAGTCTACTTGGTAATGAAATACTTCTTACTTCGTGTTAATATTCTATAAGTTTTTCCTAATCTACCTTGTGTAAAAGTCTGATCTTGCATCACTTACCTGCAGTCTGTTTGTAGTTGAGTAAATACTGTCCATTGTCGCCCTTGTAATTCACCATATCGCTGATTGATTATCCCTAAGGTTTAGTTCTGGTCTAAAAATTCAGCTCAGCCACAAGTCCTTAAACTGAAATTATAATGATGCAATGAATGTAAGGTACAGATATACCACCAAAACAAACTGTTTTGATTGGTCAGCTTTAGAACCAGAGATTTATGGGAGTGGAGTGCCCTCCCCAGAGGTGAACAAACCACCAGACTATGATTGACAAGGTTAACGTACAATGTTGAATATCAATCACAAATCAATCAACTAACCATGAATATCTGAATATGCAGCATTCTTTTTGGATAAACAAAAGCTGAAACATGTGAGAAATATATTGCCATTTTGGAAATCATAAATATTCATGAGATTCTTTCAAATAGCATTTAGTGTATACAAACCTTTTAACAGAACACCAGCATGCCTCTGTACAGAGTTCTACCCTAAAACCTATACAGGTAACACTGAATGACTTGTGTAGTTATTATTGACTGTCAGTCTTTGGCCAGTTTGTTGTTAGTGAGTTGTATATGTAGACATCCTATCTTGAGGTATTCTGGTATCCACATCTGTGTGCGTCACTTTCTCAGCAGCTAACATCAATACTGTCTGAGTTACACTACCGAAAATAGCCAGCAATTCCCTGCTTAGCTCTCCCAGCAGCGTGGTGCTCTATTTTCATCTAATATTCATGATAAGTCTTCAGACCTATACTCCCACCAAATTTTCCATATGTCCTTTCATCAAAATTAAGTAAAACTCAATTAACAAAAAAAACCTCTTGTACTATTGAAATCTGACAGTATAATTTACCTTACATAAATGTTGTATTAACATCAATTAACAGTGATTTGGTTTCATAAGGATTGTGATCACCTGTAACTAGGAAAAAAACATCCTCTAAAACTGAAATCACTATTTAATCATGTCCATCAAATAAAATTACTCTAATTTATGTCGAAGGGTCTCCTGACAGTTATCTTTTCTTTTAAACTGCAAATTTACATAAACAGCTAAAAATGCTAATCAAATTAAGATTAATTTATTCTTTAATAACCTTGAGTGTTTTAATAACTTCACTTAGTTAGCAGTAATTTGGTTTTATAAAAAAAAAGGTAATTGCTAATTTTCCAACAAGGGGACATAACTGTTTATTGTGGTGAAAAGAAAGACTATTCTATCTGTCAGCAATCAATCAAAGCTTCACACTGTTCTGTACTGGACCAATATTTATGTGGTGCCCATATTTGCCTATTAAAGAGACTTGCAAGTTACCAACTACATAGAAATTAGACACGTTACCACAGTGCAAATGCAATCTCTGTACAAATGCAAGGTATTAAATAATTATGACATTCTGCATGTAAGCTTGGTAAATACTAGTCAAAATATACCATTTGGCTCCAGAGAACTTCTCTTTAGTTCAACCGGTTGAGTGTCAGACTAGTGAGCTGGGTTTGAATCCAATTGCCTGATCAGTAAGATCACTAGCCAACTTGGCCGTCTCAAATTTTCTACAGGTATTTTGATCTACTACAGATTCTTGGATTAAACATAATTATTTTTGATATTGATGAATGTTTTTGATAGAAATAAATCAATATTATGAATTATGGTGGTGTTTGACTGATTAATCAACAATCTTGACATTGGGAGAAACACTCACAAAAATAAAATATGGTATTACGCAAAATTTATTTCTCTCGTTTTGAAATTACCAAAATTTTCACCTGTGAATATAACCAACTGTACAATAACTTAAAACTTATAAAGAAATAAGTACAATATCTGTTCTAGATTCCAAGCAACACTTTCTGTAGCATTAAATAATTACTGGGCATGAAATATATAAACATGTTTACTTGGTAAAAAGCCCAGCAGACCAACACAAACCTAAGTCTCAAATTAGAGGCTGGGTTTTTAGCCCAACCATGACATCACATTTGCTAGCATTTTACTAAACTATCTTAGACATGTGTGGGCTTATCATCTGCTAAATACAGTATCATAACTTACATTATCATATAATAGTTCATACTTTCTACAGAAGTGTTCTATATAGTACAGTTTTCAAAAGGGGAACATTTGGAAACAACAAAACCTAAAGCAGTAGTTACAATCTATCAATCATCTATCTATCTATAGTTACTGTGTTATAGATTAAATATTTTACCTCTGTATCAATTTCCTGCTCATCATTTTTCTTGGATTCTATACAACTATACAATTAAAACCGAGGAAGAGACCCATGGGTCTTAACAGTCATCTGACTATAAAGACATGTGAAAGAGACCTTATAGGCCTACAATAGATTGCTAAACTACACTACACCTTACAGAGAAGACATTGTTGGTTCATCAAGACGTTTTCTGCAAACTTGAAACCATCTTCTTTATACATGCACTACACCACTGCCATTACCCTGCATGTGTTGCTTGTTGAAAGCTCATCCAATATCAGCAACCCTGTGACCTTGAAGTGAATCAAGGTCATTCATATGAAGCAAGAGTCAAATCAATTTTCTGAATTCAAAAATTGATTCCCAACTCTCTATGATATTTTTTAGACTAAATTTGGTTGAAATCCATTCAAGCATTAAGAGAAAAGCATTTTGACACAAAAATCTTGTCTAACTTCCCTATTTGGGGCTTCGCGCAAGTCTCTAGGTGTCAAAACAATTTTCTGGATCTAAGAAATTATTTTCCAGTCTTAATAATGTTTCACACCAAATATGGTTGAAATCCATTTAAACATTAAGAAAATATAACATTTTGAAGCAAAATATTGACTACCTTTTCCATTTGGGGCTCTGCCTGCCTCCAGGTTTCTAGGGGTCAAATCAGGTTTCTGAAGTTCAGAAATCATTCTCCACTCTCAATGAGTTTCACACCCAATCTGGTTGAAATCCATTCAAGTATTAAGAAGGAGTAGCATTTTGAATCAGGTCAGATGACGTAAAAATACAGAATCATTGTGACCTAGACTTTTGACCCTATAAGGACATGGTGACTGTAAGAACCCTTCATAATGTCATATCTACCAGTGATTGAAAACCAAACTTAAGTCTTTGAGAACTTTGACCTGCTGATCTTAGGCTTTTGTCAAACAACTTTTAAATGATTCAGTTTTTCATCTGCAAGATCACCAACATTGCCTCTACATTTCTTAACAAAATATTTGCCAGAAAACCAAGGCAAGTTTTTAATTCAAACCTGAGCATAGACATGATAGATTTGACTTTGAATAATATGACTTCTTGTTTGATTTCAGAGGTCATTATCAAACCTTATATAGCTTTAATTACCAATGTTGCTATTAAGCAACTGTATTCAATTTTAAAACAGAAGTTGAGGATAGCTATCTAATCAGTTCTAAACAAACAAATCTCCTTGACTTTTCTTCTACTGTACAATAAAGTCAAAATAAGATTTTTAAAAATCTGACTCATTTTAATGATAGATTTGTGAAATAATACTTTTAAACTAGGTACTATAGACATACACATTTTTTAGTATAATTGACCTAGTGACACACTATTGCATCTGCATAGGGCATTGGTATCAGGTCTTGTCAATGAGCAGTTAATGCATGAGACCTTGGATCCCTACCTGTGTCAATGGCAATAAATATAATCTGATTTAATAAAATGGATTAAACTACTGATCTATCTCAGTGTTCATACACCAAGAGATGTGTATTCCCACCAGCACAGTTATTGTAGTGTCACAAGGGTAGAGACCCAGTTACATTGTCTCCATTCACGGTTGGGTACTGACAATTGTACCAGTTGATGTCAACTATACAATTCACTCAATTAATGCCAAGATATTCAATTGGACTTGTTTCTTAAGCTCAATAAAAATTCATGTGCAATTAGTGTATAACTATTTCAATATCAAATGACGTGCCAATAAATGAATATCTTCATTTCAATTGAATAATCATTCATTGCTTTTGAACAGCATATCTTATAGTACAATGGCTGTCATTATCTCTATAGTGTACCAAAATTTAAAGTTCTTTAAAGCTGGCATTGAATCAGATGTGGAGAGACAGCAAAGTAAAATATACAGTACTGAGCGAATCAGATGTGGAGAGACAGCAAAGTAAAATATACAGTATTGAGCGAATCAGATGTGGAGAGACAGCAAAGTAAAATATACAGTACTGAGCAGAAAGAATAAAATAGCTATTTACTTACATATATAACTATATATTTTAAAATTTGTACATGTCACTTTTTCATTATACCAGGTTTATAGAATATAAAGAAACAGACATATACAACACCAAACAATATAGGATAAACAAATAAGTCACACTTAACTATGTATAAATGCCTTTATAAATCATAATTACAGCAGGTAGATACACAACTAATGGTGTTCAATTCAATCAGTTTGATTCTAGTCTTTATATGAGCTTAAAATACTGATTTCCTGCAAAAGGAAATTGCACATGCTCTGTTCTTTTTACTCACATGGGTAACTAATGTGGAGATCCCTGCATCTCACTACATGATTGTAGGAGTTGACTTATGTGGGCACTCCTGCATTTCACTACATGTTTGTAGAAGCTGACTTATGTGGGTACTCCTGCATCTCACTACATGATTGTAGGAGTTGACTCACATGGGTAACTAATTTGGGGATCCCTGCATCTCACTACATAATTGTAGGAGTTGACTCACATGGGTAACTAATGTGGGCACTCCTGCATCTCACTACATGATTGTAGGAGTTGACTCACATGGGTAACTTATGTGGGCACTCCTGCATCTCATTACATGATTGTAGGAGTTGACTCACATGGATAACTACTGTGGGGATCCCTGCATCTCACTACATGATTGTAGGAGTTGACTCATTTTGGCACTCCTGTATCACACTCTATGGTTATACAGGTTGACTCATGTGGTCGGAGTTGACATATGTGGGCACTCATTAATCACACTTTATTACTATACTAATTGACTCATATGGGGAACTCTGTGTCTCACAACATTATTGTAGGAGCTGACTCACTTTGGCAGTCCCAAATTGACTCATGTGGGGGGATCCCTGTATCTCCATACATGATTTTAGGAGTTGACTCACATGGGCACTCCTTATCACAGTTTATGATTATACCAATTGACTAAAGTGGGGATCTTTTTATCTCACTATATGATTGTAGGAGTTGACTCATTTTGCACTCCTGTATCACACTCTATGGTTATACAGGTTGACTCATGTGGTCGGAGTTGACATATGTGGGCACTCCTTAATCACACTTTATTACTAAACTAATTGACTCATATGGGGAACTCTGTGTCTCACAACATAGTTGTAGGAGTTAGCTCACTTGGGCACTCCTGTATCACACTTTATGATTACACAAATTGACTCATATGGGGATCTCCCTGTCTCACAACATAACTGTAGGAGTTGACTCACGTGGGCACTCCTGTATCACACTTTATGATTATACAAATTGACTCATATGGGGATCTCCCTGTCTCACAACATAACTGTAGGAGTTGACTCACGTGGGCACTCATGTATCACACTTTATGATTAT